CTAAACACTGGCCCATAAATGCATTTAATCTGGATAAAACTGGATTACTACATGGTTACAGCGTTATTTAAAAACACACAATAAACATGATTAACCAAACAATACTGTTCAAATATATCGTCCGGTTCTTGATAATCGAGTGATTTGTCACGAAGGAATTTAGTGATGCCCTTGCCGCGAAACCAATTTACGTCATGAAATTATGACATGAGGTATTTATTTTGCAATCGCTTAATCGGCAAACATATCATTAAGTAAATCGATTCGGGGCATTTAACAATAAGCGTTTTTAGTCGTCATACATGACAATGTCTTCATTGGAATGTTTTTAAATTCGTGTGTATAGTGTACAAGGATATGAAGAATTTCACACGATTACACAATAGTTCCATTCTTGCCAAAGAATGGAACTAGGCTCGACTAGCACTTGTGCTAACTTCTAGTTCCCATTAACAACTTCACCTAAACATAGTAATATACATATTTACGTATATATCTTTTGTACATTTAATAGTATGCAGATGTATGTCTAAAAAATATCGTTTTAAAACAATTACTGTTCAATCGACATTACTCTTGTGTAATGTATACATGTATCAGTATTATTCTTTGCATTATATGATTGTTCATATGTACTGTCATTATTGTGATGTGTTGTTGTTAATAAATTCAAATTCAATTCAATTCAAATTCAAATATTTTCTAAACCATGAGTAGTGGAGTAAACAATCAATGAAAGAGACCTATATCCCAAAACACATGATGTTCTCATTCATAATTAACACAAACCCTTCTGGAAATGGCTGTATATCTATGTTCTATATATTTGCTTGTTTAAAAGTAAAACCGAGTTTCAATTGTGAAGGTAATGATTAAATCCGTGTCTAGTTTAAAGCATTATATTGGTCTCTCATCATCATAAAAATCTAAATGAAAGAGTTCATTCTATGCTAATCTATACTTAAAATACATGTAGTATCAGCTTTCCCGACTGCTCGGTAATAAACACATTTTCTAGAGACGACGAAATTCACTTGGCCCGCTTTTGTGATCTTTCATTTTTAAAACAATGTATTGATCTTTCATCGTCATAAAAATCAAAAGAAACAGTTCATTCTATTCTAATTTATACAAATAGTAGTGTCCTCGGATCCTCGGTAACACATGAACACCGATTGATATTTTGTCATAAACTTTGACTTTGTTATAAGCCGAAAATCTTTGAAACCATTCAGCTTGCAGAACGGAAGCATTAAGTTCTATTTTTAATGTCGTGTCAAACCACAGGTATGTAATCTCAGTACCGATTGAGAAACGAACCAATTCAGGTGGTAAGAAATTCCAATCGGCTTTCTCAACTAAAAATTAAGAATAGCTGAAAGATTAGCGAATATGACAAGTTAATCCGTCAAGATGTCTGTTAGCGTATGACACTTTGGTTAGTTCAGTTCTTCACCTCGTTTGCCACATATGCAATTTTGCAAAAAGCAATAGACACTTTAGTGACGGAAGGATTGCTTTGTGCAACACAATGGCTTTGCAAAATTACCCATTTCCTATGGTGGCCCTGAAGGGACATCGCGAATAGACTAAATCGTGAAAAATATGCGATAAAATTCACGATATCGTCAATTTTATCGCATATTTTTCACGAAGAAATTCACGAAATTGACGATATCGTGAACTTTATCGTGAACTTTTCACGATGAAATTGACGATATCGTGAATTTTATCGTGAAAAGTTCACGATATAAAGTTCACGATATCGTCAATTTTATCGTGTACTCTATCGTGTACTCTATCGTGTACTCTCCTGACGGGCGCTTCGTAAACAAAACCAGCCCTAGCTGGGGGAGACAGAGAGAAGGACAAAAGGGAAAGGGAAAGAGAAGATAAAAGGAAAGAAAGAATAATAAGAAGAAAAGAGGGAAACGGGGGGGGGGGGGGCGAAGGGCTCTTGCCTCCTCCTCATTCCCCCCCCCCCTCCCCGCCAAAAAATAAATCAGAGAAAGAGAGAAGGGAAAGGGAAAGGGAAAGAGAAGATAAAAGGAAAGAAAGAAGAGGAAGAAGAAGAAAAGAGGAAAACGGGGGAAGGGCAAAGGACTCTTGCCCCCCTCCCCCCCCCCCCGCCAAAAAATAAATCAGAGAGAGAGAGAGAAGGGAAAGGGAAAGGGAAAGAGAAGATAAAAGGAAAGAAAGAAAGAGGAAGAAGAAGAAAAGAGGGAAACGGGGGCAAAGGGCTTTTGCCTCGTCCCCCCGCCCCCCGCCAAAAAATAAATAAGAGAGAGAGAGAGAAGGAAAGGGAAAGAGAAGAAAGAAAGAGAAAAACGAAAAAGAGGGAGAATAGGAAAGAAAGGAAAAGAAAGAAAAGAAAGGAGGCAAGAGCCCTTCGCCCCTGTTTCCCTCTTTTCTTATTCTTTTTCCTCTTCTTTCTTTCCTTTTATATTTTCTTTCCCTCTCCCTTCTCTTTCCCTTTATGGGGGGAGGGGGAGGTAAGAGCCTTTCGCCCTTCCCCCGTTTCCCTCTTTCCGTCTTCTTCTTTCTTTCCTTTTATATTTTCTTTCCCTTTCCCTTTCCCTTCTCTCTATCTCTCTCTCCTATTTATTTGTTGGCGCGGGAGGGGGGGGGAGGAGGCAAGAGCCCCTCTTTTCTTCTTATTCTTCTTCCTTTCCTTTTTTATTCTCTTTCCCTTTCCCTTCTCTCTCTCTCTCTCTCTCTTATTTATTTTTTGGGCGGGGGGATGCAAGAGCCCTTCGCCCCCGTTTCCCTCTTTTCTTCTTCTTCTTCCTCTTCTTTCTTTCCTTTTATCTTCTCTTTCCCTTTCCCTTTCCCTTCTCTCTCTATCTCTTATTTATTTTTTTGGCGGGGGGTGGGGAGGGAGGAGGCAAGAGCCCTTCGCCCTTCCCCGTTTCCCTCTTTCCTTCTTATTCCTCTTCTTTCTTTCCTTTTATATTTTCTTTCCCTTTCCCTTCTCTCTCTTATTTATTTTTGGCGGGGGGGGGGGAGGAGGCAAGAGCCCTTCGCCCTTTCCCTGCCCTGTTTCCCTCTTATTCCTCTTCTTTCTTTCTCTTTCCCTTCTCTCTCTCTCTCTCTCTTATTTATTTTTTTGGCGGGGGGGGGGGGGGGAGGTAAGAGCCTTTCGCCCTTCCCCCGTTTCCCTCTTTCCTTCTTCCTCTTCTTTCTTTCCTTTTATATTTTCTTTCCCGTTCCCTTTTTTTCTTCTCTCTGTCTCCCCCAGCTAGGGCAGGTTTTGTTTACGAAGCGCCCGTCAGGAGAGTACACGATAGAGTACACGATAGAGTACACGATAAAATTGACGATATCGTGAACTTTATATTGAACTTTTCACGATAAAATTCACGATATCGTCAATTTCATCGTGAAAAGTTCACGATAAAGTTCACGATATCGTCAATTTCGTGAATTTCTTCGTGAAAAATATGCGATAAAATTGACGATATCGTGAATTTTATCGCATATTTTTCACGATTTAGTCTATTCGCGATGTCCCTTCAGGGCCACCATAATTTCCGGTATGGAGTAGCTCCATGACTATCCTTTCAACACCGATATAGATTAATCATGAGCTGGAAACAGCTGAATAATGTTAAAGCTGCATTGGTATATCTACAATTTAATAGTTACAATGTAGCACAGGAAGAATTGTGTGTGGCATATGAAGATTTTAAAGGGCAGACAAGGAGGATCGGATACGGATATCATGGTACAAAAGGAATCAGTTCCAATGAACACCCACTTTGTGTAGAAGCACGCAGGAGTCTTACGGAGCCACAAAGCATTGATCTCAACTAAGAAGGGTGATTCATAAACGTCAGAAGAGAATGAAAACAAGTTTCGTGGGCGTGTTCTCCTTCTAATTTTCTTTCTGCAAAAAGTCCAGTAGACCTATTCATACCTATATCATTCGGTGTCGTCCCACCCATTATGTTCCTTTTTTAAAGCATTTTTGTTCTGCATTCCCGAGTCCTTCGACTCTTATTATGCATAATTTTAACTCACCTCCCTGGTCATATATTAAAAAACCTTATCCAATGAAAATACAACTTGATATATACATATATGGAAAACGGAATGATTGTAGAATACAAATATAAAGGAACAACAAGTATTTACCCATTCATTATTCCACAAAAGCAAATGAAAGCCTTATTTTCCGCACCCCTCCAAATTACGGGTCAACAGGAGTCACATTTGCCAAAGTTACTGTGACGACAGAACATGTGGACCCCATCGGTATACCTATATAGCTGAGGCGATGAGCAGTGCAAAGTCACTGTGAATATGCGTACTCCACATAAGATGATGTCATCTAGTCAATAGCAAGTTTTTATGTCGACAACTTCCGATTTTCAAAGCTTTAGATTTAGAGTTTTTATAGAGCTGATACTCCTCTGACAAACACTAAAATGGCATACAATTGATATTATTGTAATATATGACTTATAAACTTTACTTTGATATACAATTCATCCATTTCACTTTTCAGTTCGGATATGGTCTTTAAACTTTTAATTAAATCTAATTTTAGGTCGGCCACTTGTAAGACCACTTCCTTTACGGCTGCTGCCTTGCCAATCAATTTTTATATTGTTTTGCCAATGTATAAATTATGCATGACTGTACTCATTTTTGTATAACAATGTTTAATTCCATGTATCTATACTATGTTTTAATTGCTTTGGTGAAAGAAAATTGAATTGAATGAAATGTTAAGTCCACGCATGGATCAGCCCGGCCTAAGTGCCGCTATTTTTCAGTCTTTAAAAAATAAATCTTGGATGCGGAGGTCGTATTACGTCGTCAGCCCTCCTTTGTCCATATAACATGTCATGATGCCAATACTTTGTGTTCATATTATGACATTGATCCACCTCTTTATAAAGCCCTTGGTTCTTTATCTCTATGAACTTGAAGGAAATTCTCTAAGGTATTTATATATATATAACGATATTTTCACCGCTGTTTCTTCCGATATTTAGGCTCGTCTTTCTGGAAGCGGAGGGCACCAGAACGCGGCCTTCGAACCCGATACGTACATTGAACCTGTTATGATTGACGATCAACCAACACATCCCAAGGTATATTTTATAATAAAACAAACATTGACAAATATAATTATATACGGATGGGATTTGCAAAAAAAACATGTGTCGAGTTAATAGAGTACGATATATACAGCATAGGTTTGCACATTAAAATCTCTTTACCCGCATTCGACCTAGTGGTTTTGGTATAGTACTAAATGTCGCATTAATAGGTTGGTTAATATATCTTGTCTGAAAGGTATGTATATTTATTTTCAACCTATACAGATGTTCGCAAGACAGTGATTAAAACAACAAATACCACATTATTCATCAATGAAATAGAGTGGTTTAAGCCTCCAGTGATATCTAATATCAAAATAATAATTTTTGATAGGTTGCCAGTTGGCGGAGGGAGAAAAATAGATTGAGTTTATCGTTTGCTTCAAGATCATTTTATCATGCAATTTAAAAGTTGCCTTTATTACAACATGTTAATATCATGCTGGACCAATAAGTGCCAAGAATAATATTTAGCCAACACTAATATCATTGAGAACACTGGCATATAATGGCGTAGCCATGCTCTCTGGCTATTGAGGGGGCACTGGCGACGGGTGGGGGCAGGAGAATCACATGCAGGAGAAAAGGGCCACACAGTGAGGGGATGTATTGGGAGGGGTCTATATCATTGATTTCCCCTCTCCCTTTTTCCACTTCTCTCTTTCTTGTGCTCCGGTTAATCATATAATATATTACGCCACTGAATAAGATCAATATGAAATAGCAACAAATAGCTGATATTCGTCTCTTTTCCTTCCTCTTCCAGGCCGGCGCAACACAAAATGGAGGAAGAGACAATGCTGGTTTCCAGTCGGGCGAACCCGCAGTTCTTAATGTAAACAGCGATACAAATGGCTACACGGGACTGGACAATACGCATTTATACCAGGACCTCACTCCTAACGGACATTCGAACTCTAAACCTTCTCAAAAGAACGGACACGTGCCACAAGGCAATGCATACGAATTCGAGGGAGAAACCGGCCAAGAAGTCCACGAATATGAGTATCCAGACGCTCCTGTCAACAGCATCAGCGGAAATGTCGGCAAAGATGGCAGACCGTACGGATTCGGTCGCCAAGAGTCGTACATGTTCAAGGGCCAAACGGAACGGGACAGAACTCGCGAAGAGAGAGAAATCGGCAAGCATAAATCACACTGTTCGAGGATCTGTGCCGTACTTGTCGCAATTTTGATTTTGATTATCATCGGAGCAATTATCTTTGTTGTCTTCGAGTTCATAGGTAAGCGATTTGGTATTTCTTATCTCCTTTTCTCCGTGCGGCAGAATGTAATCCAACATCAGGTCCGCATAGCATTCGTCTCGATTCGCAGAGGCACAACGAAAATGAAATGATTTGAATTGACATGGTATATTGTTTGGCAGTTATTAAAAAGACATTACTGAATTTTGATTTTTGTTCAAAACTGAGATAGAAATATATACATACCTATAAGTAGTAAATGTAAATAAATACAACAGTGATAGATTCTCCATCTCTCCCTCCCTCTCTCTCTCTCTCTCTCTCATTATCTCTCTATCTCTAATTATATCTCATTATCTCTATTTTGTATATCTGTCCATCTCTCCCTCCCCTTTATCTCCCCTCCCTCTATCCACTCACCTTCTCTACCATCTCTTCCTCTCTTCTCTTCCCCCTCTCTCTCTCTATCTATCTCTCTTTATTCTCTCTATTTCTCTCTCCCCTGTCTCTCCCTCTCTCCCCTGTCTCTCCCTCTCTCCAAGCAAGACAAATAAAGTTAATTTCTTTTTAACGGTAGGCTTAATGGCCTTAAAAATCAATTAAGGTTATGTATAGATTTCTAGCTCATACATCCCTAAATTGAATCGAATTTTAACAAAATATTATTATAGCCATGTGATTCCTTTCAATTTGCAGTAAATAAACCAGATGATGTCACAACAACAACTCAGCTATCACGTAAGTTTACCAGTACGCATCATCATTTCATTCTACATTCAAAAGGGCCCTCCCTTTTCATCATAGTAAATAGTTATTTTCCAAAGAGTAGCGTGAACATTTAATAACATTAATTAAAATCATGATTGTCCTCTAGCGAGTTTTTTTTTTATTTGACTGTCTAAGTAATGGTTTTAGTAGATTTATTTACTTTTGTATTATCTTGTAATTTCTTGATTACTTTGTGCGCCTTTGGGTGCCATTACAAGCATATTTGTGTTAGCTTTACAAATCTATTATTGTTATTAGTATTATGAGTAGTAGTAGTAGTAGTGGTGGTGGTGATGGTGGTGATGGTGGTGGTGGTGGTGAAATATAAAAGGTATAATTTACAAATAGTAAGAAAAAACCCGGAAAATCATATAATTTCAGCAACGTTTGTAAATCCCCGGTATCGAATTAGAAATAACTACCACAAGCCCCCCCCCCCCCCCCATGAGTACCCCAGTAGTAGTACTAATTCAAACATCTGATACTGATGTTCACAAACTTCAATCCTGTTTCCATCATATCAGCTGCTTTAACTTCAAGTTGTTAATTATATCTTTAATGGTATTTATCTAACTAAATGATATAGAATAGATTGTCAAGAAATGTGATTTTAGTTTAGTTTCACCCGTTGCATGATAATAACCTGTTTTTCCTTTTCATAAACCACCTTAAACAGCGACCACGGCATTACCGCCAGCCCAAATATGTGAGTATACACTAGTTTCTTCGACCTCCTCCTTCTCTTCTTCGCCCTCCTTCTCCTGCTCCTCCTCTTCCTTCTCCTCCTCCCCTTCTTCTTTTTCTTCTTTTTCTTCTTTTTCTTTTTCTTCTTCTTCTAATTCTTCTTCATCTTCTCTTATTATTATTATTATCAAAATTATTTTAAAATTGCGCCGGCATCTACAACATCTATTGCTACAAAGTTTCTCCTTTTTCGTATTCTTCCAGATAGTTTGTCTCTTTTGGATGTTAATTGAATAAGCTTAAGACTAACTACATTAATGTACGTAAAAGGATCAGGAAAAGAAATATGACGGTAGTAATCACGTATTGTTCCTCTGTCACCCTTCAGATATGGTCACCACTTCAGCAATGGCCACATTAGATTTGGTTTACTCGACGGCTCTGGCCAACCCGAATACAACCGAATATCGAGAACTTGAAGCAAATTTTACATATTCGGTAAGTTCACAATTCACCTGCACTGGCCGGGCCGGGCCGGATCCAGTAAGCGGCGGGGGGGGGGGGGGGGGGGTATTAAAACAAGATTAGTCTCTGAAGAGCAAATACAAGATCTTTAATTTGCATCTTAGTGTTCTAACACTTGAAGCACAAGGTACATGGATCTGCTTTGGTTTTTAGGGAAGGGAGGGGTGTTTATAATTTAAATGAGCACAATTTGCGAAAGGCACCCTTAGCCCCCCCCCCCCCCCCATACGCCACTGAGTTGTTAAACATGCATTCGTTAAGATTAAGCGTTAAGTGATGTACCCTAAAAAAAAAAACATTTGGTTGAAGGTTAGATGCGAGATAGCCAGTCATTTTCGTTTATCAAATCTTGAACTCTTTTACACTAATCATTCATCTTATATTCCATCGCTTATATCCATAAATTACCAGAAAGTCGTGTTATAATTCTTATGTTAATCAAGAAGTCTAATAAGTATATGCTCTTTTGATAAAGCCGGAATGGGGGACTGTGAAATTGAAACATGGAAGATTAAATTCGAAGCCGCCGTCTTTTAAAATTCCATTTATATTTGATAAAATCGGTCATAATAGTTATGCCAACGGGTGTGAACAAAATTAAAAATGGAATACTTGCTCCCAACGTTATCGACATACATGTCTGGCATACCAAAAAACAGCTTCGCAAAGTAAATACTGTTTGGTTACGATAAGCGTCCTGATGTTTGCAGACCGCTCAATACAAATGTTTACCCGACTTTATATTCAATCACGCGATAAATAAACAATCGATGATCACAACTGTGAAAGGAAACGCTTTGATCCAATTGTTGCTTGTATAAAATCTATGACGTTATAATTACCCCAGTGTACTCTGCGCGAAATATCTGTGTACTAGCCCATAAGGTAATTTGGTTCGAAACCCCCGCACAGCGAAAAGGTAGAAACCCATATACTTCAGGGCAGTGATGTACTAAGATGGGCTGATGAGGCACAGGCCAGTTTTCTATAAAATTCGGACAGTAAAACTCAATTTTATAGATACAATCTAAATACCAATTAATACGAATCGTACATGATAATCTGTTATCCCGCCACTAATGTAATTTGGGAGATTGTGATTTCGCCGCCGCCCACCCCCCTTCATTCAAGTTTTTTTTTTAATGGATCTTTCGATTTGATATACAGTCGAACCCGTCTATACCGACCTTCAAAGGGAAACACAAAAAGTGATTTTTGTAGAAAGCGGCGGTCACTAAGCCAGGTTTGACTGTTATGATAAGGTTACCAATCTTGACATGTATATTCCAATGTTATACTGCAATGCTTGACACGAGAATATGGCACTTATTTGGACTTTAATCTATCTTTTTTTTCTTGAGCGCCTCGGAATAGAAGTTCTAGATAGATGGCGCAGTACATAGTACATGTATGTCTATTAGTATTACATGTATTATTATTATAAAATTAAATGTCTCCATACTAGCACCACTTTATATCATTGATGCGCCTGCATCAAAGTGCTTGTCTTAACACTGTTTGAACTTTGGATTAGTTATTTTTATACAGATATTTTTCCTGGAAATTAGTTATCTAATGATTCCATTTTCACAACAGGTGGAAACAGCTTTCCAAAATGCAGAGATGCCCGATGTGACGTATGAGGGAGTAATTGTCAATAGTTTCAGGTACGAATAGCATACCATTCTGAGTCAGAGCTGTGTGCAATTATCTTTTTTTGTCATCTTTAAAAACTAATTACGAGGATTTCGACAGCATGAAATTTGTGAAATTGTTTATTTATTTCAAAGCACATCTCACAAAATTGTCCTCGTTCAATTTTCTAAAGTTCTAAGGGCAAAGTAACAGAAAAGTTTTGAAATATAATCTGGTAAGTTTTGAGCAGATGTAAATCAACAATGACAAAAAACTCTAGTTATTATATTGTGTTTAATATCATTCATGTTCTTGTCTTTCTTAACGCGTGAGGATTGAGGAGTATGATCTAATTGATTTACTCCTCTTTATTTTTATATTCAGAATCACAAAATATAATAGATCATTCTTATAATATCAGTTGAATAAAAATCAAGACACTTTCCCCGAAGATCCCGAAGATCCTGAAGATCCCGAAGATACATAATTATAATACCCGATCGTTATTCAATATTTTTCATTTATTGGTTTATGTAACAGGACTGCAACGTAAAACAGCCTTGAGCCGATTGTTTTTATTCCTATCAAGATATGGTTTAAAATGATACAATATAAACAACAAAAAAAATGAATATTGTAATATACGTACTGTATGCCTAATTTTGGAGAAAAATTGCATAATACTTTCAATCTTATACTGTACAGTTCGGGTAGCGTCGTGGTAAATTTTGACGTCCTGGCTAGCCATACACAGAACACGCCGCCGGGTCAGGCCGCGGAGCAAGTCGCAATAAATGCGGTTGAGCGCGAAGTCACTGTGGTTCTAACAGCACTCACTGAGGACAACTTGTCTGATCTACCATTCATGAGCTTCAATGTAACCGGGTCAGGTACTGGATTTGATTTGATTTGGTTTGATTCGATGTGATTCAACTTCATTTCATTTTAATTGACTTTGATTATAATTTATTCAACTTCATTTCATTTGCCTTTGGTTTCACAATTGATTTGACTTAACTTCATTTTAATTCAATGAAATTCATTTTATTTTATTTGGTTAGATTTAACTTCTTTTCATTTCATTGAATTTGATTTGATTTGATTTAATGCAAAATGCCTTGACTTTATTTCATATAATATCATTTCAGTTTATATCATATCATTTAATTTCATTTACTTTTATTTCGTTTGAGTGGTTTTACCTGATTTTATTTGACTTGACTTGAATCGATTGACTTTGAGTCAACTTTAATTAGTGTGGTGTAATTCAATTTGATTTGAATAATCACCAACAATAATATGGCAACCCTGACATGTTAATGCATCTTAAAATACACTCAAACAAATCATGATTAATAAATTGATAGGTCTTCTTTTTTAACTTTTTTGTCAACAGAAATTGTTGTTACTTCGACACCGGAACCAACAACTTCTCAGCAGCCAACAGGTAAAATGATATGACTAAATTCCCCTTTGTTCATATTAATGCTTCATAATCTTTCTAAACACTCTCTTCTTGCTTAATTCATGCACATAATGAAAACCAAGTCATAATGATCACATCTGAATGAAAATTAATACTAAATTTCATTGCCCTATTCGTCACACCTGATACCCCAGTCACATCCACGAGACCGACGCTAAACCGACAGTGAACCGAAAAAGAAATTACATTACACCGAATGGCTCAGAATCGGTTCGTTCGGCGTCTGTCTTGGCATTGGTTTAGTTGTGTGACTGTGGTACTTTGTGTTTTACTGTTATACACTACACCGTCGGGAAAGCACATTAACTCCTTAATGCTTACAAGGATGGCTCGTGCTTCATATACAGTATTGTGGTATGTTTAATGTCATGATTAACATGTAGTATAGACTTGCTGAACTTATAATACCTTTTATGAATATTTTACACGTTATAGTTTAACGGAAGCAGTATTTAAAACAATCAAACTAATATACATAACATCATTATTGTACTAATTGTGAATAACTATATTAGAAGTTAGTTCCTTGAGGTAAAGGTGGGAGGAGGGGGGGGGGGTCCTTGTCTGTTATTCTGTTGCAACTAGTGTAACTAGTGAAAAACTCCCAACCATTACAGAAGAGATAACTACCGAGGCTATGAGCACATCCATTGTGACCACGCCTCCTACCACTACCACACTACATTATTGCAGTCCATTTGTCACGCCCACAGTCAAAACAGACACACCCACGTCCACTGCCACGCTTTCTTCTCAGACCACGCTCATCAGCACTACCACTCCTTCAATCCCTGAGACTCCTTCAACAGTGGCCACATCGAATGCTCCCTCCACCACTGTCACGCCTTCATCTGCGACCACAGTCCCCATTTCAACTACTCTTTCCTCAGGTCTGATATCATAATTTGTGTAACATTCTTATTTAGTTGTCAAAATCCTTGTTAATGAAAACAAGAACATAATCGTCCAATGTATACATTACTATTAAAAATGATCATGCATAAAATCATCATAATTTACTAAATTTCTTAAAATGCTCCATGAATTAACTTTGCAAGCTTTCTAAATACTCTGAAAATAAAATGATATATATTTGCAATAATCTCCAGCTATTTGATCATTCTACTATAATCCAACCCTAAATTTTGCAAAAGGATGAATATTAAATTATCGATGTCACCAAGAACTCTAATTCATTGACCAAGGTAGGTTTTTATTCAAACTATTAATCTAATTCATCATTCTGCTTTTAATAATAATAGTAAAAATAATGATAATAATAATAATAATAATAATAACAATATTAATAACAATAGTGACAATATTATCTTCCTTCACTTTTTGTATCTACTTGGATAAGTTGAAAAGTGGAAGTTTGGACCAGTTTTATATTTGACTCGTGATAATGTGAGAAGATTTGTATTGTAGTTTTCAGAAATTGATAAATTAAGTGTTATTTAGCACATGGTATTTCGTATTCGGACAATTTTTCATATTCATTGAATTCATTAACTACATGTCATTTGTGTGGAAGACGTTAAACACCCTATTCAGGTTAACAGAAAGCTGCCGAAATGGGGGATGTAGCGGCACCCGCTTCCATTGAAAATGAAAATTAGAAATATATGGTTAAATATTATGCCACGAAGGATATCCATTACCTATATCTCCTGATCTCCGGAAAATGTAACGATTTGTAAATTCATCTTTACTTCTCACAATTTGTGTTTGCCACGCTGCAAAATTGAAAAATATTCGCCAATATCATCAAATTGACCACCTTTGAATTAATACCATTTTACCAATCTACATCATGTGCGCCCTATATACGCATTTAATTTCAAATGGATTTTTGTGCCATACAATTCTTCTTCTTATTATTATAATTGCTATTATTATCATCATCATTATTATTAATATCATTATTCTTCTTCTGCTTCTTCTTCTCGTTCTTCTTCTTCTTCTTCTTCTTCTCCTTCTTCTCCTTCTTCTTCTTCTTCTTCTTCTTCTTCTTCTACTTCCTCTTCTTCTTCCTCTTCCTCTTCCTCTTCTTATGTTTATGATTATCGTCATTATTATCATCAATATCATCATCATCATCATCATCACCGATATCATCATCATCATCATCACTTATATAATATGTTTGACTTTGAAGCTTGCCAACCGGATGAGACTGTATGTACGGATGGGGTAGGGTGTGTAGCATACACCCAATTCTGTGATGGCACAGAACAGTGTCAGGATGGCTCAGACGAACAGTTTTGCACAGGTGAGTAAAAACAAAACAAGACAAACAAGCGATCATACAAAAACACGATGGCCGCTGTTTCTACAACATTTCTATCACGATTGCAAACACTTTCAAGAAATCATCTCAATGACAATTTCAATGGTTTTGAGTGCAAAATATTTTTTGTTTGCTTTTATTCCTCTAAATGAGCAATTCCCCAAAATCTGTTTTCTCTATTTGATGATTTTGATATTAGTCTAATTTATCTACTCCATTCAAGAATGTCACATCGGGGATGGGGCAGTTGAGAGCTTCCACCAATTTTTACTGTTTTCAACTTTTGATTTTTTTGTTTTTGTTCTTCACTTTTTCAAAACAACATGTTGTAATTATACAAATATGTCATACTTATTCTTTTCTTCTTATATCCCCCTCTGTCAGGAGCAAATTGTAATGAAACCGAATTAGCTTGTCTCGACCAAACCGAATGTTATCCTGCTGATAAGATTTGTGATGACGAATTCGATTGCACTGACGGATCAGATGAAAACTTCTGCTGTAAGTAAAACATCCATCTATCTGCTGTTTCTTTCAAGATTTTATGTGATTTAGTTCCTGTCAATGTAAATTTTATAAAAAAATTCTCTCGCTCAAAGGAATCAACGAAACCTTCTTTTAAAAAAAAGCAATTAAAAAACATGTATTATGATATAATGATAGAGAAACATGTGGTTATTTTAGTTGTTTCCATTATAATGTATGTAGATCTGGCAATATTATGTTTATGTAAACTACCTTCTCCATTTCATTAAAGACGAGCGTTTCAGCTTGTTCTCCAAAGCAGCTTCAGATAGCCGTTCCTGATTTTCATTCTTACGTAAACTGACATTATACGGATTCACTTAACAAGCGACGAATGATTAACAAATTAAAAATTAATTTAAAGATACGCTTTCCTCTTCCATTCATCTCAAAGAGAGTAGTGTGTGTCTCTTGATGGTACCCCTCCATTTTTCTAGATCCACCGTAAACTCCTCAAATCAACGATTTTAATCTCTTCTCTCTCTATAGCATCGTGTAATGAATCTACATGCTTTGATGGTGTAGAGTGTTATCCATACACTGGGCTATGTGATGGAAATGATGATTGCACAGATGGCTCCGATGAGCAATTCTGCAGCTGTAAGTACATCGAAAAATGTCTATATATTTTTTTTTTTGGGTGTAATTTCCTGTTTCTGTTTATAACCCCAAGGTACTCCGAAAGTCAAAATAAATGTTTATTCACAATCAAAATTACTCTCTAACTATACGTCTGCGACAGTTGTGAAATTCCCATATGATTATAATTATACTTGTAATTTATATTATTAGTAGTATTAGTATTATCATATTATTTGTAGTAGTAGTAGAAGCAGTAGTAGTAGTGTTTTAAGTGTTATTGCTATTCTTCTTCTTCTTAATATTATTATCATCATTATTGTTATTATTGCAAACTAGGGAGGAGTCGTTCTTTAAGCTTTGACATTGATAAGAATATTTGTCTTCCCTTTAATATTTAGCTTGCCCTGTTGGTCAAATGTTTTGTAATGACGGTTTCCAGTGCTATGATGACTCCGGGTTATGTGACGGTAATCAGGATTGTACCGATGGATCTGATGAATCGTTCTGTACCTGTAAGTATGGCTTTTTCTTGTCATTTGGTTTTCTAGTTTATATTATATTAATTAAATTACTGTGATTGTCATTATTATTATCAGTGTTAGACGTAGAAGTAGTAGAATCTCTATAATTTTACTATTATTCTTATTATATTATTATTATCATTAATATTATTATTATTATTTTTATTACTACTTTTTAACTTAAAGTTCTTTGAGCTTTGACATTAATAACAATATTTGTCTTCCCTTTAATATTTAGCTTGCCCTGTTGGTCAAATGTTTTGTAATGACGGTTTCCAGTGCTATGATGACTCTGGGTACTGTGACGGTAATCAGGATTGTACCGATGGATCCGACGAATTATTCTGTACCTGTAAGTTTTCTTTAGTTGTCTAGTTTATTTTATATTCATTCATTTTGAAATTAAGGTCAAGTCATGTTCATAAGGTATGTTAGTGATAATATCTATCTATCTATCTATCTATCAGGCTATAGTTCATCCAGACGTTGGACAAAGCCCTCCTCGTAACATTTCCATTCTCTTCTGTCTCTAGCTGTCCCAGTCCAAGCGGCCGTTCCCATGTATGATGTTAGGTCATCTCTCCATCTTCTCTTCTGCCTTCCTCTTCCCTTTCCCATCCTTGGTTGCCATTCTGTTAAACGATTTGTCCATCTATTGTCCTGAAGTCTTGCTACATGCCCAGCTCATCTCCACTTTGATTCTCTGACTTTCTCCAAGATATCTTTACCCTTTGTTTTCTGGCATGTGACTTTGTGATTGATTTTGTCTCGCAGAGATAAATGCGACATCTTTCTCTCCATAGCTCGTTGAGTAGTCACAAGCTTCTGTTCTAGATCCTTTTTTTAGGGGGGGGGGGAATTGTCACGTACCTTGTTTAAAGCAAGGGAATGACGTATGTTCTTGCTTTTTTTTCTTTCCGTTTCTTGTATTTTCTAATGAAAGTAATTATTCATAGCTGTTAACCTACTCCCGCTCCTAAAACGATACATGACAATTATCAAATTGTTATATTCTCTGTGAATCAAAGCTGTGTGAAGATTTGTCCTAAAATTTTAAGAGTTACGCTTCCCCTGTATTCCATATGCTAAGAACAATTTGCTACGTTATTTCTGTATGCGCAAGCTTATTAAAACTAACTTTTTAAAACTATTATATTTAAACATGTTAACTGTTCAATACATCAAAAGCTCACGAAATGAGGGAAAGATTTCTTTATTTAACTTTACACACACCATTTATTGACCGATTTACGGTTCAAAACAGCTTGTTATCATTTAGACGATTGATACCCCCAAATAATGATTTCACTTATATTTCGTTATTCACGTGAGACATGTATTCATGGGGGAAACCATAATTTATTACATATTGTTCATTATATACGAAAGAAGGTTATTCAAGATCTCGTAATTTAGGTTTTACGATGACAATACGTTGAATTTATTGCAGAAGTTACACTATTCATTATTGCAGTTAGGTCCATAATATTTGTCTGTTTTCATTTTGTAGCAAACTGTGAAACCAACGAGCTTGCATGCTTTGATGGAAGTGGCTGCTATGTATATCCGGACCAGCAATGCGATGGAATATCTCAGTGTATAGATGGCGAGGATGAACTTTATTGCCCAGGTACGTATACTAAAAATAAACTTGCTAAAATTATGACCAAGTTAGTTATAATTATGTCCGAATTAATTATAAATTGCTCCATTTGTATATAGTAAAAGATGTTTGTCATTAGGAAAAATATGACCAAGTTGAGCAAATGCTTTTCCAATGTTGGCCGAACATAATAGTTGCCTTCATGATAGGCAATGGTCTGTTAAAAAAGAGAGTATAATTTTCTGCTGTAAAGAAAACACCGGCCGCCACCATCACCATCACCACCAACACCACCGTCACAGTAACCATCAATACTAAACCTACTTACCAGTCATATTTTTCTTTCGCTTTTCACAATTTTTCGTCCTAACCTACTAGTGAGGTAAAAATGTACGTGGTCCATGTTTTTCTTTCTATTAATGTCTATTTCAATCTTAACAATAATTTCCTTTCAACGTTTCTCTCTAGGTGTATGTACCCCGGATGAGTTAGCGTGCGCGACGGGCGATAAGTGTTACAATGCAACGTATCAATGCGATGGAATCCAAGATTGTGATGACCAGTCAGACGAACAAAATTGTGCATCGGGTAAGTATAATTATGTTATAATAATATTATTTCTTGATAGATGGAGGCACGTCCAACTTATCTAAGTACATGTACTAGAATATTGTTTTTCAATGTACCTTTCTTTTTCAAATGTTTGTGTATCCATCATTTTGTACATTTGCTTATATATTGTTTTATGCTTTTAGAAAAATTGATAAAGACTTTATTTGAGAAAAAAGTATACTTGTGTGGCATTATACGTATTATCTACCATTAGACCTATACACTCTCGCTTTCCCGTTTTCTGAAATATACCAACCTAAAATCTGCAGAAAAATAAAAATGTTAACATGAAGCATTATAACAGTAAGCCATTATTGTTAATGCCTCAATGAATGCTTGTATAAAACTTCCTTTTTATAAAAGCTATACGTGATTCGTTAGTTTACCCCCCCCCCTCTCCCTCTCTTTCTTGTCATGTCTATAGTACTATGTATTATCCGAATTTTTCTACATCGACATTTTCTCCGGGTTTATTTTGTCAGAGATATAGCTAAAGGTTGCGGGTTTCGATTGAGTTTCATGCTAGATTTATGGTAAGGGTTGGGATTAGGGTCCAGGATGTTGTTGCACGAACATTTGGTTTTTGAACTGTCTGTAAATGTCAGATTAAACTGTCTTTGCATTTATATTTATCTGCCACCCTCACCTTTCCCTTTTCTCTCTCTTCCTCTCTCCACTTCTCCTTCACCTAAATCCTCATCATCAATTTTCTTCTGCACAAGCCATACATGTACTTCTTACATTTCTTAACATACTTACAACTCAAATTTCTTGTTTAATCCATCTGTTTTTCTTTCAGAACTGATCGTGATAAACCTAGCTGACTTGTCGGATCCATATTACCTAAATAGTCCCAACTACCCCGAGAAGTATCCACTAAATACCAATCAGTCTTGGCTCTTTATTGCTTCATCTGGAAACAGGTATGTTACCGTGGTTACAGAGTCCAGGGCCCCGTCTTGTAAAGAGTTGCGATTCATCTGAATCAATCGCAAGTCCTCGGATCAATCGCAAGTTTGCAGTCTCCTATCTATTATTTACATAGTGGCGATTGATATCAATCGCAAATAAGCTTGCAATTAATATCAAATCTTTAGAAAACGGGGCCCAGTTCTCTTTTGGCACACTATACCAGATCTTGAAAATGTCTCTATTTTCATATTGATATAGAGTCCGAGAACGGTGTCTTACTATTACTCAGAATATGGGGTAATGCCGGACCCAGGACTTATCATGAAATCATTTTTAGACAGGATGAAAAACCTTTTCATGCAACCTCGGATTAGGGAAGCACTGCAAATATCATATCTTGAAAAAGGAATAAACATGTATATACTTAGTCTGCTATTCAATTCAAGTGATGTTATTTTTTGCAAAAGCTTTGTATCTTTCTGTTACTTTTATTATAGTCATATTTAATTGAAATGTTGAAATATCTCAAGATCTTTGCCTTTATAGAATTGGAATCTCTTCTCAAGAAGCTGGAAATCTCATCTAAATGCTTCAAAACGAAATGCTATTTGGGGGGAGGGTGTGTCAACAATCCTATGCAATCTAGGCCTAGGGTCATTTGATGTGTCAAATACATGAATCTGGCAGCTTCTTTTCTAGGCGTCACCTTGCAATTCACTTAATTTATTTTGGAAATCAATTAAGAATTGATCAAAAGCCTTTTTTTCTTCTTCTAAAGTGCTTATTTTCTTGCTATCTTGATATCTTATACTACTTTCTCCGCAGACCGAGGATCGATGTAAGCGATATGTACACGGAACCCAACCGAGACCTCCTAAGCTTCTACTCGGCCGATGGTCCGACGGGGCAACCACTGGTGCTCTCGGGTGCGATGACCCGCTCAGGCATCATCAGCTACCAATCAAGCAGCGAGTATCTCTACGCAACCTTCACGTCTGACAACGCCGTGTCCGTCCGCGGCTTCTATGCCGGTGTCACCCAGGAGTCGGCGACTGGTAGGTCAAAGTATAGAAGATCGAGACTTTCAGAAGATTTTGTATTGATGGTGCTGTTTCTGTTGCTATTGCTACGACTACATGGTTATGAGTGATTGTGGGTTGATGCTATGTTTTCAGTTTGCCTAATTCAAGATTAATTGCTAACTAACAGAGGTGTTGCGGACGAGTGGATAAGTCGCCGGACTGTGGATCACAAGGTCCGTGGTTCAAGTCCCGCCGCAGCACTAATGTCCTTTGGCAAGACATTGATCTACATTTGCCACTCTCCACCCAGGTGTTAAATGGGTACCCGGTAGGATGCGAACGCTAATGTGGTTAGATTAGCAAGTGTGCGCATGTAAAAATGACGCCTGGCTGGAATGCTCCCCAGGGAGTGGAGAATGTGCATACATTGTGTGCGGGTAAGCCTGAATCCAATGACCGGGGTAATAATATACTTATCTGTAAAGCGCTTTGTGAGGGCCTCCGGTCCTGAAAAGCGCTATATAAGAACGAGCTATTATTATTATTATTAACTTTATCTGGTTATTGATCCAGATGAACGGCTTGTGTGGCAAAATTAATAAAAATAAAGAAGTACATCGTGATTAAAAAAGGCAGAAGAATACATAAGTATTTAGAAGGAAAAAATGAGATGTATAAGAATTGGAGTGGAAGTGATAATATTATAAGTTTTCATACGGATTGAAACTAATATGCTATTTTCATGTTTTTCTCAATAATTCAAAACAAAAATGTATTTATCAATAATTTTAATTTGCATAATGAGTGTTGAAACCTGAGGAGAATAAGAATGATAGCCACAGGTGCAGTTTCCTCCTGAATGTTATGTTGAGTTATGGATTAAAATCCGTTGACATTAGTCACTTAGTCAACAATATCTTGAGCTTGAGTCAAGTTTCCACCCGAATCTTCAAACCTCCCTAACTTTTGTTAGACTTTAAACAAAATAAACCTATATAGGTTGATACAATCTATTATACATACTTGATGATGTATACTTAAACCAAACCTGCCTATAACACTCGCCATATGTGATATTCCGTAAGATTCGTTTTTTTCTAAATGCCCTCTTCATCGCATGCTCCATTTTGTCTCCAACGTTAGCTGTGCAATGTGCTTCGACTCAGTACGACTGTAATGACGAAATGGTTTGTATGCCGACAGACAAGACCTGCTCATGTCCTCTGCCTCCTTCCGATTGCAATCCACCAACAGGTAAGTTATACCACAACCTTTGATTTCTTTCCACCCAAGTCACACCACCACATTGAATCAAAATGGACCGTCAACAGAGAAAGTATTTGCCATTTGTCGTAGACAATCAGCCAATTTAAACGATATACAGTCTGACCTGTATATAGCGACCGCCCAAGCGAAAGTACTCACAAGTGGTCTTTTTAGACAGGTTCATTTAGTACATGTTTCAATGAGAAGCCATTTTCGAGGAAACAAAAATATGGTGTTTGTAGACAGATGGTTTTGTATAGACAGGTGGTCACTAAAGCAGGTTTGACCGTCACTTAAGCAATTTCTTTTTTGGAAAATGTATAATAACTTATAATGTCAATGTTTTTGCAATGTTTCCTCCTTTTTTTCTCTAATTTCTTTATCTTCCCTTTTTCTTTTTTGAAATGTAATTTATGTACCAAACTTTTTGTTATTTTTTATCCATTTTGTGAGGATCATTTTTAACAAGCCATTTATGTGCTTTTCTTGATCCACACTATATATGCTTGTATTTTGATTAAATGATATTTCATTTCATTTCATTTCATCTTTATTGATCCGTGGTAATAATAGAAATTAATAACAATAATTTTGCAATTAACAATGCACATACTTATAACGAATCACACTAACGTTTTACAATTTTTATATATTTGCCTGCATGCATATGATTATTTATTCACATAACTTATACGCAATGCATATTATGAATGCATTCCCATTATTCCATAATGTTTTGAATATACATCCAAGAATATTAAAATAATAATAATAATATTTGTCTGTTATAGTATCATGACATGTACTTTGATGTATATATTCATTGTTATGAACTGTAACATTAACCCTAAAAAGGCCGGGCTATTTGAGGTCTTAGTACGGCCGGGGGGGGGCATTATGGCCCCCCTTAAGATCTCGGCCGCGAAGCGGCCGATCGCCGCGAAAATTTGCACGCATGTCAAGTGAAGTGTATAGAATAATATGATAATTTCAATTTTTTGAAAAATTCACCCATTTGCACATTTATGGTAATTTATGCAAATAAAGTCATAAAAATCACATTTTTACCCATAAATCATATATTATTCATATTTAAGCATTCTTTTTCACAACATATATTCATTAGACCATTCTGAATAATAATACGACAAAAAATTTGGAAGAGCCAGCTTATTCCTTATGTTATCCCTTGTTTTGATAAATTCTTATGTATTTCATTGTTTTTTTAACTTATGTATTTCATTGTTTTTGTTGTTTTATTTCATTTCTTACTACAATTCAACTATTTTGACTCCCTAAACAACCACCTAAACTTGAAACAAGACCCAATAACCCATGTTTGATCTGTATTTAGGAAAAATGACTTTTCCGTATGTTTTGTACACAAATCACGAAAATTACCGATTTTCGGGCTGACATGCAAAAAGACAAAAGGTCATGTGACCTTGTAACCGTAGGTCCGATTTTCAAAAAAATTCTTTTAAAATTTGAGCAAGACTTGAAAGAAAAAAGTCAGCGAGCGGCGGGGCGCCATCCATATGCGTTACCGAGCAATCGGAAAATTTGTGGAGGGGGGGGGGGGCATAATGGCCCCCCGACCTTATTAGGGTTAAGGGATATCAGATAAATGAGGTGAATATAGAATTCCTGTACAGCTGTATATATTTGTGCAACTTCCTTTCTTGATAATAATGACTATTCAAGTTGAAGTTCAAATTCACTTCTTTTAATTCCAATACGAACATATACACATAATCATTCCTTTGCAATCATATAAATAGAAACACAGAGCAGATGCAAATGATTAATCAAACATGGAGTCAAGGGTATATACCATAATCGACCGAGGTAGTCTTGTCAAGACAGTCCTCTTGACTTGATCAAGTAATATTGATAGATAATAATGAATGGAAAATAGGTCCTTGTCTTAAAACCATGTTTTCTGTTCTATCAATAAGTTAATGCTTTGAAATAATCAACATTTTTTGTATTTGTCAGGTAATATATTCCCAGATTAATTATGTTTTATTATAATCTGTTTATTACAGACTGTTTTTCGTGTGACAGTGGTAAATGTATTCCATTCGAAGAAGAATGTGACGGCGAGAATCAATGTGCATTCGGAGAGGATGAGAGAAACTGTATGCAGAGTAAGCTAAGAACATCTCTTTGGTTTTCCAGATGAAAAAAACATCTGACAACTCCTACTGGTGTAGATTAACACCAATATCTGGAATCATAACGACATAGCTTTGATTCTGTCGTATTATATGCAAACTGTCATATTCTTTGCTGACTATGTAAAAGAACGGCTCTCTTTAAATAATTTTGAGAGCATACTGAAACGTTCTGAATTAAGTGGAGCGGTAGATAAATGGATACATATCCAGCTAATAATTTTAAAACCCCTTTTGCTTTGACTGACATTTCACAGTATGGATCGTTTGATTTGATTTTGTTTCAAGAAAGATTCAATGAAAGATTCATGGTAAGAAAAGGTCATTAAAATGGCTTTACTTTTCAACCTGACATTGTATATAGAGGGTATTAAAGAAGGATTAATGTACAATATTGATAAAATTTGATCATTCAGACTTCACAATTATAAAACATAATGTAACCCATATACCTCTTGAAGCAACAGATAATAACATAGTTTTCATCTTAAAATCTGTAGTATATTTAGTTTTTGTTGTCTGATTTTAAAAACTCAGTGAAACTCTACTTCATTGGCTCTTCTACCGTTAGTGATTAAGGGGGGTGAGGGTAATCCAGATTTCCCGGAAAAAAATCATAATCCTAAAGCTAACCTTAATCTTAACCTGTCTTTACACAAACAAAAATCGATGAGGGCCATTGATGCTTGGGGTCTAGGGAATGTCACTCACGAGGCTACCTGATCATATTATTTGATCAGCCCTTTTAAGGAATTATTTTCAACAAGCATTTTGTGCTTTTTATGATCCCACCAACTATAATCCACAATAATTATATGCTGCCAATGATATTTGTACGCATGTTTTCGTAGTGGAGAATATATGATTTGATTTGATTATCTCATTTTCGTATCCTCTTTTTTAGGATGCGAAAGCTTCTTGTGCAATGATGGGATCTGTGTGGCCAACTCGACCGTGTGTGATTACGTTGATGACTGCACAGGAGGGGAAGATGAATCGGGCTGCTCTTATCGTAAGTAGCATTATGTTGAGAGAAAAACCAGTTTCGTAGCGTGTTTCCAGTCAGGTTTAAATGGTATCAAGGGGGGGGGGGGGGGGGGAGGGGGACACCATTTTCACAAGATTAATTGATGACGTGTATTGAAATGGGATAAACAAGGTTTTCAATACGTGGGGACGATATGGCAGGTTTTTTTTTTCATTTTCAAGTTCCCCTTCCTTCATTTTTGGCTTTTCTTCTCCGTTACATGCACTTTTTAAATTTTATTTTAGATTTTCCATTTGTTTTGCCATTCGATGAGGAGGCTGTTCCCCCTATACCCCCTGTAGCTACAACACCGGGAAGGCAAATTTCATGAAATGCATTTGCACCCCCCCCCCCCCCCCCTATCTATGCTAGGCCAACTGTAATGGCCTTTTGGAAAAATTAGTTTTCTTCCCTCGAGATTTAAACCAAAATATTGACTAAATTATTTCACAGAAGTTTCAATCTTTTGCCCTAATATTTTATAAGTGATAATACATCTATCGTAAATCACGGATGGGAGGGGGTTGTGTGGCACTGTAGGTTCTATATATTCGGTGAGAATGTCAAATCACGTCCACATCGGGACAGTTTCACGACTACTGTTACCAATCTGTGGAAATTTCAGTTTCATAAGTACAATACGTTCACATCTTCTTTGGATCAAATTACGTTCTCACCATCCTTATCCTTATCCCTCTCTCACTCACTCTCTCTCTCTCTCTCTCTCTCTCTCTCTCTTTCTAAAGCTCCCTTTCTCTCTCTCTCTCTCTCTCTCTCCTCTCTCTCTCTCTCTCTTTCTCCCTTTCTCTAAAGCTCCCTCTCTCTCTCTAAAGCTCCCTTTCTCTCTCTCTTTTGTCTCCTCTCTCTTTCTCGCTTTCTCTCTCAAGCTCCCTTTCTCTCTCTCTCTCTCTCTCTCTTTAACTCATTTTCTCTTTCAAATTCCCCTCCTCTCTCTCTCTCTCTCACTCTATATCTACATTCTTTTTTTTCTCTCTCTCTATCCCTCTCTCTCTCTGTCTCTCTCTCTCTTTCTCTCTCTCACTCTCTCTATCTACATTCCTTTCTCTCTCTCTCTCTCTCTCTCCATCTCCCTTTCTATCTTTTACTCATTTTGTCTATCAAATTCCCTTCCCCCCTCTTTCTCTCACTCTCTATCCCTTTTTCTCTCTCCCTCTATGTGTCTCTCTATCTCCTTTTTGCTCTCTACCTCCTTTTCGTTCTCTACCTCCTTTTCTCTCTGAAACTCCCTTTCTCTCTCTATTCCTTTCTCCCCCCTCTACCCCCCTCTCTCTCTCTCTCTCTCTCTCTCTCTCTATTTTATCAAATATTGCTTTGTTTTATACTGCTAAGGAATGTAGAGCAATTTTCTTCCATCATAACAAGAAGCTATTACGTAAATGCTGATAAACAAACCAGGAATGAAAGTATGATAAGTATATATGATAATAAGTAAGTTAATTAAAGGTCACCAGTGATGTTAAATGAAATGCCAATCTTCGGCAAATGTGTTCGAAAATCATTAAAGCATGGTGATTACTTTTTGTTTTTATTAATACCATCAAGAGTCGACACAAGACCTGATATGAAAGGGAACAACTGACTACCTCTCATTGTCTTTTGACCTTATACAAAATTCATTATTTTGTGCCTTTTTCTCTTTATAGCCGTTGGTGAAGAAACTATAGACATAATTTACGGGGATGTTCCCTATCCGTTGACGTCATACGGATATCCTGCCGAATACCCGAATAATGTACTATACAGCTGGAAATTCATTGCTGGAACTGGTTACAAGGTACGTTTTATATATTTTTTAATGTATTTCCCGCCCTTTTTGTCAAACACAATAACATTAATCAAGACAGTATAGAAAACCTAATGTATCTGTAAGTCTGATTTATTCGAGAAGAAATATTTATGATTTGGTAATAAATTTGGTGTTTGAGCAAATAATTATGTTTTTATCATAATTGCTTCAAATTTATTTTTATTTGTAATGCAAGATAGTTACGGACATAGGAGATTCATCTTCTATATAAGTAATACGCTAAGGCTCCGCGGGGGGCGCGACGTCTCGGCGAGCCTTTGTATTCTATTGTTTTTTAATGAGCTCGCCGACCGAAGTTGGTGCGGCTATCTCCTCCTGAACCCTCCCCTCGGGGTACCCGTGCCCGGTGCCATCGTCCGCGGGAGAGTCTACTCTGTGGAATTGGCTATACTCCGCCCGAGGTCCTCCTCCGTGTCGACGTCCAGGGCGAAAACAGACGCGATATGCATAATGCACGATATGCGTGACGACAGAGATACCTCATGGATATTCAACATTGTATTAAAGAGACACTCGACAGACGACGAGCAACTCACATTATGTTGCGTATTAAATGCTCTATGCAGAGGGCGGGATTACCCACGAGTAAGCGATCGTGCTATAGGGTGTGCTTTGTACTAGCTGCAAAAGCCCGAGAGATACACGGGGCTAATTCCTGTCGACGTCCAAACTTAGAGACCTATTTCCATCATGATTGCCGCGATTTTGATATAGTTTTCGTGAATGGTGGTATGAAATCAAAGCTTATTTTGTGATTATTACGGCCATGCATACTGAATTTAGATTATCATTTTCTAAAGGAAAGTTTTCACAAGAAAACCATTGGACTGACAGTTTAGTCGCAAGCTGCTTCAGTCAACACACAGTGCAGCGTAACTCCGGGAAGCTCCAACACCGGCTCCCCGCACCGCAGGCGTCCGACGCCTGCGGCGCCGGTGTTCGAGCTTCCTGGAGTTACGCTGTAGTGTGTGTGAGTTCAGCTGAGCTGAGCTCGAGTCGAAGAGACTTGACACTTTGAAATTGTTATCTGTTGGTTTGCAGGATTATTGCCGCGATTTCAATATAGTTTCGTGAATAGATTTACGAGTATTTACAAGTATTACTAATGTCTACGTTTTTATACGACTGTCTGATTTTCTTGTGAAAATTTTACTTTGAAAAATGATTATCAAATTCATGGTCAGAAATAATCACAATCTAGGGTCTATTATGTTACAGTTCTTGCATCAAATCAATGCATGAAAACTTAGTTATTGAACTAGAATTTTTTTTTTTTTTTTAAATAGGCAATTATGAAGTAGGAAGCCTGAAACCTTAGCCTACTAAACAAATCTCAACAAAGTGTAGGCCTATCCTTTTATGAATTAATGAAAAAGTAGCCCCAGAAAAAAGAGCCCCCGAAAGTTGAAAAAGTAGCCCACGAAAATTTCCCAAAAATTTGAAATAGAGCCCTCGAAATGAAAAACTTAATTTTTTTGCCTGCGCCCCCTCTAGAATCCCGCAATTTCCGCGGGTCCTGAGTTGAGTGTATAGGCGTGGGGTCCACGGGTTTCAAGGGGCCATAAACCCCCAAAAGCTCGGGGGTTACGTTCTTCAAAGTTGGGGGGGGGGGGGGACAGATCAGATCGCAGCGAGTTGAGTGTATATGAAATACAGGCGTTGGGGTCCACGGGTTTCAAGGGGCCATAAACCCCCGAAAGCTCGGGGGTTTTAGGCGTTTAATTAGGGTCAGATGAGCATATTTTTAATACTTTATTTGTGACACTTGCGGGTCACTAATTGGCGTGGGGTCAATACGTAGAGTTGCGTAGTGTTGCGTACCAACTACGCTGGCCTACGTTACTATATGCTGAGGGACGGAAAGGGGTACGCAAGTAAACGAAAACAATTCAACATGTTTAATTTTTTTCGCGTACTTTCGGCGTAGAAACTTGACGCAGAAAGTACGCCTTTTTACACAACACTACGCTACATGCCTACGCAACAGTATGCTACCCTACGCCAGATCGACAAAGCAGTAAAAGCTTTCCACACAGTAAGCAACCATAAGCAAACATGACTATTTTCCCATTAATACGCAGCCTAATTTCTGCGTAGTCGGTACGCCACACTACAGAACTCTACGCAGTTCCAGTGGCTTAAAGAATAACTACCGGTACAGTTGGATCATTTTTTAAATTTTTATATAAGGCCAAATTTAAAAAAAAACATGTTTAGCGTCCTGTTTTTTTTTTTAAAAATGGGAAGGAGGAGGCCCTTTTTTTTTTTTTTTTTTCTTTCAAAATGGCCGCTCCGTACATTTTCCCTGACATTCGGGCTATTTTTCAAGATGGCGGCCGACAATTTTTTTTTTTCTTTTTTAAAATCAGAAATACATTTTAGCAGTGCTTTTCATGTTTTTTTTCTTTCAAAAAAAAAAAAAAAAAATTATTAAAAAAATTTCAAAAAAAAAAAAAATAGGGGGCGGCCCCCAAAAAGAAAGCGGGCGGGGACGCTAAACATGTATATATTTTTTTAATGGCCTGAATGGCAAATAAAGTTCTTGGTGGTTTTAATTTAGACAGTCTCTATATATCTATTTACACCCCCCGCCCCCCTCTAGAATCCCGCGGATTTCCGCGGGTCCTGCTAGTTGCATAAGTATTACTCTAGCATTAGCCTAATACCTTAATCCTTCCATAATCCTTCCATAATCCTTCCTTAATCCTTCCATAATCCTTCCTTAATCCTTCCATAATCCTTCCATAATCCTTCCTTACACAACGTTCTATGGTAAGACGCTCGATCTTAAGGCTCATGGTAAACGGTTCTCCTCAATTCAATTGGTTTTAACCCTTGACCATGCTGACCGAAAGCAAGTCGAAACGTGTACCATCACAAATCATATTTCTGGTCAAACAGAAATGCATGAAAATAAATTTAATTGGATTTTGTTTCTTAATCTGTCCCTTAGATTCGCCTTCAATTTACATCCTTCTCCACGCACGATGCCAATGATTACGTCTTAATTGGAGATGGTGACGTCATTGGTAGTGATCCATTTCTGCGGCTCTACGGCGGCGGGTTTGTCCCGGAAGAGATTCTATCACAAGGCGGTGACATTTGGATCACCATGGTAACGGACAGAAATTTTAGGTCCACCGGATTCTTGGCCCATATCACATCTGTGCTCCAAAATGGTTAGTTTGCTTTCTGCCAACAAAAAATGTTATAGTATACGTTTAAGTAAGTATAAGTGCAACATTACATATCCAGGCACTTCGATCATTTTGGAAGACAGGAAAGTAGCAAATCTATATTGAAAGTGGAAGATATATGAAAACAATTAATATTCAGTATAACTTTTAGTTACATTATTAATGCCTCCAAATCCCTCAAAATAGGCTAGAATTGTGCAACGGTCGAGCAACCGATGATAATGATTTATCCGAGTCCTATATATCTTGAACTACCTTCCTGTATCTTAAAATTTACAGGTTTTCTATTGATTTGACAATCACAATGACTAGTCTTATTATGTCTTGAAGACTAAAATACAAATGATCATGATCGTCATCGTGTGTGCAATTTGTGCAATCAGTTATTAATGAGATCTAGATATGATTATTTACGTCGGGAATGACGTTAAACATCACCTAACAAAAGACGGGACTCAGTTTCGAACCGGAGTCCGTCAGAGTCAAGTCAAGGGGACAGCGAGCAAGCCGTACCACCAGACCAACCCACATCCTCTCACTTGCGTTCTATGTCTTTTGTCGTTCTTTCAGAGGTTCTCGGAGCATGCGCACCTTCCGATATGCTATGTGGGAATCACTTGTGCATCAAAGCAGAAAGGCTTTGTGACGTCACTCCGCATTGTGTTTTATCCACTTTTGAACCCGGCTGCCCTGCCCGGATAGGTAAGGAATACATTTAGGAAGTTATCTTTTTATTACTCCATCATTATTTTCCCCTCGACCTTCTTAAATCAGCCACATAATTGTCACATAGCAGTATTCAAGGTCGTTTAGATTAGAACAGAATTCTTGGAAGTGAATTTAATATAAAACACTGAAAAGAGCCTCTAAGATTCAGTTGTATATCATTTTTCAGATGTCTTTCTTAAGGAAATGTCCTTACTCTCATGGTTTATTAAGTGACCAACAATAATATTATGCATTTTTATTTGTATTAATGCAAAGTGCTGTGAACCGACATTTAGTTTATAAAAGCGATATGAGTGGAATTATTTTTTTCCGTTTCACCAACAGATCTTAGCGGCACCAGCCAACAATATCAATCTGTGACGTCACCTTTCCTGACGCTCTACAGCGCCAACTTCCCCGCCCTGTACGACAACGACATCGACGCCACCGTCTACCTGACGGCGCCGGCCGGGCAACGTATCCTCGCCGCAACGCGTCAATTCGACATCGAGGCGGATTACGACTTCCTTACGTTCTACGAGGGACACGGCACCGATTCCAATGACCAGATCGCTAGGATCAGCGGGCTGTTGCCGAATCAGGTCATCATGTCGACCGGGAACCAGATGACGATCGTGTTCCAGAGCGACTATTCTTTTAGCTTATATGGGTTTAGGATCGAAATTGAAGGACAGGCGTCTGACGGTATGTGGAAAGAAGTCAAGCCTGTTGCACATGATGCGTTATTCTAATTGCGTTATTTTTATTGCGCTATTATTTGCGTGAATTGAGCCTGTGAAGGTCTTTCGTCACTTAGTGGAAGCATTGTCTGCTAGTTTACACTCTCACATGACCCGTGAAAGGCCACACCAGTCGCTGACACATTCATACGTCAAGCAATCGACAATTGCATGTTGCATCCAAAGCGTCATCTTGCTGTCGTAGGACTGAAACAGCGATTGGTGCAGCCCTTTGACGTGTTTTGTGCAGGTAGGCTGTACAAAAAGAGAATGCAAATCAACATAGTACAAACATTGCGTTGAATTACTAGCGCATGCACTTATTGCCATCTTAAGCTTGATCAGCGCTGGTATTAGTGGTAATAACGTAATCGAAATGTTGTGTGTGTAAATGGCCTTTAGAACTTTTAATTGGATCAGCAAATGTTTCTTCAAGCCTTCAAATAGATTTCAGCTGAGGAAAAAATCCTGGGATTCAACTAATAGTTGAAAACAACAAAATGAACATTTAACTAGTGAGCTTATTCGTCTTAAATGTGATGGGGTAAAAGTGCTTTATTTTTGCAATCTCCCTTGTATATATTTGTCTGTTTCTCAAACTGATTACGTACTCTCTCTCTCTCTCTCTCCCGCTCTCTCTCTCTCCCGCTCTCTGTCTAACTTTCTCTATTACAGGTTCATGTAACAGTGACGAGTTCAGCTGTATGAATGGCCAGTGTCGGCCCAATAATCTTGTTTGCAACGGAGAGATAGACTGCATTGACTTTTCGGATGAAGACAAATGTCGTAAGCCCATTTTCCATGTCATTTATTGTTTTGCTTTTGTTCAAAAAATAATTGAATAAAAAAAAAATAAAAAAAAAAAAATAAAAAAAATAATAATAATAGCCTAATAGTCCACTCCAAATTTTATTAAACCGAAACGGAAATTCCTTTTGCCCAATTGATCGTGAGCCCGGCAGCCACTGAGCAGCGCCAGATCGACGTTGCTCCTTTAAATGTCATGCTCATGAGGAGTTGTTCAGTGAGAATTAAGTTAATACAAGAAACACTCTCCATAGCTTAGTCACTGGAAACTATTCTAGCTGGAAATGCAAACAAACTGATTGACGTGTGCCATTTAAACTATCCTTGAGCACATGAAAATAGTATATATATATATATATATATATATATATATATATATATATATTCTTTTAGTGTATATAAAACAATAACAACGTTAACCAATGATCAGAACATATAATTTTCGTATATATCATTGACCCGATTATTGTCTTTACGGTGAGGTGAGTAAACAGTATACAAGTAAAATACCTCTTTATCATAAAAACATATTCTGCTTTAATACCCTTAGCTACATGTCAGCCAGTCCCATCCGAGTGCTCCAGCGTTCTCCCGTGGACCACGACCGTGTTCCCCAACGCCCGCTACCAGTCGGAGTCTGATGCCCTTCAGCGGTATGCCGAACTGGAGTCCACTGCGCTCTCCTGCGACCCCTCCGGTCAGCTGCTCCTCTGCGCCGCGCTCTTTCCAGAATGCCCACACTACGGTACGACGAGGAATCTGTGCCCGTCGGTCTGCGAAGCGGTGATCGACAACTGCCCCATGTTGTCGGAGCTGTCCAATGCGTGCTCGGGAAGCACGATGGTCGATGCTAACAACGGCAATCCACTCTGCGAGGCCCGAAATGGAGGTAATTGCTAGGATATTTGTATTTGTGTGCGTGTGATCAGGGGCGGGGTCACCCCCTTTTCTATATGTGATTAGGAGGACACCAAAAAATGCATTTATAAATATGACACTATCACTGCTTTTATTACAAACATAATCATAATTATAGACTATGTGTGCACCTTTTCCTAAAGTTTTTCGGTAGGGGGAGGAGTGCAGGATCTAACCTCGGGTGCAAACGTGTTTTCTTGTACATATTCTTCATTCATTTGGGGATTGCATAACGTATAAACGTGATGCTGTATATTTTTTTCAAAAGTGGAAATATCTATTTGGTTATGCGTGATCACATTCCTAGAATTTATCAACTTTCGAATTCAAATCTCCGGAAGACATATATACAGGCAAATGAAATGGTATGCATTCATAAATAGTGAATACATTAATGATTATAAGACAGGGTTGTTTAAATTCTTTAAAAAAAATATGAAAGCAAAGTTTTTTTCATGAAATGAATTCAAGGGCAGTGTTAATATACTCTTGTCTTATGAACAAAACCATATTTGAATAATTATTGTAATGTTCGCATGTTTCAAATGATGATAGACAAAGTTATACATCACATAAGGTTGATTTCTTGAAAGGTTTTATGATTGAAAAAGATAAAGTGATACATACAAAATATTTTCCCTACGGTGAGGACAACATATATCTACAAATGTGCACATAATATAATATAATTCTTATTCTCCTCACTCACAGATCCACTTGACACGATGGTGTGTGGCACCCGACCGGGCTACCAGGGAGATTCGGAGGTACAACCCCGCATCATTGGCGGCACTTATGCCGAGATGGGAGAGTTCCCTTGGATAGGGTCGTTAAGGACACTACGGGGCGATCTACAATGTGGGGCCACACTCCTCAATGAGTACTGGGCCGTCACAGCTGCTCACTGCACGTAAGATTTGATATAATGTTCCTAGCATATACATATATATATATAGAAGATGAAGACGGAGAAACACCACTGATCATTTGTATGTACCGTTTAACCGACATTAAGCCTCCACGACCATCTTAATAAGCTCACGGGGGGGGGGGGGGGTGGCAGACAGGGGACGGGCTCGTGCCCCTCCCTCCCTTTTAAAACCTTATTGGCATACCTTTTGTCCGATATATTTTGTTGTTTAAGTAAACAGTTACCAAGAAATCCTGATCATCTCTTTTTCTTGTCAATAAATTTCAAGAATATTGTGCCCCCCCCCCTTTAAAAAAAAAATCCTGAACTAGCGCCTGCATAATATCGATCTCACGTAATTTTAAAGTGAAAGAAGTTATCAAAATCATTCTTGTTTAGGTAAAAGACACCATTTTCAAATCTCTTCCTTTAACAGTGGTGTCTACGAGGAAATCGTTTTCGGAGACATAAAAATCGACACAGAAAGTAGTTACAGTGTTTCACCGAACATTGCCGAAATCATCGACCACCCCAACTACTTTTCGACGACGGGCGGCGACGACATCACTCTTATTCGATTTTCAGAAGCAGTCGTGTTCAATGACTACGTGCGGCCGATCTGTCTACCAAGTAACGTCAGTGAGACTCAGATCTATAGACGATGTTACGCTGCTGGCTGGGGAGTCATCGTGTCCGATGGTAAATATCAAAGTTTAAGCGGCCGTACGTCACGAACTCGGGCGACAATAGCTCATTAGTTCAGTCGTTGACGAAGCTGTTCATGATGATCATGGCCCGACAAGTAATTTCCAGATGAGAAGTTCAGTGCTCTTCTGGTAGCGGGCCATGATCTAATTTCTAACGCCCTTGCACACGGGACATCATTTCCATTGCGTTAATACTTAAATTCCGCTGCATAAATACGTAAATAGAGCCGCCAAACCGGCTGTACACCGACTCCAAACAGATCGACTTATTGCCATTCGAGGTAATGTCAATTTTGGGTCGGTCTGTTATCGGTCTCGTTGGTATGACTGTGTTGTAAAGGCAATTCTTAAAACAAAAACACTCGTGAACTGTTTGCGTTTACATTTTGTATGATCTCACTCCAGATGGTGCGTCAGGGACTACGCCAGTCAACTCGTTGACGCTCACTTCAATATAACAACGCCTCGTGTTAAAAAAGAAAACCCCATGTCACGGAAATTCTAAACTCATCCCTGGGTATTCCAATATAATTATATAATAATAAAATTAGGAAATTATGTTAATTATTTCAAGTCCACCCCCTGTCGGACTTAACAGAAGAGATGTTAATTCATCACTTTGCTATAATTAAACTGGCTTATTTATGAATGATCATTTTGTCCTGAAAACATGCGTAATTCAGTGACATCAATAATGGTTTAAAAAGACAAAGGTATAGTTATTGTCATTTGGAGAACAAATGACATTCATAACCGATTAAAAATCAATTATGCTCTCACATCTTAATATAATCATTTGATTGTTTCCCTCTTTTCTTTCCATAGGAGAAGATGCTTCCAATGATCTTCTCAAGGTCTTGCTTGGATCAATTGAGAATGATGCATGCGGGAAAATTTATGATGACATTATACCCTCTAAGATATGCGCTGGTTATTCAGCAGGCGGCTATGACAGTTGTCAGGTAATTTGTCTCCATTTGGGAAATTTGCATTATTTATTTGTTTTACTCTCTTTTTTTCCACCTTTAAAACCTTTTTATTCACCTTTTTACCCTTTAATACGCGCATTTTTTAACATTACATTTGTTTATCTTCGGCGTCCATCACATTATTTTTCAAAGTTTTCTTCCTCCTCCTTAAAATGCTTCACTTATTATGTTTTATCTAAATAAGTAACACAATATTCATTAAAAAAAAACCCACTTTATTTAAAGGGATAGTTGAGTTCTTGTTTAGGACCGCAAATGCCTTCAAAGTGCATGGTTATTGCTCTTAATATGTATGACATTTCTAGTGCCCTTTTAAGACCTAAAATTGCTATTAAGATAATTTAAGACTCCAAAATGTGTTAAATTTAGATTAAATCCGTGCATCCCAAATCAGCTCCACTTTCAAAAATTCGGTGACCGTTAATTTATTAATTAATAACCAACACGAAAAAGCCATCAAAATTATTGAATATTTATATATATCAATATCCTACTGGACGTGCCTCTTTTTATCAGGAAATGAAATAATCTTTTCTTGCCATTTAGGTCTGTCTCAAGAGATATTGGGGTATTTCAAATTTTGCAACATGTAACATGATATTTTTTCTACTTCTAGTTTTGAAGGTAGCATGTATCAGTCAATGCGTTTTAAAGACAAATTTTTCAACGAAATGAAGAACAATCAGTATTATCTATATGATAAGTAAAATAAAAAATTCTTCAAAGTTGATGAAATTATATTTTACCTAATCTTTTATCCTACTTTTCGATCTTGACAGGGTGATAGCGGGGGACCTCTGTCGTGTGAAGGCGATGATGGCCGATGGCATCTTGTTGGCATTACGAGCTATGGGACGGGTTGTGGTGATCCTGGGTTCCCTGGAGTCTACACACGTGTATCATCCTTCCTCGATTTCATTGAAGATAACATCACGCCCACGTCATGAGTTCATGTATTAGGGTAGGCTGGGTAGCAGTAAAGACATTGAATTGGTGGCTTTAAATAATAATTGTAGACTATAGAAAATACGAAAGCCATTGGAAAGGAATAAATTCCCATTCTAAAGGAGTTATTCTAAAGCATTATGACAACATGTGATATATGATCGTTGCTTGTTACTGTTATGATACGCGATATCCGTAATTCGTCGTAGTTGAATAAATAACATGTCTACCATAACAAACCAGTTATCCTTTGTTATATACCATTACTAGGACACTCAAACTCATCAGTAACCACTATTATACGCAACATTTCTTTCTCAAGTGTGATGGGTATACCAGTGCGTTCTATATAAAAGAAATCGAAAATGGGACATTCATGTCATAACTCTTTCTTTATACATGATTAATGGACCGTAGAAAATTACCTACATTCAAAGCATCATCTATAAAGATATTTAAACTTTATCTGAATGGTTTTTATCCATTACCCTCCATTCACCACACTGAGCACAATGGATGTGCCATTATTACCATTATTTTGTGATAATTTAACAACTTTCGTATATATATATATATATTTCGTATATATATGCCGTAATGGATGAAGGCCTTTAAGAGTACGTAGTTCGCTTTATTATTGGATTAATTCCTGAACTCAATTTTTTGTATTGGCGATTGAAATGTATATGGTCTTCATTAACAATATTAAATGATATAAATTTATAAGTGCCTGATATATATGAGATATAAAACTATCTGGTACTCAAATCCATATATTTTGTGTAGACCTATCTGTAATTGTTATAGTTATACTGAAAATAAAGACAGGTACCTATATACCTGTAAGAATATATTGATTATTCAAGTCTTACTGCATGGTTATACCAATAATGAATATAACAGAAAGGTTCCAGCAGCAACACAAAATGCTTTTATACACTGCTTAAATAATTCATTTCTTTTTGTACAGATGTGCCATACCTACTTGATTTATGGTAGAACAGTGTACTCGTATTTTATTACCAAAATAAAAAATAATGAAATACAATGCTTCCATTATAGTAAAGGTTTTGACAATCTTTACGAACAGTACAGAAAGAAAGGTATACAGAAGAAATATAATTCTTCTAATTCTATAATTTACTTAATTTTTCTTATCACTCAGTTACCTTATTCATAATATGATTAAATTAAATCTTTAATTGAACAAAAACACAAAAAGTGTGTAAAAAAAAAAATGTGACTAATTCGACTATAGATGCACAATCAAACTGTGCTTGTTATTAATTAACTGTGTATATATTGCCCTTAGAAATGTTTTAAAATGTTGCCGAACATTTCTCAAATAGCATTCGCTGTATCTCAGTTTGGTAATGCATACATTCAGAATGATTAACTTATCAACAGGCAAAGCGGAGTAATTGTTAAATAAAATGTTATTGAATTGATTTATAAGTTTTATAATCCTGATATTTTTTTATTCTAACGAATCGTTGATTAAAACAATTAGTGCAATAGAAAATGAATCTTTCAAGGGGTAGTTGAAAATTCTTAGGGAATCTCTGTTTTGTTTGCCCGTCAACTCTAAATCGCGACGCAACTATATGTATATTTGTAACTCCTGCGAGTCGATTCTATTTCCTGAAATCGCTCCTTAATATTCATTAGTAAGGAACTAAAAATAGAAACATAAAAGCATCAAAACGTTACTTCTTATCCCACACTGTATAGTATATGTATTTTTCTAATGGAAAATTTAGTTTTAAAATGTTTCCTCAATGATCTTGTTTGAAAATATTACTATTGAGATATGTTTTATATCAGAAAATGCATCTAGATCTTGTTTGCATATATATCTTTGTCTATATATTCACTACATGGTGCCACTTTATTATGCCAAGTAATGTAATACTGGTGATGTGATTCCCTTTTATTGTTGTTTTCTCATGTATTTCGTAGTAAGAGGCAGGTATTTGATTCATTGATTAAAATCACGATTTCACAGTTTTGTATTCTAAATGTTTATCATGATGAAATCTCTAACAGGAAAATAATAGTGCAGGTATGACTTTTTAAATAAAAATGTATAGCTGAGTTTTGTATTCAACGTAAAGATTACCAATTTCGTAAGTGTAAAAAAAAAAGTAAAATGGTTGTAATTTCATGACTTATACATATGTAAATTTATCAATGCTAATGCTTACGTCTTTCTGAAATCGTTAACAATTGTGTCTTTCATTTAGATGTGTGTATAGAAAATTGTCTTTCATGAATAATGTGTCTTTCCAATGATTTATGAAAATTGTTTTATATTACCGAAGTTCTTGAACGTTAGTTCTCTTTTCTTTTAATTGGAAAATGTAATTGTTTTCTTTTTCATGGTGCGTCTCATTTCAATTCCTTTTTTTAAATATCTGCAGATTACCTCACTCAAAAAAAAAAAAAATTGGCGTATGAAATGTTCGCGAAGATTTTGAGTGGTTTTACGATTCGCGATAAGTTACAAATCGCGAAACTGTGAATCACAATTGATATAAGACTGAATATTTACGATTCGCGAATTAAGTTTTTCGCTGTGAAAAGTCTCTGGTTTTATGATATATGCTTCTCTTCTTTTCTCCAATGAAGTTTTACGTATTCCTTCTTTTCCGTTTCTGCTTCATTACATCGTTCTTTCAGCTGTTGTATGTTTTGATTCCTTCTATCTGTATATATAGTGCCGGATATAGTGTAACAATGGAACCTCCTTTTATATAAAGAATATAAATGTAGTTTTAACAAACTCGCATCATCATAGGGTGTTTGCTGGTCTCACTTCTTTCCTTTGTATTTGTACCCCTCCCTCCCTCTCTCTCTCTCTACCCCCTTCTCTCTCCCCCTCCCTCTCTATGTTATATTGAAATAACCAGATTTCTAAATAACGATGTCCGAAGAGTTTGTGATAATAAGTCCCATTGTATATTACTAGTAATAATTGTGAATTTTGAATCTCCTGATTATGTAATCATTCGTTCAGGTACATTTATATTCCTTAACAGAACTTATTTAATGTCAATACGCCCGGTGTTTCCCTCGGTATCAACTTTCGAGCCGCTGGAATGGGAAATATTTGAATCTGATTGTATTTGATCTCCGTATGTACTTTTGAAATTAGTCTTTTTAGGCAGTATAGGTGTTTTCTTCATTGATACATTCCCATCTTGTAACCTTACATATAATAGTGCTCTATAATCATGTGTTTTTATATTTTCCTACACAATTTGTCTTTCTTTCCTTTTTTATTTGTGTGCAGACCCAAATAAAGAGATAAATGATTTGCAAGTATTTTGTCGATGTACTTCTTAGTCATTTTTCAAATTGTACATAAGGTGTTTACTGCAAAAGAGAAATGGAAGGGAGAGGGCGAAGCGAGAGAGAGAGAGGAATGGAGTGATTGGTGGGGAGAGAGAGAGAAATAGAGACAGAGAGAGGGGGGGGGGGGGTCGGCATTAAATACTGAACATCTCCAATAGGAATTCAAAGTGTGAAATAAACGAGTAGAACTTGTATTACTCCTTAGTACACTCAAGGAAGCCATTTCTGTATGTATGATTGAACAGGAAAACGTGTTAATTCCACGTTTTACCTACATCTTAATTTCCATTCCAAAACAATTTTACATTGTAATTTGATACATTATGTTCTTTAAAGAATATTCCGAGTTTTAACATCCTTGTTGAGTTTTATTTTTTTGTGATTTTGTCCTTTTGCAGTAGCTCTGCGTTTGTCTGTATTTGGGTATTATTTCATACATAATTCCACTGTCTTACTGTCTCTGTGACTTCTTAAAACTGACAGTCTATGCAACTCTCCCCCACTCTCATCTCACTAACTCTCTCTGAATACCGTTTGCGATTGGACTAATTTCTTAAAATGGATGCTTCCTCACAAGAGAGGAAAAAAGGCAACATAAATGTACTAGAGTTGTCTGGCACTGTTGCCATGTATCTTTCTCTTTCTCAACTCTTCCTCTCTCGCACTATCTCTCTCTCTCTTTGTTTGCATTCATTCTATCTATCCCAGCATAAACTCATAAATGATTCCTCACAAGAAAGAGAAAGAGGCACCATAAATTTAAAAGAGTCGTCTGGCACTGTTGCCATATATCATGCTCTTTTTCAACTCTCCCTCTCTTGCACTTGCCATCTCTCTTTGTTTGCATTCCTTCTGTCAAAATGTCTCTTTCTCTCCTTGCCCAGCATAAACTCATGATTCCTCACAAGAAAGTGAAAAAGGAAACATGAATTTAAAAGAGTTGTCTGACACTGTTGCCATCTATTATTCTCTTTCTCAACTCTCCCTCTCTTGCTCACTATCTCTCTTTTTCTCTTCGTTTGCATACCTCTTTCTTTCCTTCCCCAACATAAACTCATAAATGCTTCCTCACAGGAAAGAGAAAGGGGCAACATATATCTATAAGAGTTGTCTGGTACTGTTGTCATCTCTTTCTCAACTCTCCCTCTCTCGCACAATATCTCTTTTTCTCTCTTTTTTGCATTCCTTCTTTCAATATCTCTTTTTCTCTCTTTTTTGCATTCCTTCTTTCAATTTCTCTTTTTCTTTCCCCAGCATGAACTCTTACACTCCTGCACCTCCTGATCTGGTTATTTTCTAATAAAAAAAATAATGCTGAATTTCCTCAAATAAACATTCTTTACAAGAAGATATATATGGATGATACAGTATTTATAATATTTACAGCAAACATGTTCATCTCACTGAATTCCAAGTACACATGAATTTCAACTTCATCAGATTCGAATCTGACATGTACAAAATTGAAGAAGAAAACATTAACATGATACAAAACCACTATCATAACCAAGTAGAATTCAGAACAAATACAAAAAATAAAAAGCGACTTAGTAACACACACAAAGAAAGGTGATTCTCAATAGTTCATCATCCAAAAGAAGATTATTTGTACCTAGTTAAGTAAACTTCCAGGAAATTTGCATCTTCTGAAAAGCAAAACTCACTTTTGCAAATATAACATTGTGTGCTATGCATATGGTTACAATTATTACAATTACATGTATAATTTTTTTTAGTAAATTGACTGAATTTAAAAGAAATTTTGAAGAAAAAAAATGTATAGCTTGATATCAAACAGAAATATTTGCCATTCAGTCTCAAATATCATACAAATACATGTACAAATATGTCTATTGTCACTGGCTTGTTTTGTGGAAATATGAAAAATTCAGGAACAGCGCAGCTTAAATTCCATGTGAGAGATACTGATCTATCCAGGCAAAAATATCATTGATTACCTTTTATTTCTGGAATTAAACATTAGTAGCACTCTACACATATCCCTGTATACTTATTCTGAGTCACGTAAGTGCACATCGGCCAGGTGATATTAAGGGGGTTCTGACAACCCCTCCTTACACTATGATTCCCTTTCACTACATGTAGTAAATAAAAACTCAGATTTAGATTCATTACGGATTCTCTAAAAATATGATTTTCACTGCGATAAGAACTAAACATGATCATTGAAATTGATGCAGTATAATGTTACTTGGGTGACAATCGTAAATCGCTTGATCACATTTCGCATTAGCACTTCCTAAACAAAATGCAAAGGGCAATTGTGATCCCTGAAAGATCTGAAACATTCTCCATTATTCAAAGTAGTCCCTAATCTTTTCCATTTTAGGGCATCTCTTTGTCTTCTGGGAAAGTTAAAAGCGCCCTGTAGAGAAAAAAAGTCTTGAGACTTTGGTGGTAAGCGCTTTATAAGTAACGCTTTTATTATTATTATCATTGAGGGCGCCTCTGCTAAGAAGATACTGTCCAGATAAGATCACAAGAGACAAGGTTTCAAGGAACAACAACGTTGTCTGCGGCGATGGGTAAGATTTCATCGGTCTTCTTCCTCCAGTTCTCAATGCCCTTGGAGACGGCACACCACGTCTCCCCGTGGTGAGGCTCGGCCAGGATGCACCTGTCTCGTACGGTCTTTTGTTGCTCCTGGGAGGAGAAGGAAGTACATGTTAAGACAATGATTGTCAGAAATATATCACAGGAGACACTGTGTTCCTTTTCATCATCATTTAGGAATGTTGTTACAATAATTTGTTCAGTAAAATTACTCTGTATTTTGTTGATGAAGGTCTCTTGTTTATATATCTTATGTTTGTTGTTTTTATTGAGAATGGTGATAGATATCATCAACAACTTTGAGCCTCATATCTTTAGTGAAATCAAGGGAAATACCTGGAAAGTCATCAGTTGACCTCTGTGATCTTTGACCATTCACCAAGTTACTCCAAAACCCAAAACTCCAAAAATAATACATACTATCATCAGGTTTGAAGGTGATATCTCGGGTGTTTCTTGGGATATCAAGATAACGAGAAAGCGGGTCAGACCGACAATGCTAAAACATAATGGCTCTGGCACCACCTTTGTTGGGTGGAGGCGCAAAAAAGCAACATGATGAAGCACAAAGAGCACAATTTATAGGGAGCCATCAGGTATCTAACCTTTCAGACTTCTGCCCAACAACTAGCAGAGACACACTATAACCCCAAAGAATCTTCTTCTTTCGTGTGACATTTTGCAGATAAATTAAGGTTAGAGAGCCACACAAAGTTCCTTAATGTCTCTTGGGAAACTTGTCACCGAACAGTCATTGATTATGTGCAACAAGGTCAGGGAGGTGTTTCACAAAGATCCTAAGTTGAACTTATCTCTTAGTTGGACTTAACGATTATGGAAACCATTAGCATCATCGAAAATATTTTGTAAAAGTTATTTTAAAAGGCATAAAATATTGATTCAAATCATTCATATTTTCTATTATCATGGGAGATTTCATGTTCTTGATATGGAATTTATGAAAAGTCTAGAATACTTGAATTTTTGCTATTGAATATATTCATTATAAGGCTTCAAATGGCTCTCCATAATTTTTAAGTCCAACTTAGAGACAAGTTCAATTTAGGATCTTTGTGAAACACCCCCTGACCTTGTTGCATATTATCACTGACTATTAGGTGACAAGGTTCCCAGGAGACATCAAGGAACCCCAGTTTGTGTCAGATGACGCCCTTGTGTGGTTCTCCTACCTTCATTTATCTGCAAAATGTCACACGAAAGAAGAAGACTAACCAAGCAGAAACTTACCTCGTTTCCATAGAGCAGTTCAAAGCGATAGAAGTAAGCCCAGGCATCACCCAGGTCTGGTTCAATCTTCACCGTCCTGGTGAACCACTCCCTTGCCTTGGTCAGCTTACGCTCACTCCAGAACAACCTGCGAAGAAAATGATATCATTATCTTCTATTAAAGATACTATGTCCGTTTTGCAGCCAATGTCAAATTCTGTAGAACTTTATGAATGTGTCATGTATGTCCCATCTGTGAAATTTAAACATTAGCAGTGTCCTAGTATTCAAATTATGCAAGGAAACCCATTGACTTCACTGTCAGAAAATATTCAGTGACCGACTGACAGCATTTTTTGGGGGCCTGCAAATAGGACATAGTACCTTTAAAGGAGGGCTAAGGTCTTCAGAATATATTCATGGAATATGTATGTTAATTCTATTTTGTTAGCTTATGCTAAAAAAGAAAAACCCACCACCACCACCACCAGCAACAAAAATAATAACACCTTATGGAATAATACAATTTGTTTCTAAAATACATGTAGCTGTTTACATCCTAGTTAAATGATTAGCCAATTTGCTACTCGCAGTGGCTTCAGACATTTCCCAAATTTACTGCATGGGCTACATATAATTTCATATAATGAAGTCACAGCCATGTGTTCTTAATTAGAGGTAAACCCTGCCTTTTAAGCCTATGATAACAAACTAAAAAACAAAACAATGCCTACCCTTACAGACCATGACACGTCTGCATCAAACACACTAAACCTGCATTTACAGACAAACAATCAAACAAACTAGAATAATCACACAAGCAAACAAACAAACAAACAGGCAAAACACAAGATAATACGTACTTGGAGACAGCTAGTAGTACATGAGGGTCGTGTTCACATCTCTTGAGAGCATCAACGCTTTTTGTCTTCCTCTGCGGTCTAGCCTCCATGAAGATCGATTCCGCCCATAAGATACCCGACGTGGGACATTCTTGCATTGCTGAAGAATTGAAAAATATTTTCAGGACAGGAATTATTTAAGGGCTAAATTGATGACCACTTCTTCATCAAATTGGCAACAATTGGATTATTATTATTATTATTATTTTTTTTTTTGGGGGGGGGGGAATTGCTGCTCTGTTTTGATAAAAAAAGTGAGCATCTGTAAAATTATTCATGTCCATGAGCATCATCAGTGTCGTAATTTTTTTTTTTAATGCCAATTTGTATTCAAAAGCAGTTTCAAAGAGTTATATTATTCAGCCCTTGGCAGTAAGAATGAATCTTACTACTTTTTTTTATAATGTTCATTACTTTTAGGGTATAATTGCAAGCAACCATGAAAGTGAGAGAAAATGAGAACTCTTACCTCTTGCCATTGTAGAAAGTGCAATGGCTTTATTGCCTGCCCTGTTCTCAATCCTCACAGCCTCCAGCCTGTTAAGTAAAATAGAAAAGAAAAGAAAAACAAATTAAAGGGACTACAGGTATTTATCCACTTTGGCTTCCTTCTGTAGGGTAAGTCTAGGAATACTTTGGCAAAAATTTCAGCTGGGAACCAAAATTTCTGGGTATTAAAGCATTTATTTCATAATCGGATAGACAGTAGTACAATTGATCATAATCATACATATATACACACACATATATATATATATATATATATATATATATCACAATGTAGCATACATGGCCCAGGACAATGGACTTGCCAAAGCAGGGCATAACATATAAACATAAAACATATAGTTGTACAGATATAAAACAGAATGATGTGCTACGTAACGTGGAGTATATTGATGACCAAGGGCAGTAGACTAGTAGAGCATAACACTGAGTAAAATAATCATATTTCTATCTTCAGCATTGAACCACATACCACCCCTGAGTCCTGTTATGTTTGATTAATTGTATAACTCTAAATTTATTTGTATCTTTTTTAATCAATCGTAAATGTACAATGAGTAGAAACTTATGAATTACAGTTGTGTATTTCATATTATACAACTAATTCAGCAAGATTGGGGAAACAATCGTTTTTACAATCGATTGTACGTCAGTTTTTATGTTACAGACCCCTGGTCTTGGAATAGAAAGCCCTGAGAGATCTAGAGAGACACTCGGTCTGGCCATTGAGTCGGTCAACTCACCACAGATCAGCACACTGTTGATTGGTCAGTCTGGCCTTCTCCATGATAGCTCTGGCTTTGGTCAAGTTGCCCACTTTCTCCTCCAGCCTGGCGGCCAAGAGCCACAGTGGGATGGACCTGGGACACTTCTTCATCTGCATGGGTTTGAAAAAAATATATGAGATGATGATGACGATGAAAATGATGATTAAAGATGATGATGATAAAGTCACTACCTATAAAGTGATGGAAAAATCAGAATTGAGTGAAATGAGTGTTACCGATTGGTTTAAAATCAGTCTTAGCACATTGATTATCCCAACGCTTTTAACACCTAGCACATTGTGTTGTTCTTTTGAAAACATTTGAAAAAGTAATGAGACAATATTTCTTAAAAACTTTTGCTTCAGAAAAACCATACTGTAAAGACTCTTCCACGTATCAGGGAAAAATGCTTAATAAGTAACCAAAAATGGACAGACATAATGCTGCATATGATTATGTAACTCCAAACACATCTTTAATAAGTTTGAGCAAAAGAGAACAAGTTCTTCTAATATAATTGATAAACTATCTTCAGACTTGAACTTTTAAACTTTAGGCTCTCTTTCTGCAGGTACTCTGATACCTTGTAAATTACATTCCTTCTTGTTTACAAATTTTGATAGAGAAATCAACTCCTCAAGTATTCCTTGTAGATTTCTTGCCTCCTGTAATTTACAAGCCTGCCATTGTTCAAACACCTACTGCTGTGTAGATTTCATTGAGGCACGTCCTGTGTAGTTTACATGTAATACACAACCTGCTAATTAAAGTTCCTTCAGTCTTGAGTGTTAATTCTAAGTGACCTACTTCTGTTTTTAAATTAACTAGAGTTCAATGATCCTACAAAAGTAAAGTGAGCATCAATTTATCTGAATCAAATAGCAGTCTTGTCTTGAACACAGGTGCTTAAAAATTTCAATTTCATTACTTGGATGTAATTTTCATACTGTTTTCATCTATCACAGAATCAACAGAATCGACAGAATCTCTTGTCTATCTCTACAGTTTCTATTAACCAACATACTCCTAAAAGTTGGCATATTAATTCAAGTTGAACACATGATAAAATGCCTAGAAATTGTGCCACAATATTTTACAGGTACATTGCGTTTCTTACAGGTCTTTTAGGAATCCAGTAAAACTCTAAAGTAAGGGAACTCTTTACTTCTGCATATTACATCAAGGATACCCTTCGCTCTGACTCAATTGCATGTACTGTGATATAAGACCATGACATGTTTGAGCACCCTATATTCTGTCCACTATGAAGCCTGAAAATCTTGAAATGGAGAGATGACAGGACTTCAATTCAGACAAATGCCTTCCAACTGCTCTCTGTTACATACAAAGATTCTCTAATCCTTAAAGATAAAGTTGAGTTCTGGTCATGCGGTAACATTGTGAAAGAAAAGGTGTGGAATGGATCAGAAAAAGTTGATCATGTAGCATTAAGTATTGGTGTGTACTGCAAGGTTCTGGAGTCATCAAAATCATAATGAATTTAACCAAGTCTTGGTAAAGTAACAAGCACTGTACACAGAAAGATGTATATGGGACTACACAAATGGTGTCGGGGCTACTTACCTTGATTTCCTTATCTTTCTATGCTCATTACTCAGCCAGTATACATTTTCTACCAAAATTGTTTAGCAAATGACATTTATTTTTAATCTCGAACATTCGGTGTAAGTTTTGTTTGATTCTGTGAGAATTCATTTTCTTTTTTTACCAGTTTATCTTTAAATCCCCGACTAACCCCTTCATGAACAAAAAAAGCATATACATTAATGCTTGCATGTACATGATAACACAAATTCATGTCATAAAAAAAAAAAACACAGAATAAATAAGCAAATGAAGTACAATTTTCCTTTCATGGTTCTTACTAAATTTGTATCATCACGTATTAGTCAAAACATATATTCTTTCACATGATTGGTAATAAGAGCTTTCATTTCATTTTTTGAGAGGGGGGCATTTCCAAAACTGGTCTATACCTTTAAAGGCATTTCTATCATGTCCAAAGGAATACTTACACCCTGAGTGTATGTCTTCCTACTCTCTTCCTTGTTCCCTAGCTCTTCTTCTATATGTCCTTTCATCATCCAGAGCTGTACAACAAAAAAAGAAGAAGATAAATAAAATTCAACAGACCTAAAGAGGTAGACCTTTGGTAAACATGACAACTGATTTGAAAGCTTGCTTTAATACTCTATCCACTCCCACGTGTACAAATATCATAACTGCACTATTACATGAAAAGATTCGCTCTTCACATGCTCTTACTCAACGTGCCTTCACGGGCGTTGTGGCGTGTGCCTGTAATCCAGCCAAAAATGGAAAGTACAAACTGATTCAGCTGAGGGGGCAGGTTCAAAACTGAGTCACGTCTTTTGGATGGTGACGTTTAAGGACAGTCCCCAGATGTAAATAATCATAATTGATTGATACACCTCTGTAAAAACCCAATTACACACGCACACACGTGCCTCATATAGCAAACAGGTCTAGACACAGTTAACCGTTATAGCGACTTCTGAGGCCATGTGTTGTGTTTGGTCCCAAATGTTCATATTTGTGTTTAAAGAGAAGGTTGAGTTCTGGGAAGAGGTGAAAAATAATTTGTGAGCGTTATCATCTTTATTATGCAAGTGTGGAAGAACATCAGATAAGACATGTTCTCTGAAAAGCATGGCTCTTCAAATGCCTTTATATTCTAAATATGTCATGTAACATCGTAAAACTCGGGGGTAGGATTTTTACGCCACGTGTTCGTGTAGTCCCATATACATCTTTCTGTGTACAGTGTTTGTAACTTTACCAACACTTGGCCAAATTTCTTATCATTTTGATGATTCCAGAACCGTGCAATACACACAAATTCTTATATGCTAGATGATCAACCTTTCCTGTCAATTCCACACCGTTTCTTTTACAATGCAATCGCATGACCAGAACTCAACTTCAACTTTAATGCTTTTCATCAAATTTAGTCAATTTTTGCAATAATAATAATAATAATAATAACAATATTTATAAAGCGCAACATATCCATCTCTAGAGATGCTCAAGGCGCATACAAATAATTTAAATTATTATAATTGATTCTAATCCTCATCATATAGGATTGTGCTTATCTGAATTAAGAATTGTATAAGCTGCATTTGTCTATCAAACCTTGCATAGGCACGTACGTACAATGCAGCATGGCAATAAGATAAATATGCTCATTTGCATGTTCAGCCCCCTAATTTCAAGTGAAAAGTGCAATCATTGAAAAAAGAAAAAGATCGACACTCACCTTAGCAAAGTCACCATACTCCCTGACGCCTACAGCCAGTAGCTCTAAGGATTTCTGCTGACATCCCAACTGCCATTCTAACTTGGCAGACTTCATCATCACCTGAGAATTGCAAAAAGAAATAAATTGTTGACTATTGAAATCATCAACTGAACACCAGATATCACCTCAATCTTCATATATCTCTTTCCCTTTCTCATTTTTTATCTCTTTTTATCTCTATCTCTAAACCTGAGGGATATTCTGCTGTTCTGCAATCTATTGCTTTAAAGAAACTTATTCCTATGCCCTAGTCCCATCTGATACGATTACAGCTATGTTTTTGAGAACATGCTTTGTGATTTTTTTTCCCTCAACAATCTTTCTCTGGAACTATCCCTTGCCTTAGCTAGTAGCATCCTTCTGGCTATCTCTCATCCTCAATATATCTGTTGAAGCAATTTTCTGCTTGGCTGATGACATTATGAACCGTTCAAATCTCTCCTCTCCTCCTCTTTATATTTTACATACATGTGTAAGTTCACTTTTGTCTCAGCATTGAGAGTGTCTGTAAAATGGCACCCGGCTGGAATACTGACCAGGGAGTGGAGAATGTGCATATATTGTGTGCAGGCAAGGCTGAATTCGGTTGAACATGGTACTCAGATTTCAGAAAAGTGCTTATCGTAGATACATTAAAGATGTATTAGGCGCTATATACACCCAGAATATTTATCATTATCATTTTCATTAAATCACTGTTTCTTGTTTTCATAACAGATTAGACTCGTGCTTTTAAAATATTCTCACCCTAGCAGTAGGGGCGCTATCTCTGGCCCTTGCTAGCAGCCTCCTGGCTCTCTCGTCTTCATTGTTCTCGCTCTCTAGCTTGACAGCAGCCAGCCAGATCTCTTCACTGTTCGGATTGGCCTGGAAGGCTAAGGCCAGGATACGACGAGCAGCAGGCACATCACCCTACAAATTAAAGGCATCGTTCAACATTGTTAAATCTGAGATGCATGGCCCTACGTGTTATCTTGATGTCTACAGATACATGTCCATAATAGACATTGCCTGGCACAGATATTCTTTAGATTATTTCTCTGCTATCACTAAAATCAATTGAATACCAGGGTTGACTTACCCTTTAAATGGACTCTTTGTTAAAGAATGTTTCACATTTCAACTTATATATGACATATATATATATATATATATATATATAGATGCCTCATAAGGGATACTTACTGCCATCCATTTAGACTTGGCACCCATGAGCCATAGCACTTCAGCCTTGGGACAGTGAGCTACAGCCTTCTGAAGAAGGGTCTCTAAAGACTCCCTGGGAGAGAGAGAGAGAGAGAGAGAGAGAGAGAGAGAGATTATAAGAGACGAAGGGCAAAGGGAGGGTGAGGGAGATTATAAGAGACAAAGGGGGAAAGGGAGAGAATGAGGGAAAAGGTGAAAGAGAGAGAGAGAGAGAGAGGGGTACAAGGGATGGGTTAAAGTGATTATGCAGAAAAATATACAAATTAACACCTTATTAGTACATGTACAAAATATCATCCAAAAAGCAGGTTTAATTGCAACAAATATAAGATCATTATAGATATATGCAGATGAAACAATAACAATACCAAAATAAGCAGATCAGGAGATCTCTTTAGGAGATCTGCTTCCAAAGTATAACAAAAGAATAAATAAATAAGATAAATGGATAAAATGAATAAAATAAATAACATCATCTTACCTTGTGCCATGGTTCTTCTCAAAATAAGCAGCTTCCATCCAAATCTTCTTTCTGCTTTGAAAGAGTGTGAGAGAATGAGCGTAGATAGCTCGGGCACACTCGTGGGCTCCGTGGCTTGCACACTTTACCAACAACAAAAAATTAAAATCAATATTTGAGATGACTGAATTTTCAAACCTGCCAGAGTAAAGCAGGAAAACTATATGTATGTCATTTAAAAGCATAAACATCACTGGTACAGATTTTCATGCTAAATGAAATGGTCAATTAATTATTTTTTTGTAGATAAGGGCTTTAAGTTGATATGCAGAATCTAAAATCTAGTAAATATTACATTCTATATGCATAAATTTAATGACTAAATCATTCATAACTTCATCAAGTTTTGTAATTGTTTAAGTATGTGAAAAATTGATGTGTTTTGATATAAGTATCTTGAGAATGTTTCATATTAAAGCTTACATCTTAAAATATTCAACAAAGATCAATAAAGATCAAAATAACTCAACCAGTCCACCTTTCATTCTTTAAAGAGTTAGGGGAAAAACAAAAAAAACAAAAAAAAACAAACATCAAATTTACAAGGAGTATGAATAATTTAGTTGTTAACTGTATGTGTAAGATACTCACACTATCGGCATCATCCATCCATGTTGTCTCTCTGTCTTCATCTTCAATGCCTACTCCAATCACCGCTTGACTGAAATTGAGAATAAAGATTTATTCATTATCACTCCTTGACTATAAACACATGCGCAGAATAAACAAAAAACAAAAAAAACCAGATACCATTTATAAGCTCTTGGATAAAAGAACATTTGATGATGTGATTCAGATAATGTTGCGACAGCAGCTTTCTCCTCTTCATCTTCCATCAATCGTTCTCTATTGATCTATATATATTTCTATACATCTATGTATCTATCCTTTTTAAAAAATCTATTTATCTTTATATGTATCTACATCTACAAGTATTTATCTTTGATCTGTATACATCTATCTATCTATCTATCCATCTACATGTACCATATAGGGAGGGAGGCGAGTTGGCTCAGTCGGTAAAGAGTATGCCTGTCGAACCAACGATCTCAGGTTCAAATCCCACCCAGCAATTGACTGAAGCCTGCATTGTGTGTTAACGTGCCCCTCCCCTTGTTTCATAGACGCAAGCTATGTTAAAGTCACATAGAAGTCAGCTCTCATGGGGAATTCGACACCGTTCGGGTGTTTACCCAAATAACAGGTGTTGTCAATCACCAGGGTTAGCCTTGAGTTTTATGACCATTATACCTTATGTAATGCTTTGCTTTTCCTTCGCCCGAATAATCTCCGAGCATGCTCCGAGAGACTAGGGGGTAATTCTTGACGGGCCAACGGGTTTGCTGTGTGCAGATTTGTACTCCCATTAATGGTATTTCCACCAAGTCTGGTGTCAGCGAATTATAGCTTTCTGCACATGGAACCTGACTACCCACTCCCTTTAAGTGGAAAACACTCCATCCCTGGGATAGAATGTTAAATGGAGGCTCTGTGTAGAGAAGAGTCACTACCTCTGCACGTTAAGAACCCACTGCACTATTTGAATAAGAGTAGGGGAAAACCCGGTGTAGTGGTCCACCTGCACACCCCAGTATAGTACGACAATACTCTGTAAAGAGGGATGTACTCAAATGGAAGAAGTATATACTTACATGATAGCTTGACATGTACCCACACTGCTTGCTTTCTCACACTCCTCTGCATCTTCAATCCATTGTTCCCTGTTGATCTCTACCATGTTAGCTTTCAGAGATGTGATTGCTGGCAAAATCAACAACAAAATAACAATATGTAAACAAAAATACTAAACATCAAATAAATTACAAAATGAATTTCCTCTTCAAAAGTCTCCTGCAAACATGAATGGATGGCAAGAGGCAACATTTCAGGGGAAAAAATCCAAAGCTGCATATAACAATGTGATGGCTCCAATGCTGAATTCACTGTGTGTTACAAGAAAATAAAAAGAATTATAACAGCTACATATATATCATGCACAAATCTATCCCAGTGGATGCGCAATGTGCCTACAATGTCTGTATCTTTGATATCAATTTACCATTAATCATGCCAAATTTCATTTCAATTTCAGTTTTGACATGCAACCTACCTCTATCAATGATCTTCATCACATTGACCATGTTATTGTTGGCTTCCTCCAGTTTGGCAGCAGAAATCCAGATTTTTCTGTCTGTGGGAATGTTCTCTCTGGCCTTGTTGAGCACGCGCCTGGCGTTCTCATAAGGTTCCAACTTGGCAAGGGCTAGCCATAACTATGTATGCAAAGAAAAGAAGACAAAAAACAAATTGTTCAAACAGTTTATATCCACCTAATGAAACTAGATGGAAAATGATGCCTCCGCCACAACAGCATTGTCATCTTCATCCTCTTCCTTCTTCTCCTACATCTCACAATAGAAGTTGTCATCAATAAAACCACCATAATCATAATAATAATCATCAGCTCCACAATTATCATTCTAATTTTACATCCATGCTAGTAGAACAGCACTCTACAATGCTTCTTAGAAAGATCATTATTATTATCATCATCATTACCATCATCATTATTCCCATCACTGCTGGGAAATATTGAATGGTCATCTTACCTCACACTAGAAGAACAGCTTGTTACAGCTCTACTTCTGTAGCAAGATCACGACCACCATCAACATCATCATCATCTTCATCACTGTCATCGTCCTCGTCGTTGTCGTCATCATCATCATCTTCACCACCACCACCATCATCATCATCATCATCATCATCATCATCATCTTCACCACCACCACCACCACCACCACCACCAACACCACCACCACCACCACCACCACCACCACCACCACCACCACCACCACCACCACCACCACCACCACCACCATCATCCATCATCATCATCATCGTCATCATCATCACTCACCTCCACACTAGATGAACAGCATTCTACAGCCCTACTGAGCAAGATCTTGGCTTCTTCTGGTTCTTCCAGTTCCACAGCAGCTTTCCATAGCCTTACAGAGTTGGGCACATGTTCCAAAGCTGGACGGCAAAGACAATTAAAATATTGGAATTGAGGTATCAAAATACCACACAACAACTGTAGTAAGATTCATACTATCTTTTGAAGGTAAAAGAAAGTAAACTACAAAAAGAGGAGACCCACCCCCTCCCCCGCCCCCCCCCCCCCAAAAAAAAAGAGAATAAATGATCATTCTATACAATATAATACGATTTTAGGACATAAAGCAATTACCCCATAGGGAAATAACTCCTGAAACAACAAACTCTCATCCCCTAGACACCTTTCTCCCATAACAATACCCCTCCACCATAACCACTCCCTTCATAAATAAGACAGAATGGAAGAGCAGCTGTATTTAATAAATATAGTTTATATAGGCTATTTGCAGTATTTGTATCTAGAATTACTACACATATCATGATGTAGTTCTACTTATTTCAAAACATGACATCAAACACCCTAACAAACAAGTCGTTTTCTTTATAGGGTAATTGGGGTATTTTTAATATTGTAGTTGTAAGACCTCCAAATTGTTAGGTAACCCCCAAATGTTAAAATGATAACCTCTCACAAACCTTTTCTGTAGACCTTTCTCCTTGCCCCGGTATCTACTTCTATCGCTGCTGCTCTAATCCAAATACGTACAGAGTCAGGAAGGTTGCGCACTGCCTGAGCTATCACTGCTTTGGCTGTGTCTCCAGGCTGAAGAAAAAAAAAAAAAAAAAATGAGTTCATATTGACGCAAACTTAAAGGGGGTGTAGCATGATGCGACCACATGTCTTTCCCGTGGCCCGACTCAGGGGCCAATCGGGTATGATACAACTACCGTAAGGACGAAGCAACCGCAGTATTCACATGCGTGCAACATACGCAAAACTGAAGCATGCAGAGAACTTTGGTCTGTTTTGCGCGCTGACCGTTAATCAAGTCCATTCGTTTATGTGCAGTTGTCCAAAAGAAGTCGTAGATGGCGTTAACCAGTATTTCCCATGCTACACCCCCTTTAAATAACAAACCAAAGAGAAAATTAAAAGCATATTTAATAGTGGCTTTTGTTTCACATGTAAAGAATTCCCACTATAATCATTCTGTACATGCACATACATAATTAAAGCTGCTATAAACTGCTGCTGCTCCATGACTGTTTTGCGTGGAAGGAAAAAAATACTTCATGGTCACATGGCACCATTTGACCAATGACAGTGGACCCTTTTTTGCTTGAGGTATGTTGACCTCGGTCAAGAGCTCTCACCTGTAACCTCGATGCCTCCAGCCAGAGTTCTTCGCTACGAGGGCATACCTCTGTGCCCTTCATGATGGTGTTTCTAGCTGCCTGCAGCTTACCTGTCACTTCTTCAAGACGAGCTGACGCAATCCAGGCTACAATAAAACAGAAAGAATAATGAATGGTACATCAATATCAACTTCCCTAAAAAATAATGCTGTGTCATTTATGTGTCTTTTGATTTTGTGGGCTGGGCATACACATCATTCCCTCCTAATCTGTCAGCAAAAGTCATCTGTTAATTTGCTTGTATTCACTTCTCAGTTTGCAGCACATCGCAAAAAATGCCAATTAGAGCAATGCTATTCTCTTGAGTACTATACAGTTTCCTAAAGAATACAAAAGGAATTTCTTATGTGAAACTAACATCTCATGTCTGCACTTTACGTTAGTGTCACATGATCTGATTTTGCTACCACTCACCGACATCTGTCTGCATTATATTAAACAAAAGGTCCTCTAACGAAGGAATTATCGGTCAAATTTGTACAATTTGTTCACTTTTCCAAGAATGGCTCATTACCTGGAGGGTGGTTAGGGTTGGTCTCTCGAACAGCCTTCAGCCACTGCCTGGCCTTCTTCACGTCCGAGATGTCGCCGGCATATGAGGGCAGCATACTCTGAAGGTCGGTCAAGTAACCTTTGGGGTCGACGACAGTCTGTCCATCCACAGAGTCTGAAACCTGTGAAAGCACATCAAAAACAGAGAGAGAATGAAGGTAAAGTGAGGCCATGAAACAGTGAGAGAGAGAGAGAGGGGATATCTCAGCATGGAAGACTATGTGGTAACAGTGGAGTTGGCCATCTACGAACTTCTTCTTGTCATGAATAAGTCTTAAGTTCTTTACTAAAATAGGTCTTGCAATCTCACAATTTGTCTAAAAAACTACTGAATTTCATAGAAATTGACCTCTATGCCCATTGACCAAGTTACCCTTCAATCTTCTTAGTCCATCTCCCTATGCATGTAACAGTATTACCAGTGTCAGGGATTATGCGTTCAAGTTGCTCAATGAACATGTATCTTGAGATACCATTATAACGAGTTTAATAACACAGCGTATGGAAGGACGGGCACCCAAAACATCCGAGGAGCGTGCCTGATAACAACTCAACTTATAAACAAAAGAACAAACAAACAAACAAACAAACAAACAAGGAGCACATCCTCTCTCTAACCTGGTTAAGCTTGACACCCATGAGCGTGTTCCTTGCCTCGCCCACCTTCCTAAGATCATACTCTCCTCCTGATGGGGTTAACATGCCTGGTGTCATCTTGCCTGAGTAGGGGGTCTTGATGCCCTTCTGCACCTGTGCATCCATGGTGGTAGAGGAACCCTGGCCCAGGGAATGCTTGGCCAAGAAACTGTCCGGTACTGGAGTGATCCTGCAACATTCATTCAATTTCATTTATTTCCACAGATTCATAAAAGACAATATAAATTACAATCAAATATAATAAATGCATTAAAACAAAAGATGAACCTGCAGAGGGGGTGATAACAAACCACAGAGGTTTATCGGGGATCATCCCCTTAAAATTACAATATCAAAAGACAATAACTTTTTTTTAATTTTATTTTTTACAATTAACACATACAAAAACATATATTAATATTACAAGCAAATCTAACATGGAAATTGCAAGGATCATGAAATCGTTGTGCTCCCGGCAGAAGCGCGTTGCGCCATCATGCTAAACACAGGCGCGCACTGTTCTTTTAAACAGAAGGACGTTGGCATCGAAATGCCAGTGACTTCAATATTACATGTATGTGCTTATATGATACAAAACTACTATATTAGGTATTTACTATCCATTTACATGCTTTTATTAGTTGATAAAGAGCCTCTGTCATGTTTACAAATAGGTATAACATGTACAGAGCAATCAATTCATTGTAACACGTGACCAAAAATTTGTTTCATGGTCGCATGTATGCTAATGCCCTTTTGCAAGCCACACAACAATATGAGTTTGTAATACATGTGTGGATTTCTGGTTATGAGCATTCTTTCCCATTATGATTTCATCTGAAGAAGCTTCTCTTTTGAAGCATGTGTTGCACTTGGCAGGCCTCACATGGTCACATTAATCAAGATATAATATCAAATAAAATCTGTGATCTCACTTTGCCTTTATCTTTATTTGCTGGATTCTGACCACTCCCCTTTTAATAACGGAACAACAAGGGCAGAAAACTTAAAATAGCCTAAGTGTAGTGAAGAAAATGAAGCTTTGCCATCTTCTGTGTCTGAAACTGTGTATCCTTTCATTTAAACAAAAAAAATATTAAAACGACTTACTTATCAGCCTTTGGATTTCTCTGATGTTTGTTACGGGCATCACCTACGGTTGGAATACTGTTCCAATCATCTTCCGTCACCTCAACCAGCTTTCTCTAAAGATATACAGGAAATGTAAAAGATGATGCAGAAACATAGGCTTACTGTTACAGCATGATAAATGTGCACGTCTGTTATTCAGGGGTGATAGTGAGCACTTTAAAAAAAATGACGATGTTACTGTTATAAGGTGAGCTTTTTTCTCTCCCTAAAGTACACCTTTACTATTGAGATAAATGAACTAGTATTTAACAAATTTGATTAGCTATATTTCATCTCCATGATCCATCAAAAAATAATCTCCATGGAAAACAAAAGAACTTATGACTACCATTTCCTAATCAAAGAGTTCAGAAAAATAGACAAACGTAACGAACTAAAGAAAATACTTTCATCATGGTTTCAAATAAAATTACCAGAACTATGCCAATTTCAGTGCTTTGATGATCTAAAATTACATTTACCTTGAGATCTGAAAACTGCTGCTGAATCTTAGGCCTTTCCTGACGGTACTTCTCAATTTCTTCCCTGAGACGCTTCTCCCTGTCATAAACAATAAATAAATAAGTAAAAAAAACAAACAAGTGAATCAACAAATAAACATCAATTCATCCGACACACATCTGTTCACACAAGAACAGTCTCGATAAATGTCAAATTCTGTACGTGTATAGAAATATTGGCTTTCAGCAAGATATATCAAGAAATAGCTAGCTAGCTACACACAAATGGGATATTTCCTTATGAATCAATTTTTTTCTGTAATAATTCTACAATTTATCCTTCCTATGTACATATCAATCATAAACCCACGCGATTTCAATTTGGGGCAGATGATGTCAACGTTACCTTCTCTCTTTGCGTTTCTCATCCATACGTTTGTCGATTGCATCGTACACGGCATCGGCTTCCTCGTCGTCCTTCTCGTAAGGTCCAGAGTTGAAGAGACCACCACCATAGCCTGTGAACTGCATTGGAAGAGAAAAAGGACAAGACTTTAGTGTGTCAGAAGAATATCAAGAGCATTGATAGAGGGAGTGTGAGGTGTGACACCCTCCCCTCACCCCTATTTAAACAAATCTGATTAGGAAACTGGGTAATAATCTATAATAGTAATACGCTAAGGCTCCGCAGGGGGGCATGACGTCTCCGCCAGCCTTTGTATTCTATTGTTTTTTAATGAGATCGCCGACCGAAGTTGGTGCGGCTATCTCCTCCTGAACCCTGCCCTCGGGGTACCCGTGCCCGGTGCCATCGTCCGCGGGAGAGTCTACTCTGTGGAATTGGCTATACTCCGCCCGAGGTCCTCCTCCGTGTCGACGTCCAGGGCGAAAACAGACGCGACATGCATAATGCAGGATATGCGTGACGACAGAGATACCTCATGGATATTCAACATGACATCCGTAGACACACGACCGATGACTATCCGTATAAAATTGTATACACAAAAATCGGTCGTAAAAAAAACTCGAACCATATTCCATACCTTACCTGGCTTACCATGTCGCACGCAAGTACGCCAAAACACGTACATTTTCGCAGTTGCGAGATCGAGACGGAGCGTAGGGCTCGAGTATTTGGCGGTCGATTTTGTTTCGGTAGAAGCTGAATCTAGACCATGAACCACTAAACATCGCGAAACTGCAATCAATTTCCATCACGAATTCACGATTGCTGCAATATTATAAAGTTTCCATAAATAGAGGTATGAAATTAAAGCCTATTTTGTGATGTTCTCGCCATGTTTACGTAATTTTGATAATCATTTCTTCAAAGTAAAGAAAATCAGACAAAATCACCGTAACTGACAGTGCATTGCCACTGTGTAGTGTGTGTGAGATGAGCTGAGTTGCAGTTGAAAGTGTGTGGGTTGAATTCGAGTCGAAGAGATTTGACACTTTGAAATTGTTATCTGTTGGTTTGCATCATTATTGCCGCGATTTCAATATAGTTTCGTGAATAGATTTACGAAACCTGAGCTTAGAATTAGTAAAAGTATTACTAGACTCTAATAACTACGTTTTTAAAAGACTGTTTGATTTTCCTGTGAAAATTTTACTTTGAAAAATGATTATCGAAATTCATGGTCAGAAATAATCACAATCTAGGGTCTATTATGTTACAGTTCTTGCATCAAATCAATGCATGAAAACTTAGTTATTGAACTAGAAAAATGTTTTGTTTTTTTAAATAGGCAATTATGAAGTAGGAAGCCTGAAACCTAATAGCCTACTAAACAAATCTCAACAAAGTGTAGGCCTATCCTTATATGAATTAATGAAAAAGTAGCACCAGAAAAAAGAGCCCCCGAAAATTTCCCTAAAATTTGAAATGGAGCCCCCGAAATGAAAAACTTAATTTTTTGCCTGCGCACCCCCTCTAGAATCCCGCGGATTTCCGCGGGTCCTGAGTTGAGTGTATATATAATATAGGCGTGGGGTCCACTGGTTTCAAGGGGCCATAAACCCCCAAAAGCTCGGGGGTTACGTTTTTCAAAGTTGGGGGGGGGGGGGGGGAGAGATCAGATCGCAGCGAGTTGAGTGTACATATAATGTAGGCGTGGGGTCCACGGGTTTCAAGGGGCCATAAACCCCCGAAAGCTCGGGGGTTTTAGGCGTATAGGGTCAGATGAGCATATTTTTAATACTTTGTGACACTTGCGGGTCACTAATTGGCGTGGGGTCAATACGTAGAGTTGCGTAGTGTTGCGTAACAACTACGCTGGCCTACGTTACTATATGCTGAGGGACGGAAAGGGGTACGCAAGATGAACGAAAACAATTCAACCTGTTTAATTTTTTTCGCCAGCCTACGCATAACCTACGCAGGGACTATTTCCCCATTAATACGCAGCCTAATTTCTGCGTAGTCGGTACGCCACACTACGCAGTTCCAGTGGCTTAAAGAATAACTACCGGTACAGTTGGATCGTTTTTTAATTTTTATATAAGGCCAAATTAAAAAAAAAACATGTTTAGCTTCCTGTTTTTTCGAAAAATGGGAAGGAGGAGGCCCTTTTTTTTTCTTTTTATTTTCTTTCAAAATGGCCGCTCCGTACATTTTTCCTGAAATTCAGGCTATTTTTCAAGATGGCGGCCGACAATTTTTTTTTTCTTTTTTAAAATCAGAAATACATTTTAGCAGTGCTTTTCATGTTTTTTTTCTTTCAAAAAAAAAAAAATAAAAAAAAAAAAAAAAAAAAAAAAATAGGAGGCAGCCCCCAAAAAGGGAGCAGGCGGGGACGCTGTTTTTTTTTCTTTCAAAAAAAAAAAAAAAAAAAAAAAAAAAAAAAAAACTTTTCAAAAAATTTCAAAAAAAAAAATAGGAGGCGGCCCCCAAAAAGGAAGCGGGCGGGGACGCTTAACATGTATATTTCTTAATGGCCTGAATGGCAAATAAAGTTCTTGGTGGTTTTAATTTAGACAGTCTCTATATATCTACTTACACCCCCCGCCCCCCTCTAGGATCCCGCGGATTTCCGCGGGTCCTGCTAGTAATAATAATAATAATATTTCACTTTTATATAAAATATAATGTCTCTAAGCGCTTCATCATATTTGTTTATGATGAAATGCACTCAGAAGTAAATGAATGCTTTAATACATATTTTTTTCTAAAAAAACGGTTAACAAAAAAAAAGCCAACCGTACATATCAAGAATTTTGGGTCAGTCGCAAAGGGCAATACAACATCTTTTTTTTTTAGGCCTGAAGCAATTGCATCAATTTTCCTTCAAAACTGTTTCTTTCTCAAGTATTTCCACGAGTGTATAAAAAGTAAAACTTTTGTATGCCCATCTTCACTTCTTATAGGTTTGGTTGGTGCATAATTATCCATTCTCTCTAAATGAGACAGGAAGAAATCCAGTACAGATTTTACTTGTTCAATTTCATATTTCACCACACAAATTTTGTTCTTCTACTCCTATCTGTTTATTCCTTTATCTGGTTATACAAGGCCTTGGCAATATCTCTCATTTTCCGGGGATGGGAACCAGAGAAAAAAATAGGAAGGTTCAAGAGACCCATTTCACAAAGCCTTTTTTCAATGACAAATGAAAAAGTCAGTGACAAATCTGCTGATAACCTATCAGAAGCAAGGATGTCAGTAGTTTGTAACAAAGACTGTCATTTGTCACTGATGACAAGTTTTGTGAAACAGGTCCCAGGCCTTTGTATACATTTAAACAATTAATATCCAGCCCTAGGTTTCACATACCTCATCAAAGTTGTTGTCATTCAGATCTTCATCGTCACTGTTATCGTCATCATCTTTCTTCTTTTTCTTCTTAGGGGCCGGATGACGGTCATCACTTTATTTGAATAAAACATAGCACACATGATCAATGAAAAAGGTATTTGAAAGACTGCTATAAATAACATGGAAATAAAACCTGACTTCAAGAGAAAAAATAACATTTGCTATGTACTGTAAAATTGTTTCTTTTTTTGGACGATACCATTCTGATAATTACATACATGAAGTTGACTGTGAAAAATAGGAGCTTCCCTGCATGTCACAAAAACAAAACTGGCTCATTTTCTCTGGAGAGAGTTACAAATTCCAGGATCCAGGTACATGTATGTTACAAACTAAAAAGCCACCATGCCATGGTCATTTACCCTGACCACTCATCGAGGATAGCTCGGAACCCTGACAAGGCTTTTTGCTCAAAGATTACTAAGGCTCCAAATAACAATAAAATTAAACTAAATTCACAAAAGAGTTTCAAGTCCAAACAATGTTTTAAAGCTCCATCATTGGCTTTAATGTAGGCCCATGCCAGTCAACATGATACAAGGCTCAGGCTCTACACCCATATTTGCTTAAATGAAGGTCTCATGAGTCATACATTGTTCAAATGTATACCACCTTTAAGAATTTCACACTTTTGAGTATTTAAGCTCTCTCTTTCGTACAATTATGGACTTACCTGATGTCATTGGCTTCTCTGGCTGGACCAATATCAGATCGAGTTGTGAATCCAGTAGCTCTGTCAAGAAAATAAATAATAAAAGATCAAATTTATGTTAAGGTCGGTTCTGTTTTGTTTATTTCTTTGAGTATGTGTGTGTTCATTTTGAATTTAGAATTATATTTTACTTCAATAGACCAGGTGGAACCATTAATCTGGGGGTCATTTCACGAAAACCATCAGAATCACAAGATCAATGACATCCCGCGTTAGTGATGCGAAAAAACGGATTCCCGATGATGCTCCTTGATGCATTTCACATTGACTTTGCACAGGGACTTTCAAGTTATGAACGATAAATCCTTGGACCACAGTACCCCTACTATCAAGTGGACCCTATCTTACTAAGAGTCAAAACTGCTCGAGCCATCAGCCAATGGGAGCACCTCAACTTACTGTACACAGTAGGGGCGCTGGTCCAAGAATAAGGCTCGTCCGCATAAACATGGATATCTTTGTAAATACGGACAAATTGCGTCCTAACAAATAAGGATCGTTTTTTTCATCGGTGCTCTGCGGGTTTAACCGCATGCTGGCAATGTGGAAAACGGATTCTGCGTAATAAAATACCCCCAATTCACAGTCAACTTTTATGGGTTTCTGTAAAAATTCAATGTAAAATGCATCAAGAAAAGCATCGGCCATGATGATCGGCCATCACAGAATCTGTTTTTTCGCATCGCCAACGCGCGGATCGGAAATATGAAACGTCTGCGAAATCCTTATTTTTACAGACGAGTTTGTCTGAGTTCAAGAAGACGATCCTCATTTGTGCAGACGATCCTTATTCTCACAGATCAGCACCCCTACTGGGCTGGCACAGCGCTCACTTCTACGTCATGACGTGTACGTGCCCCCCCCCCCCCCAATCTTCACAGCGATTGATTTCGCCTAGCATTTCACATACAGGCGCTAGGTATGACAAACTGTGAATAAAGATTAAACAGTTACCCATACATACACACAGAGTACACACAAAAAACAAAGACATTCGGACACGGACAAGAGACGACACAAAGTCAAAAGTGACAAGCGACACATGCACACTGCACCGAGCCCGAGCTCCTCGCCTCTCGCCTCTCGCACACACTGACACAGCTCAGTGACGGGGTCGGGCTAACTCGCCCCACGGGACATCTCGCCCCAGCCTTTTAAGCTGGGGCGAGATGTCCCGACATGATTAATCGATCGAGAGATACCAATGTGTATATGTTTGTGCTCATTGTGACTTAATAATGCCATTTCCAACCACAATCTGCAATGGAATTGTGTTATATGATACTATTAAAGACAATCTAGACCTCTATAACTTCTCTTAAGGTAAAATGACAAAAAAAACGGCATTTCGGACCATTTACTCACAGCTCGCAAATCGCATTGCATTTTACCTAAAGAGCAGTTATTTATAGATTGTCTTCAATAGTATCATTTAACACAATTACATTACAGATTGTGGTTGGAAATGGCATTATTAAGTCACAATGAGCACAAACATATACACATTGGTATCTCTCGATCGATTAAATTTGTCGGGACATCTCGCCCCAGTCTTTGAGGCCGGGGCGAGATGTCCCGTGGGGCGAGTTAGCCCGGATTCTCAGTGGAATTCAGTGACACAGTCATACTCACACAGAAAGTTACGCGAATCTCAAAGTCTGAGTTCAGCAAATGAAACAAAAATAATACGTAAATTAATGAACATACCCTCTACCCAATCCAGGAACATAGCCCAATGGAGCGGGCATGTTCATGAATTCTCGACGCTTTTTGTTGACGAGTGCACCGGGCGCTGCCATCTTGAAATCGTATTTTTAATGAAAATGGAGAGCGCCAACTGCGGTTTGACAATTTTAAGTTACAGGGAGAAACGAAGAACCTCGATTTGTTGGGGCCAATGAATAATCATATCTTATGGTAATTTGATATAGCAGAGCAATGTCTCGACAGGTATGTTATGTTTTTATAATCATTTTTATTTCATATCTGATGTTTATCTTTAAGATGATTGAGATTTAATTAATGAGAGAGCAAGATTGAGCGAGGTCATGGTGAAGAATGAGCTCTCCCAACACCGTTTTAAACGAGTGGGACCAAACAGATCTATTCTTCTTCTTCTTCTTCTTCTACTAGATCTAAGTACATTCCTCTTTACAGAGTATTTCATACTATATTGGAGTGTTCAGGTGGACCACTACACCGGGGGGAATGTTTACACACAAGGCAGGCTTCAGTTTTCTGCCTGGGCTGGGGGTGATTCGAAACCGAGATCTTTGAAGTTTGGTTTGACTTTGAGCACATAGACCTAGTGAGTAGATCTAGGTCTAGACCCTAGACCTAATTCTTTTTTTTTTTGTCCAATTTGTAAAATATTGAACAACATCTTAATGCTGTTCCACTAACCTCACTTCTTCCAACAAAATTCCACAGGTATTTGTAGCACTGAGGTACGGTTCCATGCCCATGTTGGGACTAGGCCTCCTCCAAGTCAAAGCAGGAGAGAACACGGTGGGCGGTGAGGACATGACCCCTGTGACCTGTTTGGTGAAGCCCAAGGACCTGCCGGTCTACAGCGAACCTGAGCAGACGGAGTACCAGCTGATACCGGAAGGACCCAGCGCTCTGAGGGACATGGTGGGCACAGTCAGGGAGCAGATCTGGAGGTTCTCGGACACCTTCAACGTAAGCAATGCAGATCTATACAGGGTGTTTCAAGGATCCATGATTATGAGGTCACAGCTACCAGCTGTTCTGTTTTGATGAAGACTGATATGTGACTAGTAGAAGTATGCCTTTATGAGCTTTTACCAACCATAGCTGGGGGGGGGGGGGGGTACGAAAAATATGAAATACAATAATGTAATAAGTGGCATTATTTGTTGGAATATTTCTACCCCTCCCCCCCACCCATCATTATGGCAAACTTAATTGTGAACTGCTGTTAGTATATTTCTATTACATCAACATTTGAAATGAGAGAACTGTCGTTTCCCACCTTCATTTGTCATGTATCAATTTGAAGAAAAATGTGCTGCATTTCTTACTGTTTGCTCAGACATTTTTTGTCCCACAATATTGTATTCACTAAGACCTTCCTTTCCTTTCTGTCCCATCCGTACAGGGAGCTATCAGTTTTACACAAAGAACATACAAATCAGCAGAACAGACAACACAGAGTAAGTGCAAAGTTTGTTCCTTCTTCCTACATGTACATCACAATGTTATCTTTTGTATTAGAGAAAATTATGTTAATTGTCATAACAAACTCAAAATGTGTGTAATTTACAGTTACCATTGGTGCTTTTGCAGATGTTTAACGCTAGTGTAGCCAGCTTTACACATATACATTAACCATTGACCTGTCCTGGTTTTGATTTGTTATGACATTTAGCATCATTTTACATACATAAAATATAATATTGTTTTTAGATTACACCTCTAAAAACCAAGCTGATTCCAACAAAATGGAATACACTATTATAATGGTATGTATAAGCAGTTTGCGACATCATGGTCTCGTGGCAATGTGGTATGATAATATTTTGAGATTAATTAAGATTCGTAGTATACTTCCTGATCACTCACATATTAAAAATTCCTCAAGGCTATGTAATTCATGTGAGACTCCCAAATAACTTCCCAGCATAAAAAGTGAACTCAGGTAAACTATGAGTACCGGTATCAACAATTACTATCAAGATCTATGTTCCCTGTCGGACAAGGGGGCAATTTTTGTTTTTATGTTTGTAGCCTCTTGTTTATCTCTCACCTGAAGGGTTCATTTTTCATTGATTTCAAAATCAGAGAAAATTATTTCTTCCATTGTCTCTGACTCTCTGTTCTTTTACATGAAAATGCTTGTCTTGCCCTCATGATCGATGTCGTTCACCAGAATTGATTTGATGTTCTGTTAATTCATTGCAGGTGTGGTCAAGTTCATCAAAACAGAGGAAGGTTTCTACCCCAGGGCAGGGGTCATCTCCATTGCTGGTCTCGCTGGCCTTGTCCTTGCTAGGAAAGGTATGTTGACCGATCATCAGATGTGTTTTTTAGTTGAGGGCAATTCAATAAAAAGTGACCTGTACAATACATTCCCTTCAATTTTGTTCTACGTAAAAAAAAAGGAAAAGGAAGAAGAAAAAAATCATGTCAACACCATTGACAAATTACTGTATAATGACCGCACGTTGGTTGTTGTTCTAACATATATTGTGTACAGTCAGTAGGCTAGAAATAGGTTCTAAGATACATTGTCAATTGCCCTAAAGTCAGTGATGTACACTAACCCAATTTTTTTTTTTACTTGCAACCCGGACCCAGCATACCTGACCAAGCCATAAACCAAACATGAAACCACTTTGTAGCCATAACCCTAATCTTACATTTCTGTGATGATGTAAAACCAGAGCAAATGTCATAATGTATTGTACAACATGCACATAATTGACCTTTTAAATGTTTTGAGTCAGAGTAGCAGGCAGTGTTGCAGATGATAGTGGTGAAGCTAGGTCATCTTTGGTTCAAGATAAATCAGTAATACTGTTGCCCATTGGAATGGCATTAACCATTGATACTCAGTGCCCTAGACCCTTCAAAAGGACATCAAGTCATAGGTCCCCCACGGAGGCCTATATTTGTCCTTTGAACACTGAGTAAGATAAGAGATCTACTATTAAGGATTGATATAGGCATTACTGTACCTGTAGTATCTGTACTTTAATAGATTGTCTACTCTAAATATGTTACTGTGAACCACGTCCCTCTCTACAAAATGCTACAAAATGGCAGTACCTCCTCTTTAATCTACTCCTTGCAACCATCGTCATCTTCTCCCTGCTTTATAGGTGGTTTCTTCAGGAAGGTTCTGTATTCTGGTGGTCTGATGACGGCTACCGCTTCACTTTGCTATCCTTACCAAGCAGTCAAGATTGGCAAGGCTGAGATTGAATGGGTTCAAACTAAGGCTGCGGACCTTTATAAAGGAGCCACATCAACACCTGCAGTAAGTATGGATATTAACATTCAAATTTGAAAAAAGACTCTTTCTAGAGGGCATAGTCTTGCAAGTTGATTCAGAACCATTGATTGGGAAAGTTTGGCCAACCCGGTTCAAGTTTGAATACTGTTTTTGTTAAAGCCCAAGTCCACTCCAAAAATAAGTTTCTTTCAATAGAAGCAGAAAAATCAGACTAACCAATCAAAAAAAGTCTGAGCAAAATCGAATACCTAATAAGAAAGTTATGAATTTTTAATGACATTAAAAACTTTGAAAATCACTAGACAAATTGGCAACTCACTCATGAGTCTGTGACGTCATGTCCTCACTATCCACTAATTGTTTTTCTTTATATTGATGATATAAATTTCCTATTTTCTCCTTAAGAATCTTATTTCTTAACACCATCATCCAAGTTAGATTAATAGAAATATGTTTTTGTGTGGATGCACTAATATAGAGTTATTTTTTCCAGTTAACTCATGAAAAATGTGAATTTTGATAAACTATTTATATAAAAATCAATAATTATAAACATACAATATTCAGAAAAAAGAATAAATTCTTCAAAGTTCATAAAATATTTTGTGAAATTTTCTGCACGCAATATGATACAAATTATATAAACTGGGCAAAGGCATGGGGAAATCAAGTTTTGGGGAATAAAAAGGGAAATTAATTGGATTGAACCATATAGAGCAATTGATAATTAGTGAGGACATGACATCACAAACTGATAACCATCTTGGCAATTTGTGTTGTGATTCTCATTGTTCCATAGTTTTACATACTTTTTCAAAAATTCATAACTTTCTTATTAGTTATCCGATTTTGCTCAAACTTTTTTGATTGGTTTGTCTGATATTTCTGCTTTAATTGAAAGTAAGTTATTTTTCGAGTGGACTTGTCCTCTAAGCAAGCACAATACAAAGAATATATGCCATGTTGTATGAAATTTTTGCCAAACTATATTTGGCTCCGAGCTGACACAGGGGGGGGGGGGGGGGGGGGGGGGGGGGGGGGAGGGGGGGGGGGAGGCAGGGAGTGGAAGGTGGGAAGGGCTATGATGTTGGCTCTTTCAAGAGAGCTGCATGTTTGGGTATACATGGATGAGAGTGTTTCTTTACTATGTTTAAATGATCAAGGGGAGGCCTTTTTTTCCCCCTTTTTTTAAATAAAAAATAATTGTAGGGCAGTGGGATAACAAAGACAGCTACACATAAGATGTACTTGATAAATATGAGAGAAAAGCAGATGATAAGGGGAGAGGATGAATCAAGCCTTAAATTCACAATTACTTGCTACATTTTTTACAGACTGTTTAATACATATTGCTTGTTCAGGCATGTATATGTTTACAAATTTGAAAAAGTGGAGTAATTGGAGAGTGCTGAATTCAATCTCCTGTATCCAAAAGTTATTGTTGCTATTGTATTCTTAATTTTTACAATTTTTTATCATTTTGTGTAGGTTGAAAAGGTAGCAGCCACAGAAGCAAAGACGGAAGAGGACACCAAAGCAGAGACCTCCAGTTCAGAGGAGTCTGCTGAGAAGGTGGAGGAAAGCAAATCAGGCACTAGCCTGGAGGATCATGGACAGTCGAAGCCAGAGGATAAAGACATGTACACCACCAGAAGCTGAGTGCATGAAGGCAGCAGGCATGAACTCTGACCTTTGAACTTTGAACTCTGACCCCTGGGCAGTTTTTTGAGAGTGTCGCTCGATTCAAGATTCTGATGCGTGGCATAACTTAAATATATATGAAATTGTGTGTGGAAAAAGAAGGATAGACTCATCAAGAATAACTGAACATAGATCTATAACGGCAAGAACGTTGGCCTGTTCATTCAGGATGCATACATTAAAGCCCCACTGCACTACTTATAGCTACTTGCGCCCTCTATATAGCAAACAATGCCTAAGTGGTGACTGTTGGTCCCCATGGTCCCCTATTTCTTATCTTAATTGAAAGCTAGTTTGATGAGATAACTACCTGTCAGTCACCATGCAGGGAGGTCTAATCCCTCCTATTCAAACTAGTGCAGATAGGCGTTAAACAACTACCGGTATCTAGGCTCACCAATTGAGGTTTTCGGCCGTCATAACAAGGCTGTCTTCTTAACAATGTATATCAGCAGCTAAGGCTGCCGCATGGTGTTACAGAAAGCCTTAATTTGTGAGTACTTACCCATCATGGAAACCTACAGATCATCTATCTTGGCTCATTGATGTCTAATTGCAAGTATTACGTACCCAAGTTACACGTCTGGATACCTTTTTTCAGTGGCATGTTCCAACATGCTGAAATTACTTTAATGACATCATGTATGTTATTGACAGTGTAGTGCATCTTCTGTCCAAGTCATTTCCATGTCTGAGAATGTGGCATGGGTTTATTGATGTAACGCAAGGTACAACTGAAGGCTCTCCAGAATTTGCGCTTGTGATAATGGTGTTGACTACCTTATATTCATGTCTGTTTACATATTTCATTCATCTTTATGTGATGTGCAGAGGATATTAAGGGGATCCAGATATAATTACCTTCATACTCCCTTCATATTGAAGTAAAAGCTGTATTTAACAAGGGGGGGGGGGGGGGAAGTCAATTTGTGCGTATATTTTATTTGGATAGCTTGCAAAGCAGAAGTTTGAATGACATTCAAGTTGTTGTCTGATTTAACTTTTGAATAAAGGAGATACATTATTATTATCATGTACACTTGTGTTCTTATGTTTTGTACATTGACAGTCCATCTATTAGTGTCACTCATAATATTTGTACATAAAACTCTTCATTTCTTTTCCCCTATTATTCTCTCATCTATCTCTCTTCCTCTCTTCTCTGCTAATTCCTATTTAAAATTTGTTTTGTAGACTTTCTCTCCTCTCTCTCTCTCTCTCTCTCTCTCTCTCTCTCTTTATCTACATCTACATGTATCTATCTTGTTTTATCCCTCTCTGTCTCTCTGCTCCTCAATCCCTTTTTCTCAACTGATCAAGTATATAATCTTTCACACCTTTCCAGTAAATGCACATGAATGATTTGTCCACCAAAGAAAGAACAATATATCTGAACATTTTTAGAAAGTGAGTTTTTACTGAGATAGAAAAATACACATCGAGCAATACATAAAACTATATAGATCTGAAGTACATACGTCACACATCAAGATAGATTCTACAGTACAGTACGATATCAAAATACACACAATTGCTTAAAATGCTTGCAAAACAATAGATAGTTGTCAAAAAGCTGAAAGACAGTCTGTAGTACTACTTACTTCAAGGTGTTCTCTTCTATACGTAAAATGACACTTTGTGGACAGTTTAAAAATCATCTTTTCCTACCCAAATACATTTCAATATTACACTAATAACAACTGTATTTTATATCGGCATGCATAACATTTGTGCAGTGAATACATGTTTGAAAAACAGATACTTGTGCATTTTACATCTAAGCTGACAAATTTGATACTATGATTACTTTACAGTATCCGTGAACATATAAATGATCGAATGCCTCTTTCGTGCCTTTTAAAAGGATGGAACAATACACTCTGATACAATACAAACATGTTCATGTAGCTCCAATGATGAACACATAGTTAAAAACTATTAAAAAGCCTGATAACTTCAAAGATAAAGCAAGGTTTTGCTAGACATCAGCCATCATGAAAATACTGCAAAATGGTATTAATATAGTGTCAATATGTTTGAAATTGGTAAAAATGCCAAGCCAATAGTTTCAATAACTTAACAAATTTCAATGTGCTTCTGGCTCAAGGTGTACTGTTCACATATATATTTTCCTGCTAAAAAGACCATCATTTCTAAGCCTTTAAAGTGCTTTGACAGCTATAAAGATGGAGACCAAAAAAAAAAAAATTTCAAAATGAAAGAAAATGATACAAAGTCCTTTCTAAATTATGTGTTAAATGTAGAAAGTTCAATCATGCTTAAAATTTAAGAACTTCTATTCCAAAATGAAAATGTGATACACCTATATATCTGAAGATGGTCACACATTTTGACTATTTCCTTCCGTTTTATACAGTTCACATGAGACGGGCTAATACAAGTATATAGAATTCACAACAAATCCTTATGATAAATGTAGCAAGACAAAATATGAATACTGATAATATACAAATTCAAGGTGATTATAAAAATATATATTGCATTTTATAAATGTAAACCAGGGGGGTGTTTCACAAAGATTTTAAGTCCAACTTAACTCTAAGTTGGACTTAAATATTATGGAGAGCCATTTGTAGCCTTATAATGAAATATATTCAAAAGCAAAAATTCAAGTATTTTAGACTTCCATAAATTCCGCATCAAAAACATGAAATTTATCGTGATAAAACAAAATGTGAATGATTTGATTCAACATTTTATGCGTTTAAAAAAACTTTACAAAATATTTTCAAGGATGCTAACGGCGTTCCATAATTGTTAAGTCCAACTTAGAGATAAGTTCAACTTAAAATCTTTGTGGAACACCCCCCAGGGCTGGACACTAACAGGAGGCCGGGACACACAGGCGCCCAAAATCTAAGTCTTAACCCCCAAAATTGTTGAAGTCTTTACATTGGGCCTGTACATACAGACTGTAAAAAGTTCCAACTGGACCCCTTCCAAGAACAAAGTTAGTGTAGAGTCCTGATGTACACTATCAAAGTGCTTACATGCAGGTGAACTTGAGCAGGACAATATTCCCCTAGCTGCAAATGCCTTTCTTCTTGCAAAATGATATTCTTATAGTTCATATGAATAATAATCTGGTTGATCGTACATCATTAAAGATGGAATTCGTTAATTAGAGTCAATGTAGATCCGCAACCTCGTATCACATGTACAGTGTCTAATGTTTCACGTTACAAAGAAGATCAAATGACTGAATTTTAGTAGTGTCTTGCATAGTTACTATTTTTCTGCATTTTGAAAAAAATACAATGTAACGTGTAGCTTGTGGGTGCATGACTTCAGATATGTGTCAGCAAATGATGTGACTAGAAGTTTTAAAAGTGAGTCAACACAATGACATTTTACTGGAAATTGTGTATTGAAATTCGCTCTATAACTTTCCAAAATTAAAAAAAAAATACATATATAGTTGATTTTATAGCACAGTTGTAATGAAGCAAGTAGCAAGAACAATGTATGGTAACAATATTGAAATGACAGGGATAATTCTATATCCAATACAGAAATTAAGTATCAAAATGAATATTAATTTATGAGAGCTTTAAACTTATATATTACATTCATCTCATTAGCTTACACAGTAAATGGTAAACTGCATGATAGAAGACAAACTGATGACCATGTAAAGCTCTTCTATGACCAGAAAACATAAACATTAATGTTTCTTTGTCACTGAAGTATAAGAAAGACACATGTAGAAAATAGAAATTGCATTAGGAGGTGCGATATGGCTCAGTGGTAGAGCAGTGGTCCTGTAACAGGGAGGTCCAGAGTTCAAAGCCAAGTCGATGAATTATTGCCCTTTGGGAAGTAAGGCACTAATCTTCATTACCAAGTCCCTCGGAGAGGACTTAAATGCCGTTTGTCCCCTGGATCCTTACTTACAAGCATAGACATGCTTTCATAGCAGTCGGGTAAAAAGTTAAAAAAAAGGAAAAATCTAATCACACAAAGTTTTGAGACAGAAAAATACTACTAATAATAGCTATATAGACTAGACCAGCTAGCAGATATAAGTGATCATCATTTGTATACAAAATCACACATCATATTGAAAATATTTAAACATGATTGCTTAATTCTACACCTTTACATAATAACCGCATAACAAAATTTAATCCAATACAAGTACCTTTCCCCACATTTTGGTATTTCAACTTAAATATTCCTCCGCTAAAAATCAAGAACATTCTAAGCTGGAATGTATCTAAGGAAAATACATTGTACATAGTAGGCAAGAAAAGCTCAGTTCTTAACATTAAAACCTCCTAATTACCACTCTTCTAAATCAATATAAAATGAATAACAAAGTATGCACAAATATTTAATGAAATTTGTGTAAGGAAGACGTTTACAAAGAAGCATATATACATATACTGTTTGGCATTATTCATTTTTTTATTGAGTTTAAAGGTGAAGTTGAGCAGTGTGAGCCAGTATTTTTCCTACCATAAAAAGGGTTAATAATAATTTAGTGGTACATAATAGGCTATACACTGCATAATGTGATAAAAGTATAAACATGTGCAGAATAAAATTTGACATAATCTTTCAGGAAATGTGTAATTTGATCTTTTTTTGTTTAAATAAGTTGGATCAATACCTCTGTAATGGCCAAGTCACAGAAATTCAACCTCTTCTTTGCATCTCACATACGTGTAATGCTAGAGTGAAGCTGTACCATTTAAAACAAAATCTATTTCCAGACCATTCTGTTATGATGTTGTTGCAGAATATAGTTCCAATTTTCCTTGCCAGTGTACACATTGGGTGTCTCAACAAGAAACAGAACTTCAAAGAGATGCATATCTTGCCTTCTCTCATCCTCTTGACTCTTTTGATTGGTCAAACCTCTTCCACTCTTGTATCCATGACAACATGGTCTTATCTTCCACACTATCAGGTCACATGGTAACCCCTGCACTGTGATGTGACCCGCCACCATCAGCCGCATGATTGGACGTTGAGAGCATCATCTGCACTCATGAGGTTGACAGGCGAGTCTCCCGGCGAGATAACAAGATTCCTGAGACAGCCATCATAGCCTCGATCAAACAGGCCCCCGGTAGCTTGAGAGATGTCTGTAGATAATCCAAAGCCACCTACAAAAACAAAATGATAACAATTACATAGATCCAAGAGGGTTTAAGATTGTCTTTTCATGAATCCTCATTCACCTATAATAGGAACGCCATCATTATAAAAAAGCCTTTTTAAAAGAGCTTTTCAGTAATAAGAATCAGCAAATCACATGATTTCTTTTTTAAATCCATGACTCACAGCAAGTCTCTTTTTCTTTATTTGACAAATCATTTTCAATGGCAGTTTGTTCTGTAATAAATAATCTGTTATACCTTCGATCGACACTGCACCTATAAGTTATTCAGAAAATTTGTTTATCAAGTTCAAGGCATATTGGGTAGCATGCTCTTTCCTTGCCAGAAGATAAAGAGCAAATAAACATAATACCTTAATCAATGTGAGCGAAATTGTCATTTTCTTAAAGGGAAAACAGGAGAAAAAAAAGAAAAGCAATAAACTTTGTGGCTAATTCATTATGCTCTAATACAATGAACACAAGAAATAACTTGCTTTACAAAAAAAATGTATAGATAAGAGACAACAAATGTGGTCATAATTCATGTTTGAAAACAACCCTTATTTTTAAAAGCTCGAAAGTATTATCAAATATTTTGCCACAGTACTCTGTTCAAGGTGGTCATATTGCTACTTTGAGACTATGATGTTTGAAAGAATATGGAAAAATGTAAAAAATTAATAAAAAATTATAAATTATAAAAGTTAAGATATCTAGACCACAGATAACAAGCCATTCTAGTATTGTTTATGTATGTGTATATGTGTATATGTTTACAAATTACAAAGTGTAAAGGTATATTCCAAACACCATAAACATACCTAGATAATACTGTCCTTCAGTATCTAAACCAGAGAATAAACCTCCTATGTCAGCTACAAGGGGCTCACCGCCATCAACATACACTCTTAGTAATGTACTTGACCTGAAGAAAGGGGAATAAAAGACAACAAACCAAGTGATAGGCTAATTACATTTCATTCCTAGTTTCTTGTCTCCGACCACTTCCTTGTTTCTGCCCACCTCCTGTTTTGTATTTGGTATTCTTGTGTTGATACGAAATAGCACAAATTCAAAGAAAATATAGATGATAAATAATTATTCAATATTTAAACTTGTTTTCAAAGTGTTTGAGCCTCTGTAGTGCATTAATATTGACAAATGAAATTTCATCTCAAAAACTTGTGATGAAGTTGTCCACATGCATGTAGCATATGTTTGTGTGGGGAAAAAAGTAGCTAATAAACTGTATTACAGATCCGGGTCCTCCAAGAAAAATTTGGACACAAAACTAGAAGTCTATTTTAATCGCCCTGGTCCAAAGTAAAACATACCAGGTTTCAGTGTTGACCATTGTTATAAAATGGCTTGTGCATATTTAGGAGGGTGATAAAGTATATGGATATTATAGTTATTGCAGCTGAAATATGTTTTTAAAGCATATTTTTTAATATTTGAAGTGGCCAATTGCATTTCCATCTTACCTAGTGATTATAACAGCATGCCAGAGAGCATCAGATATAAATGCTGAATGACGAACATCACCGTAGGAGTCATGTCCAAGATTGATGCTGTTCAAAAGACAAACAAATTATAGAGTTGAGAAGATGTAAACTGCACAACCAAACAGAAATTTTAAAAAGACAATCAGAATTATGTGTCAATGAATCCTTTCACAAAGATTCGTATTGGATATCCGATGTAATGTCAAAACAACAGGCACATGTATCGTTCAATTCACAAGGAAAAACTTGAGACTGTATTCAATAATTTTTTCATTTCGTTTTCTGCATGTAATATATAAATAGCTTATAAACTCTTTATCTCTTTACCTGATTTTTAAGAAGCCATTCTCGACACCAACTCCTAAGTAGTCTGTAACACCTGTTGTGATTGGTTCCCCATTCCAGAGGATCAAGCCCTGATTGGACGATGTGCTGAAGTTGAAGGAGAGGGAGGTTATAGTCTTGTTGGAGAGGTCAAAGTTCACGTCTCGGAAGTAGAGGTGACTGGACGAAGTGAATCGGGCGCTGGTGATGTTGACACCTAGTATGGTAACAAATAGAAATGAATCACATTTATGATACAATGAAGCAAATGGATGCAATATAAAAATAATGTATATTCTATAAGCCTACAATTCAGGTTGAAATTAATTATAGCAAGATAGTAAGGGGTCTACCCCTTTAAGCTTCATTCAAACATGAAGTAGTAAACTACCTTGAAAAATCACTATTATAGTGATTTTTCAAGGTAGTTTACTGCTTCTGAAATGATATAAACATAAAGCTTTGCACATTTATATTTCCTATCATACACAGGTAAGTACTGTACATGTAAGTATGTGAAGGGCCTTAGGTGTGCAAAACCTTTTTTTTAAATTCTCACTTGCCGTTCATTAACATCAAAATTAACATTAACATTCATTAATGTTTTTCACTTTGCAGTGACAATTTTTGGAAGCAGTTTATCATGGAATATGGGAATGAAGTGTCATGGTTAAACTCCCATTTACTTTGAGCCTGGTAAACTGGTAAACAGACAGCAACAATTAAGCATAAACAATATTTGTAGACTCCTAACAACTTGGATTCCCCTCTAACCCAATCTCCCCCCCCCCCCTATCTCTCTCCCTCTCTCTCTCTATCCCTGTATCACCCTCAACCCTCAACCCTCAACCCTTTCCCCTCTGGGATTGAACTTTCACCTACTTTGTTCACAGAATGTTCCTTGCCAGCCAAGAGGACACCCACAGCTGTAGTCCTGTGCCTCACTGTCTGGTAAACAGATGGCATCATTCAAACACTGGTGATTCACACAGAAGATAAACTCCTCACATCTAGGTCCAGTGAAAGGCTGGCAAGGAGAAAAAAAGTTACCCATCTTCGATCATAGTCATGGCGTGCAAATAAATTTGTACTTTTTCGTTTGCAGGAATTTGTGCATTTGCCATGTAAAAAAGGTAGATTCCTTTTGGCAATTTGCATTTTGTTTGCTGGTGTTTTTTTTTTCCACAGCTGTTTTTAGAGATTTCAAGAAATAAATCAGCCGTCACCCTAACGTATTCATGGCCACATGTTCTGGCAATGTATGAAGATATACATATATGTATGGATATGTGTGTAAGTTGAAACCATATCCTCCGAAAGTACAAATTTACAATAAATACCAGTTCATTAAAGTATGGAACATTGTACTTTATATTTGATTTCAGAACATATTTTTTTTTCACAATGAAATACTGGTAGAATGTTAAGGGGTACAGATTTTTAGGTTTTATAATCAGACCTGCATACAATCAAGTTTACAGGCTGGTCACATGCATATAGTAATACAGAAAGGTGGACTCTACAAGTATATTTGGACTCAGAGCCTCTCCCATGGAGTACAATTAATCCCTTCACAAACTAACAAACTTACTGTCAAACACTGGCAAGTGAAATCCTGTGTGCTGCCATCAACTGGCAGGCACGTGCCATTGTTTCTGCACACGTTGTATCCGCACCCTGTCCCATCGCAGTCTCCGATATTAAGTCCTGCCAATGCTCCGGACATTGTCAACTCCAACTCCTGTCCGTTCACAACCACCCTGCGCATGCAACCTTGATAGCTTGTAACAGCGCCCTCTACAGCCATTGGATGTACACCATCAAGCGAGGGTGCACCGCCAATAAAGATGTCCGTACTGATGTCAAGAGAGATGAGATTTCCTGGGGCGCTACGGAAGATTTCTTCATCCCCGAAGCGTAGGACCCCGTTCTGGTTGACCCTGCTGATCTCTACCGTGTACCAGGTGTCCGTTGTGATGTCTACTCTGCTTGCTGTGCGGAGAGTAGCAGGATCCCCTTGGCCATCTTTGATTTTGAAGTAATAAAGGACAAAAAATATGAACTAAACTGTTTTGCTAATTGAAATTATGTTTTCATCTTACATGAATATGTACTTATACTTTTGCTTTTGGCATAAAAATAAATGTAAACAAGTCATGTATTGTACAGTACGCATCCCAAAACAAAACTAACTTTACCGTTTTGCCACGAAGCCCCCCCCCCTTACAATTTCCACAGTCAGTGGGGATTACCAATCAGGGCCTGGTGTTACAAGCAATTGGCCAGAGACAGGAGTTATAAAGTTTGTGATTTATTACCAATCCAGATTGATCAGAAACTTTTAAAGAACAGGATGCTAACTACTTTCTTTTTATCTCTGCCATATTATGCAAAATTGGCCAGCTTAGAACCAAAGATTGTATGAACATTTGCATAGGAGGCACAGTAAAGAAGTGAAACTTACCAAGTGAATATCTCAGCTCTAGGTAGCCCTGCGTGAGGGACACTGCAAGAAAGTCTCCAGAGTAGGGGGTAAGCTGACTGGCGATGTAGAACAGGAGTCCAGTGTCTGAAGAAGGCTTAAACTCCATCAGGATTTCTGCCTCGAAACGGAGGTTGGTGGTTCTCGCAAAAGACATGTAGCTCAATGAACCCTCAAAGAGTGGGTCACTGAATATAATGTCTGTAGGTATGATGTAGTGAAAGTCATCAAAATCTGTTCAGTTAATTACAATTCTTCTTATCTCCATTACGATAACAACCACTACGATTTTTTTTCAACTGGTTTATATAAAACATCAACATCCTTTTTCGTGAAAATTATTCTGAATCTACTTGTTTTTCCTTAAAGGGATCCGGTAACTTAATTGTCTCAGATTCTGAATCCTGGATTTAGCTCATGCTGCAATGATAATTATAAACTTTTAGGTCAGTCATCAACCCCTCGACTTTTACAAGCCGATCGCCTGTCTGATTATCAAGATATTTATAATTGGAAATCAAAACCAAATTTTGCTTTTGCAAAACGGTTTTCATAACACTACAGTCTATTGAGGAAAACGAGTGTGGTAAAACTAAAAGATTTTTACTTTTTTGAGGCACTTCTTGATCATTATGAAGTGCGATTCTTTTTAGGGCTTCAATGTTACACCATATTACAGACACTGATTACACGTAGGGCCATGTATCTCAGATTTAACATTGTTTAAGGATGCCTTTAATGAATTTGTGATATCTCCACTTTTCCTTTAAAGGTCTGTTTCCTTCGATTCTCTCTCCATCCTCTTCATATCCTTCATATATCCATCCCTTTTCTCTACAGTGTACATAGTCATCCTTCTGTTTTTCTTGTTTGTCAGCTTCCTCTCTTTCATCTTCTTCCTTCCATTCATCTCTTTCTTCTTCATTGTGTATTTCTATCCTGTTGTTGGGAATTGTGCATACCTATCTATTCTACTTATTTCAAAAGGAAAATGAAAATGGATGGGGCAGTAATAAAGGTTGCCTGGAACATACATGTCCACACGTACTGTTAAGTAAGTTTTACATGATGGCTACGTACTGTTAAGTAAGTTTTACATGATAGCTACATGTACATTACCTTATACAAATTTCACGGTTTTGAAGCATTTCTCACACAATTTGATACAAGAAGTCCATCATGTACGTTTCAAATTCTAGCCTAACATTACATGACGGAAGGTCATCTCTGGAAAGTGGGTACAGATAATGTGTAAGGAAATTTGACTTTAGTAAGATACATATGCATGCTGTATCTGCTGTGAAAGAAGGATACATATAAACATAAAGATACAGTGTGTAAGACAAGGTAAATGGCAATCTTATTACATACCTTCATCACATCGTGTTCCCATCTTTCCCAGAGGACACTGGCACTCAAACCCCACAGGGAGGGGTGTACAGATTGACCCATCTGCACAGTCATGAGGGGTGGGGTGCTCTGCATCGCAGACTGTTATCAGATCGCCACAGAGAGGGCCTTTCCATCCATCAGTACAGTTGCATCTATGCAAAGGATATGAAATGATTGAATATATACTCACTATCGTCATCTTTATCACAATTTTCTTTGTCATTATTATCACCGTCATCATCATCTTCATCATCATCACCATCATCGTCATCTTTGTCATCACTATCATCATCATCATCTTAATCATCATCATCATAATTATCATTACCATCATCATCATCATCATTATTATCGTTATTGTCATCATCATCCTCATCACCAATACCATACACTTCATCCTCGTCATCGTCGAAATACTATATTTGTTGGAACAGGTAGTCCTAAGTAAGGATGGTATGCTGACACATATTTCCTCTATATTTTCAGTAAAACTATTTAAACTGTCATGACAAATTTTGAATTACAATTTGTCATTGGTGTTTGCACAGCTGTCCAGTATATACACAACCATCTAATATATTTAATCATTGAGTAATAACGCACCATGAGTTGAGATTTGTTTGGAAAATGCGGTGTTTGTTCCGACATTGAAATATGAAAAAAATAAAAATAAAAATAAAAAATAATATAAAAAAGGTTTAATGTTAAAACAGGTCAGTCAATTTATAATTCTTACATGTATGATGCTCCAAGATCTATGCACGCAGCTCCATTCTCACATTCATTCAGAGTACACTCTGAGTGACCGCACTGACCGACATTGAGACCAACGTCCACGTGACCAGGTGGGTTGCCGGGGGCAACAAAGGCTTCATACAGACCAGAGTTGATTTCAAGGTCATATATACATCCTGCATGAAAGAGTTAAACAAACAGCTGATTACTTAAAATATTTCTACAATAATGTCTTTCTGCATAATTCATAAAGGTAAAGTAAGATAAGTAACTTTTCTTTGAGATCAAGTGACTTGAAATGCATTAGGCTGTGATTGCTTTAGAATACAACACCAAAGGTATATACTGGCTTTGCTATTACAAGACAAGGCATCTCTAACAAAATGAGAACCAGAACTAAACTTTTCATAATCAGAGGGGTTGGCAACTTTATCTAGACATCCATCATTGTCTCTTCAACATAAAGAATACACTGAATACATAGATCAAGATTTGAATGAGAAAAAAATCCACCGAATGATATCACTTCAAAATTGACCTTCGGGTAAATAAGCAATAAGCAAAAACATTAAAAAAACAAATTTAAAAAATAAATAGATGAATAGAACAGGGCACATGTAAGACTATCAACAATTTTTTTTTAAACAGGACTTATGTGCAAATTATCTTCCAAATATTTACACAAATTATCATTATGAGATGGAAAGGAATTAGTATATCTGTTCATATCCTACTGTACCTTTGAAGCTCTCTGCATAATCCACCACATCTGGTAGGAAATGAACTTCTGTGGTGTCATGACCTCCCACATAGAGGTCACGGTCAGTATTGAGACCAATCAGAGGGCCTTGTGTGGTGCCACTGACGTTGAGTTGGTTGTCCAGCTGTACATGAAGAAAAGGTGAAGTAGATTATTTTTTGTTTTGATTATCTCTCATTGTAATTCATATACTTGCCAAAGGTCCAGGGGAGTGTTTCACGAAACTTGTCATCAGTGACAAATGACAGTTTTTGTTATAAGCTACTGAAATCCTTGCTTTTGATTGGTTAACAGCAGATTTGTCACTGATTTTTGTCATTTGTCATTGAAAAAAGGCTTTGTGAAATGCCCCCCTGATATAAAATTCATTCCAACATATCAGGAGGTGATGGCGTTATGGTTTCGTGGTTCATTCACTTGACTCTCAATCTAAGGGTCGAGGGTTCGAATCCCAACTGGGCACTATATTGTCCTATGGGCAAGACATTAATCCATATTTGCCACTCTCTACCCTGGTGTAAATGGGTAAACAATATACCGAAGCGTCACCATCATCATTATTTAATCATCCTCACCATCATATTTCATCATCACCATCATCATCATCATCATCACCATCATCATCCTCACCATCATCATCATCACCATCATCATCATCACCATCATCATCATCATCACCATTATCGTCATCACCATCATCATCATCATCATCAACATCATCATCATCATCATCACCATTATCATCATCATCATCATCATCACCATCACCATCACCATCACCATCATCATCATCATCACCATCACCATCACCATCACCATCATCATCATCACCACCAACATTACCACCACCATCATCATCACTATCATGCTCATCAAAATAACAATCATTACATCTTCTGTTAATTCATAACACAGAGTTAACACCTTTTCGGCTCTCAGCGGATGATATCATCATCACCACCACCAACGCCATTAAAAATACAACCAACACCCCCAATATCCTGATCAGATCACCCCAGATATCTTTACTGTACCTGCATCCACCCCTCTCTCCTATGACGTCCTATCTGCAGTGTATGAAATGGTGCAGTGAGCTCAACGGGCCGAGGGCTTCTGAGGACTCCTTCACCTGTATCAGCAATGGCATAAATATGCAATCATGAATATTCACTTAAAGCGGGACTGCACTACTTGTAGCTACTTGCACCCTCTGTATAGCCAACGATGCCTAAGTGGTACCCTGTTGGTCCCCCATGGTCCTCCTTTTCTTATGTTAATTGAGAGCTGATTTGATGAGATAACCACCTGCCAGTGACCATGCAGGTAGGTCTAATCCTTCTAGGCCAAACTAGTGCAGATAGGCTTTAAAGAAATGTATGCAACAATGACTACTCTATGTCTGAAATTAGTGGGCATTGTGTAATGAAAATACTTATACCGACTTGATCAGTTTGGTAAACTCTCATAAAAATAAATTGTGTGATAATTACTGATGATTTTACAGTACTTTCAGTAGCCATTAACTACAGTCAATTAGATTGAACACCATGAAATTCTACAAAAGACCCCTGCCCCTCCTACACCCTGAACAAAAATACAATGAAATATAGACCAGAGACCCATTTCACAAAGCCTTTTTTCAATGACAAATGACAAAAATCTGTGACAAATCTGCTGATAACCAATCAGAAGCAAGGATTTCACTAGCTTATAGCGAAAACCGTTATTTGTCACTGATGACAAGTTTTGTGATATGGGGCCCATAAAACTTGTTAAATCTTGCTAATCCTCTGTATACTTTTTGTCATTTAAATAATTTTGCCAGTTTACTCAAACTCAAACACTAGCTTTGAGAGAGAACTTACCTGAACCTACATCAAAGTGAAACCAGAGGTAGCCATCTTGAATCCCAACAGCTAGATAATCATCTCCATCAGTTCCTTCTCCTATAAAAAAAAACATTTTTGTTGTTATTGATAATTTTGTCTCATGCTTATTAGGGGTCCAGACAACTCGCCACAAAGACAACCCGCCCAAGACAACCTGCCACAATACCCTGGACATCTCGCCACAATACCCTGGACAACTCGCCACAGGCAAGTTGTCCAGGGTGGGGTGCCTTTTCTGACAACTCGCCACACTTTGTTCCCCTCATGATTTCTAGATCTAAAATCCCTCATCTTCATGATCTTAGATGAAATTGTCATTCTATGTATTCATTATTCTTTTATAAACACAGTCATGACAGGAAACATGGAAATTGTGAGTATTTTGAGAGCTGTTCTAAAGAATAAAGATGATTTTCCTTGCTCTTACAACAAGACCCGCAACAAGAATCTATTTTTGGACTGTGCGAAACAACCGTAGAAAATCTAGAAATAAACCACATTTCAATTTTATTTCGCAGGTCAACTGCCCCCTCCCCTATCAGGACGCCAGTGCTTCCAGTACCCTTTCATGAATTCCTACCATTTAAAATTATCAGAAGGGAAAAGGACGTGTACAAAGGATAAAGGGGGCACTTTAGGGGAACCTGAAAAAGTGGGGGCACAGTGTCCCCCCCCCCCCAATGAAGAATGCCGCCTCTGACGAAACTATCACAGAAAATCTAGAAATAAGTAACATTTCAATTTTATTTCGCGGGTCAAATAACCACCCCCCCCCCCCCATCAGTACGCCAGTGCTTCCAGTATCCTACCATTAAACAATTTCTGAGACAGAAAAATGCAGCTGCTATAGACCTAGATCTAAATACCAAGAAGTTATCCCAATGATCTGGCGATCGTACGCCTTCGGTTTGTCAAAAATATATTATTGTTGCAAGGGAAATCAGCTTTATTCTTTATTCTTTGTAATGACTGTGTTTATAAAAGCACGAAAATCATGAAAAATGACAGTTTCATCTAAGATGAGGGATTTTAGATCTAGAAATCATGAGGGGAAAAAAGTGTGGCGAGTTGTCCGAAAAGGCACCCCACCCTGGACAACTCGCCTGTGGCGAGTTGTCCAGGGTATTGTGGCGAGATGTCCAGGGTATTGTGGCGGGTTGTCTTGGGGCGGGTTGTCTTTGTGGCGAGTTGTCTAGAATTCGCTTATTATGATGACTGTGGAATTTCATTCCTTCCTTTCCGATTGTTCTCCCTTTCTCACCCTAACTCACACACACACATCTCTCTCTCTCTCTCTCCCTCTCCTGTAATAACATAGACTTTCAAGCTCATACATCTCATCTAGATATTACAAGATGTGAATGCCACAGGGGTATATTAGTGACTACTGATTTCTATTTTGTCTCCTCTTTCTTTTCTCCTTACAAGTCTCTCTCTCTCTCTCTCTCTCTCTCTTGTAAGGTGTGTGATGCATTTTAGAAATTTTCTCAAATCGCTTTATAAATAAAATCAACATTGCTTGCTGAAATGCATATACAGGAACTTTTTCATTTATTCATCATACAAACCATGACAAAATAAGAAATTTCAGACATATGAAAAACACATTCATATTTCTATTATGCTCATTTTTTTTTTTTTACCTCTTTGGCCAGAGAAGAGCATGAGATTGCTTCTGATTGCTGATTGGTCATCACTCACGGTGAACTTTAACCTCAGGGTCAACAGGAAGTCCCAGTTCAAGACCCGAGCATACCTCACAAAGGGCATGTAACCTGATACACTACCACTGAAAGAGGGCCTGGTAATGCTGATGGCTGTGAAAGAAATAGAAAAGGATTTTATCTTTGAGAGAATAATTAATATATTTATATCTTCAGATTTTATGCTGTAAGCCCATTTTAGGGTTACAAGCATTTAGTGAAAATAAAATTACCTGACTCTTACTAGATAACATAACAGACATGATTTGTAGCTCTCTAATGAAGGGAATATTTTAATTGTATCTTCAAGGGCTTTCATGACCTCTTTTGTAGCTATACATCTAATCTAGTCCATGTTCCACACATCATACATGTACAAGAATAACAAAGAACCAATTAATCTGAAATTTGGAATTTATTTCCTTTTTCTATCCATTTAGCCAAATATAAAACATTGCATTTCTCAATGCAAAATGTTGGGTTAATTAATGACCCCCACACAGAATGGCCAGAATTATAGTTGCTTGTATGATTGCATTTTCTTATACCCAGTTTACATTAGTAACACGGGAATAAATGTAATTGTGACTGCCATTGAAATTGTCATCGTAATAGTCATAGTCATAATGATATAAAATTAATACTAATAATAGTAGTATCTTGTAAAGCACTGTTATCGTCAGATTGTTGCTCCACAGTTATATTCATAGTCATTGTCACTGTCATATTCACAGTCATAGTCATAATAGTCAATGTCATAATTATTCTAATTCTCACTGTCAATGCCCTTGTCACTCACCTTCATCACATATGATGCCTTGCCTGCCATAGGGACACAGACACAGGAAGCTTTCATCTAGTGATACACAAGTTGCACCTGCATGACATGGAGACCCCTCACAGCGGTCCACCAGCCGCTCGCATAGCACCCCACCGTAAGGCATGGGGCAGTCACATGACCACGCAATACCATCAGGTGACCTGAAAGGTTAACAAATGGACAGTAATAAGTTAGTCATAATGAGGCTGGATTATGGTAATCTATTCTTTTATGTGACACTGATTAAACTATAATCAGTCTTTAGTGACAAACTATTGGAAAGTATTAATAGTTTTGTGCTAGGTGTTTACAAGAGTTTTATGTCAATTTCCTGAATATTGAAAATATGAAAGTATGAAAATAATTCTTCACAAGTCATACAACGAGGACATAAACAACAACAAAAAAGAAGAAAATTAGGAATTTAAATGAAAAAAAAAAATTGAAATGAGGTAAAGAGAAGCAGACAAGAACAAGGTATCAAGAACATGGATCCACATAATGACTGACTTATAACAGCAGTTTCAGCACATTAGAAATAAACAGGGAAAGAAGTATGTCGATACGTGCGCTATATAAGAATCCAATATTATTTATTATTATTATTATGTTGATGGAGAGCCCCTATATCCAAGCAAGCAAGCAATTTATTTCTAGTATCATCGACCAGCACACATGCAATGCTAAATTGATCATCCCTACATTTTCTTGTACTGTGGTTATTTTAAAGTTTCTCTTTAACATATATTCATCAATGCATGTTTCAAATTCTTGGCTGTGGGAAGGACAATGTAGGTCATAATGTCAAATTTTAAACTTACACAGAGCAGGTGCCTCCGTTACGACAGGGTTCATACGAGCACGGCTCAGTGGTCACGCATTCTCCAACGTTCCTCCCGCCCAACGCATCATCAAACAGCAAGTACTCCACGTTGTTGACCTCCAGATGTCGCATGCATCCCTGGTATCCGATGATGGGTGATGAGAGGTCACCGGAGGTCACGGTCTCAGGTGCACCCCCGAGATAGAGAGGCCCAAGGGGCAGGGGGAAGATGAAGGAGAAGATTTGGTTGGTGGTGGCTTGGTTGTTGACCGTCAGGGTGGCCCCGCATATCATGGATGTGATGTCTGGTCTTGTTTGGCTGGGAGAAGAGAAACAGTATACAAATAGTACACAATATATTCCTGAGGGCATCGTTAAGTACGTAGTATTTTCCCAAGTTGTCTTGGACTATTCCAAAAAACCTGAGAGTATACCAATATATTTGGGATTATAATAGTGCTTGAAAAATATGGTATGAATTATTAGTGCTGTAACAGGGTGACAAGGATCATTGTGATTTGATAAATCACCTTCTTTGTAAATTGCATATATCCAGAGTCGATGACAAAATCAGATCTAAATGAAAAACGACCCAGACTTTAGAAAATGCTATCGAATGTGAGTTATTGATCTTCATTACACATATAAAGCATGTCATAGTATAAATAACAGCTTCTTCACAGGATAAATACCAGTATATACAGTGTGAAACTATATAACAATCAAAATGCTCCAATTTCTAAGTAAAAACCTTTATTTTGCAATGCCAGAAACCATCTTGTCTACCAATTACCTGATGAACACTTCAACCAACTCATCTGTTGCTACGACAACGCTGGATTCCACCCTGACGATCTGACCCAGCCCGCAGCTCATCTGATACACAAGACGGCCACCTTGGATGAACAGATGAATGAATTCATCGGAGTCGCTGGCTGATAAAAGAACACTGCCCTCTGTGGTTGATGTCTTTATAGTGATGAAAATGCTGTTTGATGAGGAGGATGACCAGTCGAGGGGTGCATACTCTAGAAACGAATTGCCGCTGAATGATGGGAAATGCACAGCGCGCTCTGTGGAGGGGCAATGGAAGAGTATAAACTATAGAGGAGGATTGTACCGAGATGTATCTTGAATCCACAAATTCAGAGATATTGTTAACCTGAAATGTTCTCATCAAATTGTTATCGATTCTATTTAATGAAATTATAATCACTGCTGATATTTCATTAATGTCCTCCACAAAGATGTTTAAAACACATTCAGTATATGTCAAAATCATTACCATGTTTGAGAGTATTTTGTGACACCAATTAAAATACTAGAAATTTAATTCGTCATGGAGACGAATTAGGTGGTCTGTCTTCAATTCTTATGATCATGCTCATCATCAATTCAATTACTTTATGAATTGATGTTAATGTAAAATGATGTATTAAGATATTAATTGATGAATGAAGTACTGATAAACTCATGAACTGATGAATTGAACTGATGTAAAATGAACTGAATTGATGAGCTTAACGGATGAACTGATGAACTGAACTAAGCTGATGAGCTGAACTGATGAACGAAATATTGAGCAATTATGATGATGCATAATTAAGTAATATTAACTGCCTTCTGGGCAATATGACGTATATCGCCTGAACCTAAGGTGAGGATGATATATGGCAAGTCGTATTGCCCTGAATTAGGCAGTAAATATTACTATTATTAACCACATCAGATATTTAGAGCAAACAAGAAACTCTTACTATCTTATTCTATCTTATCAATTATAAATTACTTTCTTATAAATTATGTAGCCTACACTCCACAAGATTTCCTAGCATTAGAAGTTGCAAAAACATCGTCAAACAAGCACTGTGCATCCAGTGCTTGACGAATTTTTGATACACTGCAAATAGTGTGCAAAGGGTCTGATTGTGACGTCACAATAGAGTTCGTGCATGGTGCGCATTACATTGTCATTGTCACCAGCAGCTGGTGCGCGATGTTATTTACAACTGGCTCGATTATTTCTCACGAGTTTGACACGCAAAAAAATGTGGGGTCAACTTGCATCCTAAAGAGCTATAATGTATTTCGTATAGGCATGTTTTTGTTCATATATGCTATGTATTACAAGAGCTCGCACGCACAGACATTTACCTTAAACGGACGCTCATTTCGTTATTAATGGTCATAAAGAGATAAACATGGTATCAAATTGTTCGGGAAAAAATGGGCAATACTATGAGAGACAAAAAATGACGATTTTAGTTTGCGTTCGATCATTACGAACAAAAACGTGCGCGCAAATTTATGCGCGCGCAAAGGTGTGCGCACGCAAAATTTTCGAAATGCTTGAAATGGCCTAAAACGTACTCTAATTTGATTAAAAAGTGATTATGAGCATTTTTTATTTTTACGCGCACCAACGTACGAACGTACGCGTACGCGCGCGTTTATTGACCTCAAGTTGACCGGACGGATATTGACCTTAATCGTTATAAATATGAATGAGAAATGATTTACGGTTATGAAGATATGATCACGAGTTGATTTTCAGAGTACTTCACAAAATGGCGCCTGGATGACGTCACGATATTTTGATGAACTTGAAAATGTTCCTGTCACGTCTTAAGATGATGACCTCTGACTGTGTCAAATTTGAAAGAAATTGGACGGTTCAATTTTGAGTAATCGTGCACACAAAATAGTGGTCACAAATTTATTTTAATTGAATTGTGTTTTTGTACAAATTCAATTAAAATACTAGAATTTAATTCGTCACGAAGACGAATAAGGTGGTCTGTCTATGTCTTATGATAGATTTGAGAATGGGAGAAGTTATATAGACATGTAAACAATGATGATCATGATGAACATGATGATAATCATGATAGTAAAGATGATGATGATAATGATAATGTTATATGATGATAAAAACGATAATGTTAATGATGATGATGACCATAAGCATGATCCTGACATCTGATTGAAAAAAATGAGGAAATATTTAAATAGCAAATAGTCTCAGCTACAACATACTAAAATTTGGGAGAAAACTGTTGAATAACAACCGAGATACTGGTCAAAACACCTTGTCATGCAGATTCATGTTTTGAAAAAAGTGACCTCCCATAGACATAACACGCAAATATGACAAATTATGCATTGTCGCCTTTAATCGAATATTCAACTATGATGACGTCATCCAAATGAAAAATAAATGACATTTTTCTGATAGAGAATTATCTCAGCTACAACATATCACAATCTGGGAGAAGATCGATGACCGATAAGTGAGATAATCTCAAATAAACAAAGACAAAAATGACGTCATCAACAAAATACATATGTTTGAGTTTAGATGCCAATATGATGACTTTATGTCACTTTGTACGAGTCAGGGTGGTATGAAATCATATCTCCAACTCATGCTTTCTCCAACCATGATATAAAAATCGGGGGTCGATGGACTATCTGAAGAGCTATTTCGATTTTTAAAATGGCATGTTTTTGATCAAATTTGCATTATATTGCCCATAGCAGCACGCGCGGATTTTGAACTTTGACGCCCGCTCACGGCCTAATGAAATATGAAGAGTAACTGAAATTAATGTAAATTTTCAATTACGTTAAGAGGAATCCAAATCATGTAAACATTTTGAATTTGACCATTTCCGCGCGCTGTGAGCGCGCACACCGCGCGCGGGGACATGTACGGACGGAAAATGTTGAAATGGTTAAAATGACCTGATTCGTACTCTCGTTTAATAGTTAAGTGATTTTGAGCAATTTAAAATTTTGACGCGCACATACGCGCGCGTCATGACCTTTATGTGACCTTTGATGACATGACCTGTTGACCCTGGACCTAAAGTATATGTGAAATGAATATGAATGACCTTTGCTGATGCATCATGAAGATATGATGGATAACGTGATTTCACAAAATGGCGCCTGGATGACGTCACGATAACCTAATGACCTTGAAAATGTTCCTGTCACGTCTCATTACAATGACCTATAATTGTGCCGAAATTTAATGAAATTAACTAAACCAAACTTGAGTTATCCGGGCCACAAAAAACGGGGAGAAATAAAAATAAAGAATAATAATAATAATAATAATAATAATAATAATAAAGAAAATTCTGACGAAATCAATAGGTGGTCTGTTGATAACAGACCACCTAATAATAATATCAATAGCTAGTTCTTATATAGCGCTTTTCAGGACCAAAGGCACTCTCAGCGCGCTTTATAAATATATATATATTATTACCCCGGTCATCGGATTCAGGCTTACTTGCACACAATGTATGCACATTCTCCACTCCCTGGGGAGCATTCTTTGCGTTCAAACTTTGCAGATAATCAGATGAGCCAGAACATACATGTACATTTTTATATCTTTCAAGGTGTTTCAAACTTTATTTTTTATGCATGCATCCATAAACAAATATCTTCATATTAGTCAAATTTTCACCTGTTTCACAGAAGCTTCCCGTAAACCTGAAGGTGCAGTCGCATTCGAACACTAATCCCTCTAGAGACGTCTGGTTCCTGCACACCCCTCCATTCAAACATGGACTGGTCTCACAGGTAACTGGAGGTGATGCTGTAGTGGACGGTTCCATTGTTGGAGTAGGGGTAATGTGTGGTGTTGTCACTTCTGGTGTGGGTGCAAGTGTGGTTGTGACCACCACTGATGAAAGTGATGATGTCATGGATGGGGTCACGACAGTTGACCCAAAGAAAGAGGTCTCAAAATTCAGAGTTGAAAGGTCATATGAGGTCATAGCAGCAGATGTGGAAAATGGATTCTCAGATGAAGTAATCACTGGGAGTGAAGACAAAGAAGGCATTCCAGCTAATGTCGATGACATTTGACCTGTTACTTGGGTGCTGAACGTCTGATAGATGCTACTCATAAGAGATACTGAGCTTGTCAGTCGTACTACTTCAGTTGTCAAAGTTGGAGAGGGTATTTCCAGTGATGAGGTGGGACTTACTATACCACTTGATGTTTGAAGCTGGGTCCTTTGCAAACTTGATGAAAATTCAGTTGTCTGTGATTGTTGGGAAGTGATGGTGGATGGGGGTACTGGGGAAGATATCAGCATGGTAGCTGATTGGCTGGATGTCATCATTATCTGTGATTGGCTGGGAGTTGCTAAGGTGCGCGTGGCCTGAGGAGAAGATGAGAGCATGGGAAAGGACGAGGAGGGTGAAGATAAAGGTCGACTTGAGGTCATCGGTATGTGAGTGGATGGAGTCAATGTCGAGGACTGGATAACCCGAGTTGATAATAGAACTGATGACATTACTGTGTCTGATGGGACGAGTGTAGTAGAATGGAGTAGTGTAGTTTGCACCGAGTGTGTGAATAACGTAGAAGCAATGCCTCCCATCGAGGAAGATGGAGTGAGATCCAGAGATGGTGATAGTACACCACTCTGACTCATGCTCGTTCCTGTAGACATCAATGGTGCACTGGTTGAATCCATCATGATTGAAGGGGTGCTTGTACCAAACATAGAAGGGGTTGAATCTGCTAGGAAACTAGTGAGAGTTGCCACTGTGGTTGAATCAGCACTGGGAAAATCTGTTGTTTTGAAAGCTGAAGAGGATAGTGTTGTACTTTCACTCCTCTCTGGGACCATAGTTGATGAAAAGAGTGGTGTAATGCTACTACTCGGAGCCAATGTGGAAAAAATAGGGGAAAACATTGATGATGTTTGTATGGGAGATATGGTAACAGTCTTGGATGTACCACCTCCTGATAAATCTGAAGTTAATGGCACAGATGAGACAGGTGAACTATCACTTCTCAATGTAGTGGATGCAGGTATGGAAGTTCCTATAGATATCTGAGAAGTTGTTACAAGTCTAGTTTGAAGTGAGGTCCTGTAAAGTGGAGTAGACACCACCACCATCGAAGAGACTGGTGAACGTTCACTCATCACTGTAGACGATTCCAATGTGGTCATGCTAGACGTGCTGTCTACAACACTAGTTGTGGTCACCAATCTGGTCTCACAAGTAACACCTGTAAAGCCAGCTGGACAGAAGCACTGGAACCCTCCAGCCATCGTGATGCAGAATGCTCCATTCGCACATGGCTGACTGAAACAGAAATCCACCGACTCACAGCGTGTCCCGAAGAAACCCGGTCGGCACTCGCAAATGAAAGCCCCCGGCACAGCTTGAGTGCACGTTCCGTTGTTCAGACAAGGATCGCTGAGGCACTCGTCAATATCTACCTCGCAGGTCACTCCTGTAAACCCACTGCTGCAGATGCAGTTGTAACCGTCAATGCGGTCGACACAGAGGGCGCTGTTCTGACATGGTGTAGACAGGCATTCGTCATAGTCTTCCTCACAGATGATTCCTTGAAAGCCTGGAGGACAGAAGCAATCGTATCCGTCCCCTGGTGATGTTTGTCTACATAGGGCCCCATTCATACAGGGTGATGATAGGCATTCATCAATGTCCTCTTGACAAAGCACTCCTGTCCATCCTGTACAATGAAAACAGTTATACTGGTTACTTACAGACCATGTAATATTAAAAACAGGAATATTGTAAACAAATTTGTGTCCATCATAGAACACAGTGTACTAATATGCAAATACAGATTCTCTATAAATATATGAATCTTAGTATACATTCCACATCTGTGGAAGCAATTCATGACAATGATTATCAAGAACAGTTGGTACTCATATCTCGTCTCTGTATGATTCTGCAACTTATACATACATGTAAGTTGTTTAACTGACATCAGATATGTTCAGTTCAACAGATTACAATTCCAAGGTTAAAAACTTAAATGATGCATAGTATTTAAACCTTTTACAGGATGATAACTGCAAAGAGGAAAAAATAAATTATGTACTAAAATCTATACGGTTCAAGAAAGTTGTTAGATTCGATGAAAAATTAATTGCTACCTTCAGCACATGTGCAGATGAAGCCAGCAACCAAATCTGTACAGGTTGCCCCATTTTCACAAGGACCAGAAGTGCACTCATTGATGTCTATCTCACAGTATACTCCAGTGAAACCCGGTGCGCAGAGGCACGTGAATGCTGGTCCTTGGCCGTCCATGCAGGTAGCTCCATTTTGACATTGGGTGACATTGAGTGTGGAGTCCATGCAAACTTCAATGTCCAATTCACAATGAAGACCTGGTCAAAGATGAAAATGAGATACTAACTCAATTTGACGTTGCTGGGTTATGGACAAAGTTACCAAAAGTTTAAGTTCCTACTCCTGTGCACATGTGTAAAATATATCACATGTGGTGATATATCGACAACATTTAATCCTTAAAAGGTGGAGGAGAGTAAAAAGAACGAGTGACAAAAAAACGCAAAAGACAGACAGATATTAGCACTTTATCTTATATTTTCCTGACAATTTTTGCTTGCAACTATGTAAAATATTTAGGTTGTTCTGAATTACAGCATTTGGATTTTAAGTTAGTATGTATACATAAACATATTTAAACGAGTCTGTGCATTTATCCAAAATATCAATATTCTGGTTGATGTTATATCTTCAGGATATACTGAAATGTCAGCAAATGAATTAGGGTTGAATTATTATTATCATCATCACGAAGTACCGTTATTTTCCTCCTCCAACAATGTGTATATCATTATCATGCCAGCTTGGTTATGGGTACATACACGCTTGTACAGAGAATAACATTATTTAGAATGAGAAAGCTCACCTGTGTATCCAAAAACACATGTGCATGTGTATCCATTGACGAGGTTGTTGCACTGGCCGCCATTTATACAAGGGGAGCTTTCACACTCGTTCACATCCTCTGTACAGTTGAATCCTTGATAGCCTGGGTCACAGTTACACCGATAGCCATTCACGTCATCAATGCAGCTGCGTTTATTCAAAGAATTAATCATACATTGAAGTAAACCTTGACGGTTTCTCTTTTTTTTTTTTAGGGGGGGGGGGGGGGGGGGGCAGAAGAGATCATTTTAGCCACCCAATGACCGCAGCAGTAATACACTAATGGAAGGGTATGGCTAAGGCCGCCCTACTCTTTGTAATTTTGAGAGGCATCAAGGCAGAAATGCTCTATGGCCACTGAGTAATGCAATTGGGAAATGGAATTCTTTATTTTCCATGGCTTCAATTATATTCTTTTCTCAAACTCTCTGTCTTGCTCTGATAAAAGGCAACTGATTTTCTAGGTTTTTCCAATTTTCTACAAAAGTATGGCTTATTTCAAAGTTTGAAAATTTACGTGTTTCATGAAAAGTCCCCCCCCCCAAAAAAAATTTGTTTAGGTTATACCAATCACCAACAAATATTGTGTTCTGTATGTTGTTGATTCCATGTCGTAATACATTCAAAATATGAGCTTCAAGTATTGCTTTAATATGTAAAGAGACTTCAAACAAGTTTTAATACACTTTCAAATAACATAAAAGTGACTACTGAACGCACCTGTACACATCCACATAGAACCCAAGTCCCATTCAGGTTTTGTATGTGTGGTTTAAAGCTATTCTTTCATTTCCTGATACATCTTATCCGTTTTCCCACAAAATGTGGCATTAAATTTTTTTAGGTTGTTTTTTATAACTGTGATTGGTAAACTTTAAGATAAACTTTTGTTGAGTTCTACCCCATCTGTACCATACCTGCCATTGTTGCATGGAGGGGGAAGGCAATCATTTATGTTGTCCTGACAGTTGACACCTGTGAACCCAGCCACACAGACGCACTCATACCGATCGAGGTCGTCCACACAGGTAGCACCATTGTGACAGGGGTCTGAAAGGCATTCTTCAATGTCATCTTCACACCGTGTACCTAGAATGATGCGATTAAACATTAAGGATCATCAGTTAGTATATACATCTTGACTGCTTTGAGGGGCCATGGTGAAGATTATTTCCCCAAAGTGATCTAAAAACTGTCCTGGTACAGACCCCTCGGCGTCCCGCCCACTCAGGCGCGCCTCAGGGTAATGGCAGGATCTGAGTGCGTTCCCTTGAGCATATAAAAACAGCCAGGTCTCTCAAAGCATTCGATATCTCTATATTATATATTGTACCATACACTGGGATCCTCGAAAAGTAGATCTCAATAGAATATTAGGGGACATATTCACCAATATTTTTTACCTAACGCTCATGTCTTTCATATCTTTGCATATCTAATGCATCACACTTTTCATGGCAAAAGAATTTTTGAATCACATAAAATTAACACTGGTCATATTGTTTATCAATCAATATGCAGAGTTATTTTCACAAAATCTAACCATTGGTGGCATTCAAAACACAACACAGGATGGAAGTTCTTTTTTGATGAGGCATAACTATAAACCTACCTGTATATCCAGGGACACAGATGCAGTCATAGCTATTGAGTCGATCTAAACAAGTAGCTCCGTTCACACACGGGACTGATTCACACTCATCTATGTTATCCGTGCAGTTGGCTCCATTCCATCCAGCAGTACAGTTACATGAGAATCTAGAAGCAAACAGAGACACAAAAAGGGCGTTTATCTTCAAGGGTTCTTGAAAATGAAAAATACATAACATGGAGACTCCATTTGAAGAAAGAAATCATTGCATCAACAAAGCATTTTTTCAACACAGAACGAAAAGTGAGCACTACTCTTCTTCAATCTACTATAGAATATTGTTTCGGTTAGCAAACAGTTAAACGCACAAGCTTCATGCCACTTAAATATAAGAGCTGAATGCTATAGTGACACTTTGTATATTCTCACCAATTACATGTATTAGCAACAACAACAAAACACGGACATATGAGAAGCTGAAATCAACAAGCATAATGCTTCCTCACCCTAAAAAAGTAGATATCACTTTCGTCGGTGAGCAGTTCACGTATTCAACTCACTGTTCAGATGCACAGTTATTTTGCTGCAGCTGTTCTTTTAGCTTTTTGTTAAGATTTGTTTGATTCTTCTTTTTAAAGCCTATCTGCACTAGTTTGGACAGGAGGGATTAGACCTCCCTCCATGGTCACTGACAGGTGGTTATCTCACCGATTCAGCTCCAATTAACATAAGAAAAAGGGGACCATGGGGGACCAACGGTCACCGCTTAGACATTGTTTGCTTTATAGAGGGCGCGAATAGCTATAAGTAGTGCGATGGGTCTTTAAAACACTGAAAACTTTTTCACAGATACAATGGAGTATACAAGAACTATTGTATGATTGTTATCATTATAAAATAATTGATCCCTTACCCATCGATACCATCCACGCATGTTCCACCATTGGCGCAGACATCCGGCAGACAATCATCGATGTTCTCCTCGCAGTGGATGCCACGAAAACCCAAAGAACAGAAGCATCGGTAACCAGCGACCTGATCAAAGCACGCTGCTCCGTTCAGACATGGCGAGGATGCACATTCGTTGGTGTTCACTTCACAGTTGTACCCCTCAAAGCCTACAGGGGGGGAATCATACATAGGAGCAGAGGTCAAAATTGTGGTGCGGAATAACTTATGTCAAGCAAAGTTTGGAGATGTAAATTCATTGGAACCAAGGCCAAGCCCTAGTTGAATAACATCTGAAATGTCATTGAGTCATTTGAAAAAGAAGTATACATTGTGTCTTATTTGACTTGCATGTACTATACATGATACCAACATATAATAACAATAACCTACTTATGACTGCTGAACAATCAATAAGGAATACAAGAATATCGCATTTATATGCTGTATGCAGACAGCTGTAAGGCAATACCAATATGAAAAGACAGACCCAACATTTTCTTACCATCTATGCAGGTGCACTGATAACTTCCATCCACCCGTGTGATACAGGTCGCATTATTCTGACACTGGTTGAACCCTGGGTCGCATGGGTCAAAGGTCACATTGCAGTACATTCCTGTGAAGAAGGGCTGGCAGTCACACCTGAACCTGTCAGGTCCGTTGAGACAGATGGCGCCGTTCTGACAAGGGTTAGAGTCGCATTCGTCAACGTCTTGATCGCAGGTGGTCCCCATCCAACCAGAAGGACAGATACATCTAGAAAAAGAGAAAATTAACAATCAATTCATATACGTATGATGGGGTGTAGGTCTCCAAATGCTTAAAGGCATCGTTTAACAATGTTAAATCTGAGATGCATGGCCCTACGTGTTATCAGTGTCTGTGATATGGTGTAATATTGAAGCCCTAAAAAATTGCACTTCAAAATGATCATGAAGTGCCTTAAATTGAAAATTTAAAAATCGTTCAGTGACCGGTTTTAACCATACTCATTTTCCCCAATAGACTGTAGTGTTATAAAAACTGTTAGGAAAAGGAAAAATGAAATTTTGATTTCCAATCAAATTTCTTGATAATCTGACAAGTCATGGGATTCCTGATTGACCTAAAGGTTTATAATTATGATTGCAGCATGAGCTAAATCCAGGATTTTGTTTCAGAATCTGAGGAACTGTTACCAAGTCCGACTTTAACAAAAATAAAACTGAGCGAGGTTTTGCTCAGTTTTTATTAAATATATGTACTGAATAGCACTAACCATTAGAAACATTTGTCATATTAAGACTGTTTTACTAACAAGTATTTCTTAAGAGATTGGATAAAGATTTATGAAATTTTCATGATTTCTTTAGCGTAATGTTAGAAATCAACTCTCAGGATAATTAACCTGTCTGGACACAGGATGTGTGAGTATACATGTGCATTGGTAAGCCCAATAAGCAATTCATTGGATTGACTCTATTTATAATGATAACTAGCAAAATAATAAAACATCCAAGCTGCAATAAACATGGAGTACTAACAAAATGGGCCATCAAATTTGTGAGATCCCTGCTTATGATGAAAAATACTGTAATTCATCAGCTGCCAGCTAACAGGCAGTTACTGCCACTGACATTAAAGGGGGTGTAGCATGATGAGACTATGTGTCTTTCCCGTGGCCTGACTCGGGGGCCAATCGGGTATAATACGAGTACGGGCGACGCGACCGTAGTGTTCACTTGCGTGCAACATAAGCGAAACCGAAGCGTGAGGAGAACTTTGGTCTGTTTTGTGAACGCCAGCGCGCTGACCGTTAATCAAGTCTATTCGTTTACGTGCAGTTGTCGAAAAGAAGTCGTACATGGCGTTAACCAGTATTTGCCATGCTACATCCCCTTTTAACAACTCTCACAGCTTTCTTTGGGGCATCCAACAAATTTTCCCTTGTATTAGGATTCCTGGTAGAATTTTTATATTGGATTTCAAGTACAGGGAAATATGCCTCCATCAAATAGAATTCATTTTCATCACAGCACTCATCGAAGGTAGTTGATTTATGTCGTTAGATAAGAAACCTATTCCATAGAAAACAAAACCTTCCAACTTTTCTGAGACTAATGGTCTACACATACTTACTCAAACCTGTTGAAGTGGTCTATGCAGGTAGCCCCATTCACACATGGGTCTGACGAGCACTCGTCTGTCTCAATCTCACAGAAGTTTCCCTCGTAGCCTTCAATGCAGTCACACCTGTAAGCCTGGTTCAAGTCCTCACAAGTAGAATTATTCTGTGTGACGAATCATAGATATTGCTTTGACAGATAAAGTGGAAAGGCATTCACTTTTTTTAAAGCAATATTTTTTTCGTTTTGGGTTTTGTAATTGCTCTTTCTATATCAGTTGTATGGGCAAATTTGACACAGTTCAGGTGTTTACCCAATCAATTTCACCCTCCATCATGTTCAGAACTACCATCCAAAGAAAGTTCACCATCATAAAAGATCTCCCATCTGAACATTCTCAAGGGCTCGGAGACACTCTCAGGTAATTTCCAGGTAGGCTATGAGTTTCGCAGCATTAACGATTTTTTAACCACAATAAATTGGTAATTCTACCAGATTCAATGTAAGCAAATTGTGATGCAGCACACACAGAAACTGCTTAAATTATACATTATGATACAATTACACTAAGTAATTCAGAATTTGTAACATCAGCATTCCGTGAAATGAGGCTTGCCTGATTGAATTTCAAAAAACCAGGATCATTAAGTCAGGCAATTTAACACAAAAAATCCACTTAGCTAATCAAGCTGTGGATATGCTATTTGGATACAAGATAAAATACAAGAAACTGACTACTTTCTAACAGAATTCCCAGTTTTCCACTTATTTTTCGTTTATTTTTCATTAGTGAAATATTTTCATCCCGACTTCCCTGACTTTTCATTGACAGGAACACATTAGGGAGCTCATTTTCCATGTTTTTCACAGATTTTAAGGATAGCTGAGAATCCTATATCAACCATACCTGGCACATATTGTCGACGCAGTCATCGATTGGCAGGCTACAATCCCTGCTGGCCCAACCTGGCTCACAGAGACATGAGAAACCCAGGATACCATCGATACATAGACCATTGCCACTGCAGGAATCGGGAGAACAGTCGTTGATGTTCACTTCACATCTCTGACCTGCAAGATGAAATAATAGCATTTTTGATAAATGAATGAATGAATGAAGGACTGAATGAAAGACTAAATGAAAGAATGAATAAATAAATGAATAAATAAATGAATAAATGAATTAATAAATGAAAGAATGAATGAAAGAATGCATGAATAAATTAATAAATAAATAAATAAATGAATGAAAGAATGAATGAATAAATAAATATATAACTATCTGAATGAATAAAAAAACAAATAAATAAATAAATACATAAATGAAAGAATAAATAATTAAATGGATGAATAAATAAATAAATCAACCAATCAATCAAAAATTTAATCACAAGGGTCCATGTATGCAGGTTATGCTCCCTGAAATCAACTAAGAATCACTTCAAATTTGCAAGTGGCTTTCCTTCTGAAACTCTGAAATCAAATTCAACATATATCACTCACCCATAAATCCAGTATTACATGCACAATAGAAACCGAGTGGGTAGGTCTCAAGGTCGTTGACAAGGTCGGTGCAGTTGGCACTGTTCTCGCAAGGGAAGACCTGACATGGTAGGAGAGAGCAGTCGTCGCCACGGTACGGGATCGGACAGAGACACTGGTAGGAGTTGATACCATCCAAGCACGTCCCTCCCCTCAGACACGGGTTGGATTCACACTCGTCGATGTTGATCTCACATTGTAGACCTGTAGAATTGGAATGAAGGTGGGTTAGATGAAATTCATTAATTTTGCTTTAATGTGTCAAAACTATAATGTTAGAGCTGCAATTAGGTTTGTAAATAAGACCAAAATAAAATAAAATTATATGGTAGATGAAAAGTAATTGATTGACACTGAAAATAGGGTGCCACATAACTACACTCCCATGTTGTTAGAATGCAACTTTACGTACAGTCAGTCTAACAAAAAAGAGACATTCCAACATTATTTAATCGTATCACTATATTCAAAGTTGCAACTTACTTTGCATGGTTTTATAGTTCATTAAAAATCAATACTGTTGGTAAAATAATACTGCTTATAGTGCTGTATGACTGAGGTTATAAATAGTTACAAGATGATGAAGCGGATCCTAATCAAATAATTGGTTGAGAGCGTACACATGACCAGGCATTTATTTTGCCTCACACGTAATTTTGCTAATGACTGGTCATTTGTAAAAAAAACATCATTTTATAAAAGAAATTAAACATCATCTTATAAAATAAATAATACACATCATTTTGTTTGGGCATTAGTAAAATTACCCACACTCGGTACCTTTGACACAATCCAAACACCCTCGGCTATCGCCTCGGGCGTGTCAGACTGTTCCACAGGTACCTTGTGTGTGTAATTCTTACTAATGCCCTCACTGCTGTGTATTATTTGTATATTCTCACCTGTGAATCCTAAGATACAGAAACAAACATAGCCATTGATCTCATCCACACATCGTCCATTATTTTGGCATGGTTCCGAGTCACACTCGTCGATCTCAATCTGCAGTAGAAAAAGATTACAGAAATAGAAGACATTGTACTCTAAACTATTTAATTCATGTATACACAATCTTTCATTAGGAAAATAATATAAACAGAAACTTTATTATGCATATGTTGATCTGTACTACATGGGTTTCACACACAACATACTGCTTTATATTTATAAGCTACAAAAGAGAAACGAGTAAATTTATTACTTTTTATTTCATTTTGAAAATTTCAAATAAAAAATGTAAACCACATCAAATGAATACAGACATATCCCTAACTCATTGGGCAAACTTTTATGCCTAGATCTTAGTGGAGCAACCATGAATAAATATGAAACTCCTTGACAAATCAAACATTCATTTCAATTACATATTATGTATTATGTATAGCTTTTTGTCAAGGGTCTAATTTAGGAATTTGGTTAGTATACAGAATTAACTGCAGAGCATTTGTCACCGGATTACGAGTTGTACAACAACCAAATGCTACTATTTCATTCAGTAGAAATAAACATTAGGGATTGCTACATAAAATTGCTGCATAAATGTTATTGCCAATACAGAATATCAGCTGCTAAAGTTGCAGTACCAGTGGTTATTTCCAGGTGGGTGATCAGAAACATGCTCCTGCAACATGAGCCTTAGACATTATTCATCAAAGATATAGGCTTTGTATTGGGTATTGTGTAGGGTTTAGGGTTAGGATAAGCAGAGCTTAGTCTATGATAGAAGTTCAGAATTCAGTTCAATAGAATTGATCATGGAGCATTTGATGACAGAGCATGTTTCATAGAACCCTCCCTGTGCAATGGTCTTACCTCACAGAATTTCCCTGTAAACCCAGGAAGACACTGGCAAGTTACATCAGCTATCCCATCTGAACAGGTCCCTTGGTTTTGACATGGTTCACTCAGGCACTCATCAACATTGATATCACAGTTAGGCCCTGCCCAACCGTTCAGGCAAAAACAGCGATATCCAGAGAGCAGGTCCACGCAGAGGCTTGTATCAGGATTGCACGGAGAGGACAAGCATTCATCTATTTCCTGCTCACACAGGCGGCCTTCATACCCATGGGAGCATTGGCAGGTGTAGGAGAGGATGCCATCAATGCAAGTAGACCCCCTAGCACACTCATTATTGATGCACTCATCGATGTCAACCTCGCACTGTTCCCCTGTGAAAGCGGGGCTGCAATCACAGGCATATCCAGCTAAGAAATCTATGCAGGTTGCATCGTTTAGGCAGGGGTTGGATGCACATTCATTAATCTCAACTTGACAGAACATCCCTTGCCAGCCCGTGGCACAAACACACTGAAACATCCTATTGGCTGAATTGGCTCCTTCGCCTCCTCCATCTGCAGTTGCAGGGGTGGTCAAGTCAATATCCATGCAGGTTCCTCCATTCAAGCATGGATCCTGATCACAAGTCAGTATGGTCACATTACACAACACCCCTGTATAACCTGGCAGGCAAGAACACAAATAGCCATCTACTCCATCAATGCAAGCACTTCCAAACTGGCAAAGATTTCCGATGCAATCGTCTACATTCTCCTCACAAAAACGTCCCTCGAAACCTGCAGGACACTGACAGCGAAAATCAGCTATCAAGTCAATGCATGTGCCACCATTGGCACATGTGACATTCCCGACTCTGCAATCGTCGGTGTTCACTTCGCAGTTTAGCCCTTCAAACCCAAGTGGGCATTCACAGCTGTAGGCATAGGAATCTGATTCCTCCTGGCATGTTCCATTGTTTTGGCAGGGGTTGGAAGTGCATGGCGGGAGGAGGTTACAGGAAGGGTCAAAAGGTCGGGAGTCAGCAGGACAGAGGCAGGTGTAGCCATTGACGTCATCCAGGCATGTCCCAATGTTGCAAGGGTTTGACAGACATTCATCGATGTTGACGTCGCACAGCGATCCGGTGAAGCCTGGTGCACAGATACAGCTGTGACACAGAAATAGATTGATAAACTATTAATTGTCAATTACTCCAGTATCTAAGATTGCGATTTACAAAAGTAAAGTCAAAATGAAATTTAGCCGTACAATCTTAACTACTTATGAGGCTACCCTTAGTTTCAAAACATGTTGTGCATTATCATGATAAGTTTCATGGGCAGAAATATATCACAAACAAAATAACACTGACATAAAAAGAATGGCAAAAAAACAAGAAAAAAAAAGCAGATTAAAGGTAAAATGTGAAGAGCATAATAGGATTTTTGTTGAGTTAAGGTTGGCAGCTCTGCTTCAGTATGAAATAAGTGTAGAGGTGAAATAAGTGTCAACCATATGAATGCATGAAGTGAAAAAAGAATTGTGTTCTTATTTGATAAATTGATAACACTTTAATGACATGTTGGAATAAAAAGGATTTCTTCATTAGATTGTGCCCTTTGCAAAAATATATGTGAGTTCACTCACTGTTTATTTCATCTAGGCAAGTGGGTCTATTTTGAAAAGGGTTGGGGTCACACAGCAGTTTAGCTCAATTTCCTTTATAAGTACTCACCTGTAGCCATTTGTCCCATCTATACATGTGGCATTGTTCTCACATGCATGAACTTCACATTCATCTATGTTGACCTTGCACAGTTGACCCCTGAACCCTGACCTACATACGCAGGTGAAGTTATTGACCTCGTTGATGCATATCTCTGTTGTGTTTGCCATGCAGGGGTTTGAAGAGCATTCATCAACATCCTGTGAACAGTTTTTACCTTCATATCCTGACAAAGAAAACAAAAGGACAGAAAGTTGAGATGCAAGTATTGAATAAGGTTGTATATGAATCTTGGTTGGTTTCAAATAAATAAAATTGTGTGTTATATTTGTTCAAGTTATCTCAACTGCATATTTTTCTTATTCTTATGCTGTTAAGTGTTGTCTTCATTTTTTGTTTAACCTTAAAAAGGAAAGGTTAGTTTGGTGCACGATCAGCCCAGGATCAAGGACTAAGCATTTTGTATAATGTAAAGGCTCAGTTTCTAAACACATTTCAACATTTAAAAAAAAAAGAAAAAAAAAAAAGATGAGAATATTAACCTTACCTGAAGCGCAAATGCAGGTAAAATCATCCACCCCATCCTCACACGAGCCTTCATTAAGGCAAGGATCCTCAGTGCAGTCATCGATGTTGATCTCACAGTTAGAGCCCTCGTAGCCTGGGCTGCACAGACATGTGTAGTTATTGAACAGATCCACACAAGAGCTGTTGTGTAAACAGGGCTCACTGAAGCATTCGTCAATCTCAAATTGGCAATGGTCACCAACGTAGCCTTCAAGTCATCAAATACAAAAAAAAGAAAAGAAAAAATATGATACAACAGAGGATTACAAAATTTACACCACTAAAAAGAAGACATCAGTCAACATTATATAAATGAATTATTTTCCCATAGTTCAATTGAATGAAATGGATTCCAAAGCTGAAATAAAAGGAGCATATAGTTCCAACTTCCAAGGGAATATATATATGATGATATCATCAGTGATAAGGGGAAAAACAAACCTACAGTAGACCTGTATTTCCCATGATAGCCTTTTACCGTTAAAGAAAAGTAAAGCTCTTACATAATGTACTGGTATTCAATAAACCCCCTCCCCCCACCTCCCAAAAAAGAAAAACAAAGAAATTCAATCATTTATCTGTCTTTACATTTTTGTTGTCCCATTGCAATACATCCATACAGCTATACTGGAATTTCAAAATTTTTGAATAAAAAAACAAATAAAATATAATATTTACCAGGTAGACAGTAGCACTGATATGAGTTAATCTCATCTAAGCAGAAAGCATCGTTCAGACATGGGTTTGATTCACACTCGTCTATCTCAATCTCACAGCTCTGTCCACGGTAACCTATTAGAAAAATTATATAATACAGGCATAAATTAACATGTGAGGTACACAGGTAATCAAAAATTGCTCCTGCGAATTTTGCTCCAAACTTTATTTCATCAAATGTATAGGTTCACGCAGGGCTTGACACTAACAGGCGCCTGGTACACATGGGTGCCCAAACTCTTAATCTGGACCCCAAGAATTTCAAAAGTTTTACATAGAGCTAATGTAAACAGGCTGTAAAAACTCAAATATGGACCTCTTCCTAAAAAAAAAATTGTGGAGCCCTGGTTTAAGATTAGGGTCGTAATTGGGTTTCAAGTTAGGTCTAGGATTAGGGTTTAGGTATGGTGTTGGGTCCATGGAAGAATTTAGGAATACGGTTTGTGAAGCATATTGACCATGGCAGAATTGTCCAAGGACAATGTCTTGTGCACGTATATAAGGCATCAATAGTGAATATCAAACAAAGACTGCATAAAAGCAAGCACCACATGTTGTCTGTTTTTCAATAAATATAACAACTGTAAACTCTTCATCTTGAATCATCATATGCCTGAAACCTAGTAATGAAAGCATTTCCAACATATCGATGTACACAAAAATATTTGGTTATAGTTAATATCACAAAGAACATTTCTTGCAGACCCAAAATGTTAGCATTTTGCATTCATTCACATGTAATTTAGAATATTTGAAATCCTGCTGTAATCATCAGGCAAATTCATATGTGAAGTGACTTCTAAACTACCACACACATAAAAGAACATACAGTACTTTACAGCTCCTTTAGGTACACGTTTAAATGACAAGAAGCTAACAAGCATCTACGGGATCTGCTAGAAGCAAGAAAGGCATCTTAATTGATACAAGTAAATACCCTTGTAGATCTTTGCAGATAATAACATAGTACATTACACTATGAAAAATCAACAAAGATAAATTAATACCGAGTGCACAGATGCAGCTGTAGTTGTGACCCTCTTCTGTCTCAGAGCAGTTAAGGGCGCCATTTTGGCAGACATTCAAGCTGCAAAGATCCAAATCCACATCACAATGAGTTCCATTGAATCCTGCATCAACAAAACAGAGAAAAGGAGAACAACAAAAAAGCAGTGTGAGTGGTCTGGACAGTATCAATGAATATGAGCAATCAAAATAAGGGAAGAGTGTAAAAAGAGTGTTTGGAAAATCTAAGATGTTGTTCCTTAGTTATTTAGTATATTTGACAATACTCCTCATTATGTTATGTTCCCATGATTTTATCAAAGTAATAGGCTTCACAGTTTTCTTGACTTTCTAATGGGACTTATGCGAAGATTAAAATAGGCTTAGCGGCCGGTACATGTAGGCCTATACGTTGTATATATTATTCATTGCAACTCTGAAACATCTGACTCCCATTGAAATAACTACATGAATCTCTGAATTATGTTGATAACATCATAATTTTTACATCAAAAGTTTCAGAGCTATCTGACACCTTACAAAAATTACCTTTTAAAAAAAAAGTCGCATAGACACTAAAGAATAATTTTGGTAACTAAAAATCTTACAGAAAATTCAAAGATTTTTCTTTAAAATTTGAGATCTATCAACTTTGTTTGGGAGTCATGAATACCAGTAAATGTAAATGAGTTATTACAATATTGGTAACTTTTTCTATAGCTATCAATCATACATAGATTATACATTTCTTTCTTACCAATGCCACAATTACAGACATAAGAATCATCTCCATCCAAACAGGTACCTCCATTCAGGCATGGGGAGGATTCACACTCATTGATATTGAGGGAACAATTTGGTGAAGTAAATCCTGCAGGACAAATGCATTGATAGCCATCGATTCCATCCACACAAACACCCCCGTTGGCACATGGACTACTCCCACACTCGTCTGTATTTATCTCACAATCCTGTCCCTCGAATCCCGGTGCGCAGAGACACCTGTAAGAAGTGGTATCATCCATGCAGGTAGAGTTGTTTGAGCAATTGTGATTGGCACAGTAATCTATGTCCACTTCGCACCACAGGCCAGTGTAACCGACTGGACACTGGCATGTAAATCTATTGGGTTCTTCCATGCAGGTCGCATCATTAGTGCAATTGTGTGTGTCACAGAACGGGATGTAACTTTCACAGTTTTGACCAGTGTACCGGACTGGGCAAAGGCATGCATAGGACGAGCTGTCAATTATTTGGCAGGTTCCATTATTTTGGCAGGGGAAGAAGGAGCAGTTGTGGAGGGGAATCTCACAATTGATGCCTGATGAAGGAAAAGAGAATGAAATCAAACAATATTTAACCACACAAAGTTTGGTAGAATTTACAATCACTTTCATGTTCAAATCAGCATTTTTTTTTCTTCATTCAAACTGGTTCATTTAATCAACATTTTGAAATTAGTGTGTCTGAATAGATTGTTACCTTATATCCTACGGTGTTCACTATCTGTTACACCATGTATTAATTTACTTTGATTGCAAGCCCTCAAATTAATCACAAACTTACAACTCGTATCACTTCAGTACAGAGGTGAAATTGATATGAAGTTACACACAACTTGAATCAAGAACAACTCTTTATAAGACAGGCCTGTCACCCAGTTTTTCTTCTTCTAATATATATGCTTTCATTGAGCTTAGAAAATAAAGTGTACATGTATTTGTTTTAAAAGCCTGACTCACCGCCAAAGAGTTCCTCATCGCATGTACACCTGTACTCATCAATCAAGTCTATACATCTCCCCTGATTCATGCAAGGATTTGATGCGCACTCGTTGATCTCTTCACTACAAGTCATGCCAGTATATCCAGGGGGACACACGCAGGAGAAGAAGTCAATCAGATCGATACACTCTGCAGCATTCTGGCAAGGCTGTGAGGCACATTCGTCTATGTTCGTCTCACAGAGCTGACCACTATATCCTTGGCTGCATTCACACCTACATGTATGTATTGGGAACAACATATAAAATAATAAAATAACAAAAAGTGAGAGCTTACAAATGGACTCTGTCACAAACTCTTGCATCAGCCATGGAAATGTAGCACCTTTGCTTAAAGGTCTATTCGACAGTCTGCCAAAATTTAAGGATCTATTTTTGCTGTAATTTTCTAATTCTTTGAGTTGATTATTACTGGCTAATTCTGGTTCTGACTGTCTCTGTATTAAAGTTCTCTATTAAAATCAAAAGCAAAATACAGACATGTTAATAATCCTTTTACATATCAAACCTTGATATGACAGGATGAATTTCTTGTACATCATGTATGTCTTAAATAAAGCCAGTGTGTTGTCAGTTTCCATGTGCAAATGGGCATAATTCGCTGAAACCAGACTTGATGGAAATACCATTGATGGGTGTACACATCTGCACACAGCTGACCCGTAGACCAATCAAGAAATACCTCCTCCACTCTCGGAGAGTCTTTAGGCGATGCAAATGTCAGATAGTGACTTTAACATAGGGGGAAAGGACACAGCATTTATACATAAAGCCTGTTGGTCATTAAACTGAAGGCTGATCCTGGTGATTGACAACCCCTGTTAAGGGTAAACACCCGAAAGATGTCAAATTCCCCATGAGAGCCCACTTCTATCTGTTTCTAAAGTCACTGCACATCACAAATGTCATAAATGTCTTTACACCTACATGTTTGGTTCGATCAAGATACATGTACATGCAATATCATTAGACTTGAAAAATGTACCTGAAACTGTTTATTTCATCTAGGCAAGGAGCTCCATTTTGACAAGGATTTGGGTCACACTCGTCAATATTTGTGGAACAGTTCCGATCTGTGAATCCTGGTCTGCAGGTGCATGAGTAACCTCCGAGAAAACTGCTACAATTCGCCCCATTTTGGCATGGCTGGTAAGAATAAGAATCATAAAAAGAATGCAAGAAAACATTGTGGTTCATTACAATGGCAACAGTAAGGACACTGCAAAATGAATGAATTACCTTTGTTCAAACATTTTTTTAAATTAAATTCATAATGAACTATTTTTAAAGGAAAGGGTTTCACATAATATTTAAAAGAAGTTGATAAGGTTTTGGCTGGTCATAAAGAAAAATTATTGATATATTGCATTTTGCAAGAAAGAAAATGATAACTTAGCATGAGCTTTTCTCCCCAAAACTTTCAGCAACTCTCCAAGGAAAATGCTTCCCATGTGTGTCATTCTTAAGGACAGATCATCATCTTAGAGTCATCCTCTCAGCGATTTCCTTGAGCAAAGCATCAAAGTTTGCATAATTCAAGTTTGGTGAAATTATCGATCAGAGCGTGATTTTTTTTTGTTAAGCAGCAAAACTTGTTTCCCACCTGGAACTTGATACCAGAGACGAGGAAAGCGTTGTTATCTGTGGAATTCACAATGATACCTTTAACTTCCTGTGAAGTTCTTTTGGAATTGTTGGGGGTTATACACATTACATATCACACCCATTGGTAAAAGAAATGAAATGTACGCTTGGTGATTGATACCACCAATTATCAGGTTTTTAAAAAAACGGTATCAAAATACCCATGGGAATTGGATAGAAAGTGCCTTTAAAACCCATCTGCACTAGTTTGGCCTGGAGGGATTAGAGCTCCCTGCATGGTCACTGACAGGTGGTTATCTCATCAAATCAGCTCTCAATTAACATGAGAAAAAGAGGACCATGGGGGACCAACAGTCACCGCTTAGGCATTGCTTGCTATATAGAGAGCGCAAGTAGCTATAAGTAGTGCAGTGGGGCTTTAATGGAAATAGACCCTTCATTGACACTTTCTTAACAAGAATGTCAAGCATTCAAAATGAATCAAATATAGCCTCCTCCCAACTAATATTCAGCCTGCATACCTGGTCCAAGCAGTAGTCTCTCTCCTCCTCACATGTGACCCCAACATAGTCAGGTGGACAGAGGCAACTGAACGAACCAATCTCATCAACGCATGTTGCATTATGTTGGCATGGATTGGATGCACACTCCTGAATTTCTTCCTCACAAAACAGACCTGAAAAAAAAGAAAATAAGGGCTTGTTCACATACCTCACGGTTACCATGGAGATTTTTTTGTGTACAGAATGAATGGCAAGTGGGTATGAAAGAGGCAGCTGTGTGCAACAAAGTTCCTACGTGTACTTAGAGTAATATGAATACAAACGTGAAGTGCAGCACGCTAAAAGGAACACACTAAAAAAAAACATCTGCAGTAAATCACAGTGGTTTACCACCCTCTATGTGAACAAGGTTTAAGAGGACAGTAAAATTTTCCAGATTGAAACTGAGTGAGTGTATCTAGATGGGTTACTTTTTGTCTATTTGATTTGTTTTGTTTTGTTGTGTAGTTGCTTTTTTTTACTTTGGTTTATTTAGGCTGTTATTAATTTTTTTTTTCCTTTTGTTTGTGAAAAGGAAGATAAATCAAAATCATTACACAGGACTCACCAAATTAATAACAGATTACATGGAAGAATACAAGCTCCCTGCCTGTTCCACCTATCTACTTCCAGCACTGCTAAAGTGCTATACATGTCTACAAAGACACACTTCATCACAAGCAACATAACCCAGCAGCTGGGAGCCTCATTCTTTACATATTGACTTGGTAAGCAACCTCAAAACAACTGCAGCAAAAAAGATATAGTGCACTCCATATTTAATCTCATACATAGATAACAGAGTACGCTCCTTTGATATAGGCGTCTATTTTTCCCTTCTATTTAAAATAAATTGTTTTCATTTTGCTGCACAAGGAGGATTTTTTCTTTTCTTTCTTTTCTTCTTTTGTGGTGCCAGTTTAGCCTTACCTGGATGCCAATTACATTAATAACCATGGCTAGCTTACCGACAAATCCATTGTTACAATCACATCTGAGTGCTTCTTGAGATACTGTAACACATGTCCCATCACCACAGATTTCAGGATTGCAACTTCCAAGAATATCTGAGCAGTTGAGACCTATAATATGATATGAAAAAAATAAATAAATGAAGGAATGAATAAATAAATAAACCAGATTCTCTTTCCTTTGCTAATAGTGATTGAAAACGATCCCTACTCTAATAAACCAGCAATAACTAAAAATTGTTGCATTGGCTGAAAAATTATGTAGGGACATAATTATACACAAATTGACATGAAATATAATATTTTTAAATTCAACTTCTGAAATGTTAATATAGGAATAATCATCGGAATACTTTCAGGAGGCAGGGTGCTACAAGAATTTTTTTCACCACTTGCCCTGTCGGGCAAGTGGGTTTTCAATTTACTTGCCCAAACAATATTTCCACTTGCCCAAAACTTTAAAGCGAAAAAGGACTCGAGGTTAAAGCATTTATTATCTCGTAATGATAAGTTAGTGTTTTAGATAGCAAATTAATGCACATACATGTACAGTGTAACTGTACTGAATAATAACCTAATATGTCAAAGAAAATGGTCAACAAAGGATGGTTGAAGGTTTAAAAAACGCATTTTATTGATTCTCCATAAATAATCAGATTCACATGAATCTCGGTAAGGTAGAATGGTTCAAGCAGGTTTAAGTTTTTAATATTCAGTCATGTAAAAAAGCATAATGACCCTGTTGTAAAAAATATGATACAAACATGTCATTAATGGTAGCCACATGTACCATGGTGCAACATCACATGTGTGTCTGTGCAAGCCGCTGTCATTTGGAAACGTAGGCTAATTTTCAGCTGTTAATAATTTGGGTCAACTCTTCCATCAAGAAACGTCATGTAAATAATGGGTAATCAACTATTTTAAATAAAGTACGGACATTTTTATTTCATCATTCACTGCTATAAATATCATGCCAAAATTTGTAAATTCTTACTAAATAATAATATTGAAGATATTTTACGATAAATCTCGGATAAGTATGCGAAAACTAGACTAAACAACGTCGCTAAAACCATGAAAACAAAACAACAACGGCTGATATTCTGGGGGTCTCGATACTATTATCAAAATGACTCGCTCGGTCGGATCTTGAGACCGCAGTAATAAATTGAAAACGAGACAAAAACATTCATCTGATTTATATGAGCAGCGAGTTTTAAATAATATGTTCACAATCATTAACAGTCATTATGAATAAATATCAAACATTTGACTTTTTGTACTTACTAGAAAATCCCTGTTGTTTATTCCATTCCGATTCGCACGTGTTCATTTCCCTAGAATAATGACGTCATATTTGGCGTGATTCAACCAATCGGCAATCAGAGAATAGCAAAGGCCTGTCGGTGCGGCCTGCAGAGCTAGAGAGAGAGAGCGCGAATAAGCTCGCAGCTGGTACGATCGCGCTAGCTGTCTCTAGCTAGCTCACGGCCGGCCGTGCGTGGAGGCGGAGCGGCATTCATGGCTTGAAGTGTCACTGTTGCATGCGCGCTGAGCTAGCTGAGCTGGCTAGCTGTCTGTGAAGTTTTTTCGAAATCGGAACGATCGCTTTTTTGCTTCTGGATTTTGACGACGGGTAAGAAGTTGACGGGTGAATGGTAGAGTTCTTGGACACTAGGAAATTACTGTAAAAGTATCACTTGCCCGAATCGGGCAAGTGATAATTTGATTTACTTGCCCGACGGCTCAATTTGGTTGCCCCGGGACGTCGGGCAAGCGGGTTTGTCGCGCCCTGGGAGGCAAATGTTATTCTTATATTAAATACAAAGCATCAGTTACAAATTCATTAGTCACATTATTCATTACGTTTATGTTGATTATTCATCTCATACTGTTTTCGCAAAAGCTTTTTTCCCATTTTTTGTTCCTTTTTTTTCCCCAGACAGTTTCAACTTCATGAAACCTTCCATAAACACCTCACTATCAAAATACAGGCAAACTATATAATGTAAATATATACATTTCTTTTATAAGCGGCATAAAAAATACAAATTAATTAGTTCTTCATACACTCACCAGTGAAACCTGTGCTACAATTACACCTGTAATTTCTAAGGATATCTCCCTCATCCTCATCAATACAACTAGCTCCATTCTGACAAGGGTCTCCATTGCAACCATCGAATTCCTCGCAGTACTGCCCAATATAGGATGGTTCACATTGGCACGTGTATGCTTCAGATGCAGGACTGTAGAGAGAAAGGAAATAGATGTAGAATGGCTTCAAAAGTATTATGACTGCAGACAGTAAAGAATAAAAGCAGTATGAAAGAAAATATAAATTTGGCATTGAAATGGTTGAAATTTATATTTTTACATCATTAAACACGAAAACAAACTAAATATTCTTAGAGTCAGAAAGCCATTAACCCTCATCAACCAAATACATGTACTTAAATAACCATTTTTGTTTTGATCAGCGCTGTGGTTACAGCGACATGTCAGGGGGAGGGCCAGGGGGACGTGCCTCCCAACCCCCTAGTTAAATGCTGAAAAAGTAGAGGGAAAAAAACAAGGGAGGGGAGAGGAAAAGGATTGTGAAAATGTGACAGGAATCCCTAGCTTCTCCCTATTCACTGAGCACTGCCTTTAATCATAATGCATGCACATTTCATCTACCGAATAAGATCAGTAACCCCTGCTCCCCCCCCCCCCACATGCATGTGAACGTGTTTTTTTTTTTTTTTACCTGAGAGGCACTGTAACACATTCTCCATGTCCAGTACAAAAGGGTTCTGGTTGGTCGATTGTACAGTCATGTGACTTGACGGAAACCACGACACGGAGCCCAAGCTCACAACTCAGGAAGACATCACCGGTGGGGAGCTGAGCGAAGAAGTTGCTTCCTTCTTGCAGGAATGCCTTGTCTACTTCAAAAGGAACAGTCGATGCATTAGAGACAAGCCACTGAGAAGACGGGTGATTATCACTTGGGCAAGCTTCAAATTCATTCTCACTAACATTGACGGGTATGGCACTCTGGGATGATATAGACGGAGGCAGGATCACCAGTCTATCGTTGTCCTGGATCTCGACTGGACACAGCTGATGGTCAATCGGTCCACTGACCCCTGTTCCAGATGAACCATAGCAATTTTCGTAAGAGTTGCACACATTTTCCACTGACCAGGAGATGTTGACAATATTTGCATTTGTGTGCCACGTCACAAGACTACTCCTTTGGCAATACTGTGCTGTACTCACAGGCACAAGCAGTATCAAGAAGATCATGACATTCTGCAGCCGTTTGCTGAATTGCTGAGAAACTTGTAATCTTGATTTGTTGTCTAACATTCTGAAGTCTATTGGAGCCATGGTTTAGATGGAGCCTTGCCACATTCATGACTCAGTATTTCAGCTATTTTTAAGAGTTAACATTAAATGTTTCAGCCATTTGTCTCCAAATCAGTGTTGATGTTCTGTAGTGTAAAGTCAAAAGTTGTTTGTGAAGAAAAAGTGTAAAGGGTAAAGAAACAAGACTGCATTGTTATAACAAGGAAAAAAAAATGATACAGAGATACATGTTAGGAAGTAACTTGTTTAATAAACCTTTGTAGCTGTGAATAATTTCAAAAATAATGATGATGTTTAAAGACTGTCTGTACTAGTCTGGCAAGGACAGATTAGACTACCCAGGGTGCTCACTGACAGGTGGCTATCTCATCAACTCAGCTTTCAATTAACATAAGAAAAAGAAGATCGCGGGGGACCAATGGTCCCTGATTAGGCTTGTTTTCTATATTGAGGGAGCAAGTAGCTACAAGTAGTACAGTGGGGCTTTAAATGTACATTTTCTTTAAACATACTTTTTTTTTTTTAATTATAGAAATAAGTCCAAGTTTCATTGTAGAAACAATAAAGACTATTTTGATCAGGGAAAATTTAGACAGTAAAAGCAAAAGCATTAAAATATTTTGAACTTTAAAAAAAAATGAGATCATTCTACATGTAATTCAAAGTGGGTAAATACTATTACTATTAGTTTGCACTCAAAACCCTCTAGATCCATTACGTATTAGTATTGCACACAAGTTTCTTTTTGTAATACTAAGAAAGATGTCTTTAAAAGGATGTCATCAATTTATTTATGAGTACACCACTGACAGAAATGTTTAGAGTCTGAGACGATGGGTAAATCATGCTATTAATTATTATCCAAAATCATGTTCCAGCTTACAAACAGTACAACACTGACAGAAATGTTTAGAGTCTGAGAAGATGGGTAAATCATGCTATTATCATCCAAAATCATGTTCCAGCTTACATGTACATTGTACAATGTAGACAATACTTTGCCAAATTATTTTGAGATTTACAATGAGAAAGTAAGTTTAGCAACAAAAAGATAACCTGGAAATTCAAGTGCATTAATGACTGCAAATTCACAAAGATTTGATGATCATTCATGATGATAAAGACATTTGCTTTATAAAGCCCCACTGCACTACATATGTGCCCTCTATACATTCACGCCTAAGCGCCTTAAAGCGGTACCCGTTGATCCCCAATTGAGACCTGATAGTGCAGAGGGGCTTTATTAAATCAAATGACTGTGACTAATTAGTTAGTGGGATCAAGACATTGAAGACTTCAAGTCTAAACTAAGTTCTAGTCTATTACTACTAATCTAGATCTTTTCTAGATCCGTATGATGGAGATTAGTAAGTTACTGAGTTAAGGCATGCAATCCCTGGCAATATACATGTAGATATTTTATTCATGAACATTAGATAGATTGCCGATAATGCTCAAACTGACACAGTGCAGACAAGTGGTATCATGGAGGTCAGTGTCGCCACGAGTTGGGGGAGAGGTTCTGACCATTTCCTGCTGGAGCGAGTTCTGCGATGATTGTCATGAATCGCCGCTCAGCTCAGCTGAGCTGCCTGAATTTTATGCATAGGAAATTATGTCAGACGTTTCTCGGTCTACCATAACATATATTTCGAACTCACAGTACAGAATATCATACCACACAATTACTTTAAACTGTAATTTACCTTTAAATCAGCCTCAAAATTCAATCGGTTGGCCGTTGGCACAGACGCTACCGCGAGGTTATGTTAATGAGTAATGGGTCAAAGGTTACGCAAACTCTGTGAGAAAAGTGGATTACGTGACCCCGCCCCAATGTAAACAAAACATATCCCACCCAGCTGATCTGAATGACTGCCATTACTATATATGCTGCTAGCTGCTAGTTGTAGGCCTACAGCTAGTGCAGTGTTTGTGGACGATTGGATGTGTCTGTTTTGATTGTGGTCTGGAGTATAAGCCTGTAGATTATCCATTGCACATGAAGGTGAGACTCGAATAGGATATATCAAATATATTAACATCTTTTCGATTGCAGGCAGTAATTAATCAACCTAATTACCTTGTGAATATAATAATCATATCCACTGACGTATACCGGTATGTACGCCAACATTAAAAATTGCTTAGAAGTTAGACCTGATAACTAGAGTTAGACGAATGAGTCTTTCACAATTACAAACAAAATATATTCTGATATAATCATATTAATTGCTATATTATAGACCAAAATTGCCACATGTTTATAAGCAACAACATAATTACGTTCTAAAGTAATAGTCTGTTTTTTAACGATAGTTAAAAAATATGTCTTTATTTATTATTATTTTGGTGTGTTTATGTTTTCAATAGATCTTATACATATAAAACATGAAAAGCTTTGGTCTCTGATTTTAGACGTTTTCTTCGCTGA